GATTATATTATAATAATTTCACCCACAAAATACACAGTCACTGCAGTTTACAATATATTCTGTGAGGCGATTTGAGACGTCTCAATGCTACATCAAGCGCAAAGATTATTAGTATTGATATCAATAAAATAATTACCTTACATTTGGTATACAAGGACATCCCAAAGTGCTTCACGAGATATACTGTAAAGTGGTGTGTATTTGTAGGTGAACGATGCAGCCAAATCGCGCACAGCAAAATCCCACAAACGGCCATGAAGTAAGTGACCGATTTTATCTGTGGGATTGTTGGCCAGGACACCGCGAGTGAGAGAGAGAGAGAGAGAGAAACTCCCTTTATTTCTGGAATAGCGCCGCGGGATCTTTAACGTCCACCTGAACAGGCAGGTGAGACATGATGGGGAGAGAGCAGGGAATGGGGTTAGAGTAGAGAGCTCCAGTGGGGGAGCGAGCCCCAGCACAGACACGATGGGGAGAGAGAGAGAGAGAGCAGGGAATGGGGTTAGAGTAGAGAGCTCCAGTGGGGGAGCAAGCCCCAGCACAGACACCATGGGGAGAGAGAGAGAGAGCAGGGAATGGGGTTAGAGTAGAGAGCTCCAGTGGGGGAGCGAGCCCCAGCACAGACACCATGGGGAGAGAGAGAGCAGGGAATGGGGTTAGAGTAGAGAGCTCCAGTGGGGGAGCGAGCCCCAGCACAGACACCATGGGGGGAGAGAGAGCAGGGAATGGGGTTAGAGTAGAGAGCTCCAGTGGGGGAGCGAGCCCCAGCACAGACACCATGGGGAGAGAGAGAGAGCAGGGAATGGGGTTAGAGTAGAGAGCTCCAGTGGGGGAGCGAGCCCCAGCACAGACACCATGGGTGAATAGCTGTAATTTTTTAATGACACTGAACTGCTGCAATTATGAAGACTTCCTCTAATGGCTGGTGTCTTGGGGGAGCTCTCTCTCTCTCTCTCTTTCTGCGAATAATTACATAATGCCTAAGTCTCGACTGGTTGTCTACCTTGTCATAGTCATGAGGTGTAGTGCTTAGAGCAATTGCCTCACAAGCAAAAGGACCCAGGTTCAATTCCTGACCAGGGCGAAACCTTCGCCAAGTTTCCATGCTCCACACACCTGTTTGGGTTAGCAGTGAGTAGGAAACCCGCTTGTTGGTCAATTGGCGGATCGTCTTTCCGGGGGTAATAAGCCCTAAAAAAAATAATGATTTGGTCACTCAGTCCACGACTGTTTGTGGGACACTGGCTCATGGGACAATTGGCTACCGCGTTTCGCCCGCAAGATACCCAGTCACTACACTTTACAGTACATCTTGCTTTGAAACGTCTCGAACATGTGATAAGGCGCTGTATATATGAAACGCTCCGGGACGCTACCCCGTGTGAAGGGCGATATATAAATGCAAATTGTTGTTGTTGTATATCAAATGCGAGGATTATTATTAATATTAATATTATTATGCCGGGAGCTGACCGTGTGGTGGAGGTTGCTGTGCGGGGCGGTTGCTAGTGACTCTCTTTCCTATCCGATGGAAAGCAGATTAAGTTCAGTGCCGACACCATCTGTCGTGTGTTTAATGCCCTTGTTTTGGAAGGACGATCCTAATGTGATTAACCTTGACGGGTGCTCCCTTTGTTAACCCTCTCCTGCCCTCAACCTGAGCAGGGGCTGAGCTGATGCCTCTAATGCTCCACTGCTCGCCTGTGTTCGTGGAGTCCCCGTAGTGTAATGGTTAGCGCACTCGCCTCGCAAGCCAGACGATTCCTGGGCAGGGTGAAACCTTAGACAAGTTAGTTTCCTTACTCCGCACACACCTCTGTTTACCAGCAGTAATAATCCTTGCATTTGACACAGACGTCTCAAAGCGCTTCACAGAATATACTGCAAAGTGAATTGACTGTGTATTTTGAGGGCGAACGCGGCAGCCAATTGCTCACAGGAGTGTCCCCACAAACAGTCATGGATTGAGTGACCACATTATTATTATTAGTCTACTGCCGGATCACTTTCTAGGCATAATAAACCATCGGGGAAAAAAAATTACAGAACATTCTGTGAAACGCTTTGGTTTACTGTATATTCTCTAAGACGCCTCAATGACATGAAAAGGGGCTATATTATTATTATGATTATTATGATTATTGCGCTGGAGGAGCAATCTATATTAAGGCTGAGAGAAGCCGTGCACGCAACAGATTAGACACTTAACGGTGGGCGAGGGATGGAAATATTGTCAGCCTGAAGCAGTAATGGTCATGTGAAATGCTCAGCGATCGATAGACACCCAACCAGCTGTGGCCAACCTCCACCAGCAATCACTCCAGCAAACGACTGCTTTCTGTACATCAGTGATTAATCTGCCTTCCAGGCTCATTGTTATGCTCATCAAGATAAAGGATGTCAGCACCAGATAGATAAAGCTCCCTCTGTGCTCCCAATGTCAGGGTTAGAGACTCAGCAAAGCTTCCTCTTACACTGACACTCCCACATCAGTGACAGCACAGGTTACAGATGGAGATATCCTCATTTCAGTCTTAAACAGATCCAAAGTTAAGATTGAATTTTAAAAAAGTTCCGTGACGTGCTTGATGGGCTGAATGGCCTCCTCCTGGTCCTGTTTTCCTTTCGGCCTATGAGGACGAGTGGGAGAGTGAAAGCTGCTGGGAGTCTGGGCTGGGGAGCGGAATCCAGATCAACATTGACCCTAATCTACTCACTAACCAGATCAGGGTCAAACTGCGCTTTTGGTCACACTCGTACCCCCACCCTCCCTGCCCTCCACCCCTCCTGATCCCAACCCTCAGCTCGGGTCCAAATCCTTGACCGTCCAGTGCCTTGGGACGTCGTCCTGACATGAAAGGCGCCGTGTGAATGTCACCTGTTGTTGTTGTTGTTGTTGTTGTGATGCTCCGTGAGTGTAAGCCATCAAACAGTTAATTTAATCATCTTAATTAGAAGAATAACGAAGTTCTTCATTACTCCGGGGTCCACGAACACGCGAAGACTTTGATAAATATCTTTATTCTCGTTTTACTACAGTTGTCGCCAGCTGATGTTGATCAGCCCCAATTAACTTGTGCAAATTTATGCTAATTTGTGCAATTGAATGATTCGCCTCCTCCCCCCGCACACAGCCTGTAGACGTGGTGTAGAGAAGCGAGGAACGTAGGAAATGGAGGAGGCCTTCAGCCCCTCGAACCTGTGCCACCATTCTATTAGATCAAGGCTGATCTGTACCTCAACCATATTTACAGATCAGTCAGATCAAGAGAAGCTTCTGGATTGTGGATCTCATAGATGGTGTCCTGTAGTGTAGTGCCTAGCACTCTCGCTTTGCGAGCAAGATCAGCCGGGTTCGATCCCGGGGTGGTGGGTGAAATCTTAACCTTACTGAGTCTCTAACCCTGACCTGGGAGTGTGGACGCACAGCATAGAGGAGCTTTACTGTGTCTCTAACCCTGACCTGGGAGTGTGGACACACAGTGTAGAGGAGCTTTACTGTGTCTCTCACCCTGATCTGGGAGTGAGGACACACAGTGTAGAGGAGCTTTACTGTGTCTCTCACCCTGATCTGGGGAAGCCTTTGTCAAATTTCCTTAATCCACAGGCCAGTTTACCTAGCTGTAAGTAGGAACCTGGTTGTTACTCGACTAGCGGGTCGATCTCCGGGGGTAATAAAAAAAATTGGTCACTCGATCCACGAATACGGGTGGGACACTGCTGTGTACAATTAGCTGCACCGTGATAAGGTGCTCTATCAATTGCAAGGATTATTATTATTATTCTCTGTTGGCGATTGCTGTCAGAGATGTTGTCCTTTTCAGATGAGAATTAAACCTCACTCCCTGTCTGTGCCCTATTCGGGCGAATGTTAAAATTCCCGCGACACTATTGGGAAAAGAGAAGGGAGTTTCTCTCTCCCGGTGTCCTGGCCAACAAATCCCCAGATTATTCGCTTGTTGACCTAACAGCTGTTTTGGGGAGTAAATGCCAACATGTATTTCCTGACAAATAAACAGTCACTACACGTGACGGGAATGAAACGTCTCGACCTGAGACGGGTCAAGGAAAAAGTTCTCGTCGCTGAGCCGGGGCGCAAGGTTTCTGGCACAGATTGACTGCTGGGTTTGTGCACAACATTCACGTTGCTCTTCAAAGCTCTTCAAAGGGTTGGTGAGATGCCATGTCGTAAGCAGGACAGCTGCAGGAAGTCACCACAGTTGGGTATCTCCACCTGGTGGCCTGACTCGGACATGTCACTAATGTTCGACCCTTTCGCCTCATCCTATTTCCACCCGGTGGACGGTAACGGACGCGATCAGGCGCTATATCAAAATTTGCAAGGATTATTACAACTGTGTTGCGTTCAGCCCAGCGTTCCAGGAGACGGGAATTCTCAAGACGTTTGGAAGCTCTGATCTCCAGACGCTCTGAATGAGATGATCGTTCTCTTCCCGTTCTCTGTAATCTCTGGATTCTATCCTAATGGCTTCTTACACACAAGCAAGGTTCCCCCCCCCCAGCCCCCAAGACACTGTGGCAGGGCTGCAGCTGTGTTGAGATAGTTACTAACTCGTCCTCAACTCAGCCCGGCTCCTCCACTCGCACGCTCGCCTCTGAGTTGGGAGGTTATGGGTTTGAGCCCCCCACACCCCACCTTCCCCACCTCTGGCAACCTCTCCGCTCAGCGGTCTGCTCTGCGTCCCCCCTTCTGCTCCATCATTATGGTCGGACTTTCAGCCTCTCTGCCCCCACCCTCTGGACCTCCATCCCACAGTCCCTCCGCCTCACCCTCTCCCTTACCTCTTGCCCGTCTCAAGACCTTACTCTTCATCCATGCCTTCGGCCATCCACCCCTCCTGATCCCAACCCCCAGCTCGGGTCCAAATCCCTGACTGTCCAGCACCTTGGGACGTCCTCCTAATGTGAAAGGCACCGTGTAAATGTCATGTGTTGTGAGACATTACTGAACCGTTCTCATTTGCTTGTTTGTTTTTCAGGCACCGTGGGATTGAATGGAAGGTGATCCTTGAGCCAGCCTCGAGCTTCCCCCCCCGCCCGCCTGCCCAACCCCCAACTCAGCCCGGCCTCTGCCCCCTCCCAGAGAAAGCCATGACCTCCACACTCCGTGCTCTGTACACTGCCCGCTCCCCCCTGGGAGCCAGCCCTCTCAGCCCCCACTCCTGTGAGAGGGAGATCGACAGGAATTATGACATCGTGCTATCCGTGGTTTGTGCCATGTGCTGTCTCTTTGGGGTAATTTACTGCTTCTTTGGTGAGTGTTCAACAGTGGGTGGGGCGGGGAGGGGGGTGGGGGGGTAGATTCACCGTGTGTCTTGAAAGGCGCTGCATAAATGTAATTTTACTTTTGTGTGCTTGTGACTCTTTCTCCTTCTCCACTCTCTTTCCGCACTCTTTCTCCGCTCTGTCTCTCTCTCCACTCTCTCTTTCTGTAACGCTCTCTCTCTTTCCCTATCTCCGCTCTGACACTCACTCTCCCCTCGTTCTGACACTCTCTTTCTCCTCTCTGACACCCTCTCTCTCTCTCCGCTATCCGCTCTGACACACTCTCTCTCTTGTTCTCTCTCCGTGTCTCCAGGCTATCGCTGTTTCAAGGCTATCATGTTCCTGACGGGATTGATGTTCGGTTCCATCGTCATCTTCCTGCTGTGCTACAAGGAGCGAGTGCTGGACACACAGCTGAGTGTCGAGGCCAGTGTTGGGATTGGGCTGGCCATTGGCGTGCTGTGTGGGCTGGTCACCATGCTAGTCCGCAGTGTGGGCCTGTTCATGGTGGGCCTGTTGCTTGGGCTGCTGATTGCCGTGGCGACACTGGTCGTCATGGAACAGTTTTACCACCCCCGCACTGTTTGGGTGCCCATCGGCCTGCTGCTGGGCACCGGAATGCTCTTTGCCGTGCTGACGCTCCAATGGCAGAAGTTCTTCACGGTGCTGTCCACCGCGGCCTTCGGCAGTGCCATAATGACCGTCACAGCTGATTACTTCATCGAGCTCTCGCTCCTGGTTCACTACGTCTACCAGCGCTTGAAGGTGGCTCCACCGGAGCCCATCTGCTGGTACAGTTGGGTCATCCTCGGTGTCTGGCCGGTGCTCACCGCCCTCGGTGTCCTGGTCCAGTTCAAGGTCACGGCAGAGGGTTACTCTCACACAGAGGGTACGTCAATGCAGCTCTCTACTCTCATCCCATTCCCTGCTCTTTCTCTGTTGCCCCCACTGGAACTCTCTACTCTAACCCTGTTTTCTGCTCTTTCATTCTGTTCTTCAATATTGTTTGGAAATATTTATCGACCTCTTTGTTGGCGGGATGGGGGGCGTGGAGGGTGGGAAGAGTTGAGTTTGATTTGCCATTGAAGGTCCATCTTCGGGCAAGTGTGCGGAAAGGCAAAGTCCTGGTGAGAGAGAAACTGACTGTGATGCTCTTTCTCTGTGTCTTTCTCTCTGTTTTTCTCTTGCGCATTTCCTCGGTGGCTCCAGTGATTATCAGCCGACAGCAGAGGAGAGTCCAGCTGATGAGAATCCGACAGAAGGAGGAGAAGAGGAAGAAGAGAAGGAGACATCACCGAGCGTACCAGGAGCCGGGGTACCGGAGAAAGCCTAACCCAGTGAGACGATACGATGGAGACGTGCTTTCTCCGGTGAGTCCCTAAGCTATCTTAATTCCCATCACCAAGGTAACCAACTGGTACACTCTCATCTTCATATCTGTTTTTTCTTGCTGCGATCGGTGTGAATGAGCGCCATCATTTTCATAATAATAATCCCTGCATTTGATATAGTGCCTTATCACTTCTTCGAGACGTCTCTAAGAGCTTCACTCAATATACTGTAAAATGAATTGACTGTATATTTTGTGGGTAAAATGCGGCAGCCACAAATAGCCATGGACACGATGGGGTAGATAGAGAGCAGGGATTGGGATTAGAGCAGAGAGCTCCTGGTGGGGGGGTCGAGCTCCAGCACAGACATGTGGGGAAGCGAGCAATAGTTCAGACACGAGGTGGGGAGAGCAGGGAATGGGATTAGAGTGGAGAGCTCCAGTGGGGAGCGAGCCCCAGCACAGACATGATGGGGGGGAGAGAGAGAGAGAGCAGGGAATGGGGTTAGAGTAGAGAGCTCCAGTGGGGGAGTGAGCCCCAGCACAGACATGATGAGGGGAGAGGGAGGAGGGAATGGGGTTAGAGTAGAGAGCTCCAGTGGGGGGAGCGAGCACCAGCACAGACATGATGGGAAGAGAGCAAGGAATGGGATTAGAGAGCTTCAGTGGTCGGGGAAAGGAGCACCAGCACAGACACGATGGATCGAAGAATAATAATAATAATCCTTGCATTTGCTATAGGGCCTTATCGGGTCTTCAAGACGAATGACCTTCTCCTGTGCTATAAATGTTGTGTGTTAGTTGTGCACAATGGAGGTAACTGCGTGATAATCTAGAACATCCCTCTTGGTTCCAGAGTTACATCCAGAGTTTCCGAGACCGCCAGACGGTGACCTCGCTCAGCAGTCTGAACACAAACACGCACACGGTCATTGACATAGACTACGAGTGTGGCTCCACCGTACCGCTGACTGCTGCCGCCGCTCCAGCCGTCCGCGTGTAGGGGAACAGACAAAGGGACCGCGTTTCGTTCTGTGTTTTTATCTTCCCGACGCGATGCCCGGGAGAGAATCGAATCAGCGGCCATATGGGTGTGATTCTGTGTTCAACAAACATCCTCTCATCTCCTCCTCTGGAAACTTTTCTCCCGGACAGCACTCGCCTTTTCTCCTGCTCCTCTCCCCCACCCCCGACCGCTGCTCGTCTGCCTTCGAGAAAGCAAATGACATTGAGACATTGAGAAGCGAAGGCGGGCAGGGACTTGGGAGAGTGGTTGATGTGATGAAGGCAGCGTGGGTCGATGTCCTCCCATCTTATCTCTCACCCGTCGAGTGTAAATGAAAGCATGGAGCCTCATAAGTAATTGCTGGACTTCAGTGCCGAGGGACGTGTGTGCTCCTCTCTGCCTTCTGCCTGGCAGCACAGAACAATGCGATGCTTACCCTTTGCAGAACTCTACAGGAGATGGAAGCTAGGAGCCCCATCAGGTCACGGGGAGAGGAAGGGGTGAGATGGGGGGGAACCTCACTCCCAGTGATTGGAGATATGTGACCCAGCAATCGATACCGCTGGTTATTTTTCTTCCTTCCTCCCTCCTTACTCCCTGCCCTCCACCCCCCCCCACCCCCCAAACTTCCGACAGACAATTCTGCATGCAAGGAGCTACTCTGTGCGTGTACAAAGCAGTACAAAATGATCTGTGAAGAAGATTTTAAAAAAAAGTGAATCTTTTTTTTAAAAAGAAGAAAAAAACTCCCATCTGTTTGTCTTAACGTTAACGAGATATTTCCGTGAGCTGTGACATTGGCGCATCTGTGTATAAAAGTATCAACATCAAGATTTCATTCTATTATTAACTAGGAAAGGAGGGAGGGAGATGGAGGGATGTATTGTGGACGCATGGGACTCTCTCCTCTCCTCCAGTCTTTGGGGGAATTTGTGCGACACAATGTGGACGGAATGGCGTGCCTCGCAACTGCTCTATTGTGGGATGAGGTCCTCTTAAAATGGTAGGCAGTGTTAGTTGGGGAAGAGAGTTACTTTGCATGTGGGGTCGCTGTGTTTACATAGGGAATGGTTGTGTTGGTGGAGGAGGGGGAAGTTGCCCAAGATCAAGACAACAATATGGGTAAGCAAGTTCTCCCCCCGTTTTACCACACACACCCTCGTCCACACGCCAGCTCCAATGAGCGAAAATCTGCCAACCTCAAAGTAAATTTCTGATGACTGAAATTCCAATGGCCAGCATTGTGGTTGGTATTATTTGGAAGGGTGAACCTCAAGGTCCAAGAGAATCTTCCAAGACCTGGTTGCTCCCGAGATTGGACTTACAGACACTCTGGGGATATGTGTGCATCAGGCCCCAAAATTCCACCTGGAATTCAACCCGACCCATTTTATCTTAAGAGTTCAAAGTGGCCCCAACATTGCAGAAACAAATTCTTGAATCCTGCCTTGATTTGAAAGCCATTTTTCCCACTGTTCTTAAAAAGAAGCCAGATCCCCAATTTTGCGGCTGGATTTAAGAATTCTTCAATGTCTCTGCGCCACCTTGGAATTTTCGGACTAATTGGTCTCACAGGCAAAGAACGGGTGAAATTTTGGGGCCTGCGATGGTGAGAAGAGAGCGCCTCTGATTTTAAAAAAATGTCAGTGCATCTGAGGAGGATCAGTGGCTGGAAGGACAGCCATTGCCAAGTTCTCTGCAGTGGGCAAGTTGAGAAATTGAGTCCTCGCTCTCTCTCTGCTGTGTAGAATAAATGGGTGAGCCGGCACCAACAATATGAGCAGTGCGACACACAATGCATCCCTCCATCCCTCTGTTCATTTTTGTAGGTATCAGCATGCACTGTTTTGAGACGCGTCGCTGGGTTCCGAGACGCTCGTGGAGTTAGCACTTCTTTGTCAATTGTGTTTAGGTCTGTCTGTCTAACTTTGTTTTTTGAATGTGCCAAAATACTGGAAATAGTGCAAATGTTTACTAAATGTCCATTAAAAAATATTATTTATTTGAACTACCGTCTGGCTTGGTTGAATTTCTACAGATTAGCCCAGAGTGTGGGAAAGTACATGGTCAGGAAAGAGCATTTCAATCTGTTTCCTCTGGTGGGTGGGGAATCCAGAACAAAGGGGGGCATCATCTCAAAATGAAAGCTAGGCCATTTAGGAGTGGAATCAGGAGGCAGTTTTTCATCCAAAGGCCAGTGGAAATCTGGAACTCTCTCCCTCCCCCAAAAGTCTGTGGTTGTTCAATCCATTCACGTTGCCCAGACTGAGATGAATAGATGTTTGTTAGGTCAGGGATATGGGGCAAAGGTGGGTAATTGGAGTTGAGGTAAAGATCAGCCGTGATCTTATAGAATGGCAGAACAGGCTCGAGGGGCAGAATGGCTAAATAGGTTCCGATGTTCCTAACCTCTCTGAGTTTTATTTTTCCATCAGACTTGAGTACAGAATCCAGGCTGACATTCCAACCAACGACCATCCTCCTTCAGATAAGACGGTAAAGAACCCATAATGCTATCGTAAAGGAGCTTCTGCCAGTGTTCTGGCTGACAAAACCCCAGATGAATTAGTCACAGCTGTTTGTCAACAAAATAAACCCACAAAATGGCACAAAATTCCTGAGTAATGAAGCATCTCTGGTGAGGCGCTATAAAAAGGCAAGTTCTTCATATCTTTAATTCCGAGTCCCTTTCTGCGAGAATCCATCTGCCATCCATTTTTTAAAAACGTGATTTTACACCTTTACACAAGTGACTTATCTCATCTTGCTGATAACTTTAGTTGCTCAGAAACCTCCCTTTAGAAAACCATACATTCAAGAGGAAATTTGGTATACGTGAGGGAGAAGGATTTAGGAGAGATTTAGGAAGGATTTAGGAAGGGTTGGGGAAGCTCGTGAGGAGTCTAAACAGCGGCACGGACCAGTTGGGCTGAATGGCTTGTTTCCATGCCTTATCATTCTATGTAATTCTATATTTTAGTGGTTCTGTATTAGCTTAAATCTGCACACGTCACCTGGTTACCAAAACCAAATGCCTTGATCTCTTCAATGTATTAAGTCAAGAATATGTGAAGGATTAATTGATAAGAATCTGGATTTTCTGGACTCCTCTCCCCTCTTACCTTTCTGCTGGGGCGATTGTGTGACTCTGGGGGTGCGGTTCCACAGGTGTCCTCTGGTTGGTGCGTACTTCACTCTCAAGGCTCTCTCACCTACGATTCACACACCAAACTTGTCAATGCATGTCAGCCGGGCACTTGAGGTTAGATTTTCTATCCTCAGTTATATTTCCTCAGTTCCGAAAAGGAACCAACTTCCAAATGACGATTGACGTTTTCCACAATAGTTCAGCACCTTGAATTTGATAGTAAAATAAAATGAGGAGGAATAGGGAGCTCCTGGCTGAGGGTGAGATTTGTGCCTCTCTCCTACACGTTCGGAGTTATGGTTGGGTGACATGGTTGGATGGAGTTCTCCAAGCTCTGATAGAGTTCAAGTACCTTAACCCAAGTGACCAATTGTTCAGTTGTGTGAGTAAATGGGGAGCTAAGCGGATGAGACATCTGCAGTAATGAAAAATCTGGGATTTTGCGTTGCGCTCTTTGTTGACCTGAAGCAGAATAAATCATTAGAAAGGTGAAGACACTAATTAACACAATCTGTGCTTTCCCTTGCCTGCTGAACCATCTGCTCGGCATGACTTACATCAAGCGATTGCCCTCCCAATCTCAATTACTGGAGATTTTCAAATGAAGTCAACCTACAGTAAATAAATGAAGCCAGGTTTCCCCCCGCCCCACCCCCAAGCCTGCCGAGCTGTCCACAGCCACATTTTGGTGGCAGGTGGATTGTGCGGTAGATGCTTTTGGCAGCTCATGCATCTATTGAGAAGAGAGAAGAGAGGAGAGAGGGAGAGAATAAGACAAGGATATGAAAAAGGAAAATTGAACTTGAATGAGTTATTTTACCTGTGTAAAAGAGCCGATCTGTAGATGATAAAACATTTAGTCAGTAAGGCACACTATTATTTTTGTAAACAACATTTAATTAGATATTATCTTTGAACCTTGTGTATGTAAACTGTTGTTACATTGTTCCCCAATCCTTGTTCCCCAATCCTGCAAAATACATCTTCACAACATTTCTGTAGGGCAAGACATCCAATTTATTGAACATCTGCATATGAATTTTCAAAATTAAGCATTTTATGGATGTGCCTTAAATGAGAGAATATGATCAATATTGGTTACATTCAATGAATTATCAATAACACCAGCATCAATATGGAAAACAGGTGAAAACATAAAACAGTAATGTTACATATGTTTATGTTGGCACAACAAAAGTCTAATACCACAACTATTTGTAAATACGACAAACACTACAGGTTTTACCAGAAGGAAATTATCAATATTAATATATTCAAGAACCAGATAACTGACAGATTTGTGGCTGAATCTTTAAAGATTGGCTTATTATAATATGGCAATTAAACCAGGTTGATGTTCTGAAGACACATTTTATGGTGGTGTTTTCAATGTTATAAAAGATGTGCTACATTTAAAACATTTTCAAAAAAGAAATCTCTTAATGCATTTAATATAACCAAATAATGAAACTTTAAACTGATATGAGAATGATTTACTGGAGCGTTGCACTTATAATGGTTTGTGACAGATTTGGAAGGTTTTTATAAGCAATACTTACTGCAATAACATAAATAAGAAATTGAGTAATGTATAGAAAGTATCAACTGAATTTGTTAAAGTACTCTTTTAAACATGTTATAATTTATTGGTATGGAACACTATTATCCTAGCTTTGCTGTGTTGGTTCTCTATAATCCGCAGTGCTTTTATTCTTTATTATTTTTTATTCTTTATGACCTACAGAGAATAAGAGTAATCAAGTAAATTCATTTTTGCAACTTTTAAACAATCTGCATTGTCGTACTATTAGCACTTATACTAATCCTTGCATTTGATTAGCACCTTATCATGTCGTTGAGAAATTTCAAAATGTATACAGAGTATTTCACAGAGTATACTCTAAAGTAGATTGACTGTACAGTTTGTGGGTGAAACTTAATTACAAAGCAGTAGTTTAGCAATGATACATAAGTAAAAATGTAGGTCAGGTACCAATCATGAAGCAACAGTCATTTTTCTAATAAAGCTGCTTTCCACATACCACTGGGTTAGCGAAATCTAGCAGTCCAAATGTGAACAGCCATATTCCTACATCTTTTTAAGAATTTTGTACAACAAAATCACTAATAATTTGATTTGCTTCCTGCAGTCCTATAAATAAACATAAGGACCTACTCTGTACAGTTTCAAGCTGAGGTATGTGTTACTATTAACGTATCTTTTTTTTATCAAAACAAATACCCGGTACTAAACCTCACTTTAAAAATCTTTCATAGAAACTGATTGAAAAGCGAAAGCTATGACTGATGTATTGTGAACCCTGGGAAGTTCCCAAGTTGGTGGATTTGTGCAATGTAAAATCAAATCCTATTGGGTCTTCATAATGTATTTTGTCGGTAGCTGTGAGTTTTGCATTATCCTCTTCAATGCTGTCAGGATGTTTTCCCTTCTCAAAGCAGAGACAAGTCAATGCCATTTTAGAAGCAGATAAAGAGTTAACTAGCAGTGTATTATCTATCCTTAAGATCACTGTCTCGGAATTTACGATCGAACAGAATTCTTAAATTCAGACTTATCATAAAAGGAACTGTGGAAAACTCGGTTCCAGGCTAAGACTAATTGAAACAATTTTCCAACATTCTGTGCAAATTTAAACTTTAAAACAAAGTAGTTTTATGGCTAAAATAATGAGTAATTTCTGGCCTCAGGCGCTTATCCAGGGTTTATGTTGTAGGGGGTGATTGGTATTGCATCAGCCATTGTTGACTGAATATCTGAGTCACACATCCACTACTTTCATAGTCAAATGCCCTTAAATGCAACCTGCTATTTGATTAGCTGACATCAGCTTCACATTGACTTGAAAGGTTCCAAGAAAGATCAGTAATCACACCTGAACCCTTCTCCTTCCCTACTATCTGTCTCTTCTTCATCATGTACACATGTTTACTGTTTCCTGTTGTATAATTAATTAGCTTCTGTCACAAGTCAAGAGTACTGTGTACCTATCAATCAGACAGATGGGTTTGTCTTTCTTGTTTAAGATCAAAGAGGTGTTAGAGGACTGAATTGAATTAAACAGTAGCGTGGTATTGAATGCCAAATTACCATTCGTTTTAATAAGCCACTTATGTGTTAATTATGCTACGGCTAAGTTCTTCACTCAGTCTGGTGAGAAATTGCCTGGATCTACTGCAGCAAACACACAAATGTAAGTAAGCTTTTGACTTGGAAACATATCATTATGTTTTGAAATAGAGTCATTCTAATAGGCAGACTGGGCTTGCAGACTCTAGGCAGAATAGGCAAGCCTCTAATATTGCAGATTCCACTCTGCGGACTCTCATTGGCAAGCTCTATTTGAGTGTCTGATATAATATTGCACTCTACCCTGTGGAGAGTGCTAGAATTGTCAGAAGGGAGGATGGTGTATGAAATGGAAATATCTGCCTCAGACTCCCAGCATTACCTGGAAAATCAGTCAAGCTTTCACTGCAGGAATGACGATATGAATCGTACCCGTACACACTTTGTCTCAAGAGCTGTGGCACTCTTGCTATGCATGACCATGGTCCACATAGTGGAAGGACGCAATTAATCCGGAAAACCCCATCAGAACTCAGGAGACTAAGGATATAATCAAGCCACTAAACAAGCTCCTCTTAAAGGCAACATTCTGCCTAAATCCCATCTGAGAATAAACTGCTCAAATGTAATGCTCATTCCTATGAAAAGGCTTCAAATCCAAATTCAAATAGATAGTTATCTTCCCCTCTTCTTGGTCAGAATCCAATTTAAAAGCTTTGAGTTCTGTTTTGGTTGTCAAATGAGAAGGAAGTTTCTACTGGTTTTAATTAACCCTAACCCTGATGTTAATTTGACTGAGTATTATTTAACATGTTTAGCTCATATTTGCTTCAAATATGTAAACGGAATGCTATCTGCATTGATCAGCCAAATTACTGAGCTAATCAAATGGTATGTAACTGATAACAATTAGAGAAAAATAGGGTATTTACATACCTAATTAATATGAATCAAATCATTAGAAAATACTTTCCATTAGTTACGACATTCACATTTACAATGAGAAAGATTTTACTTACTAATGATGGATCTGCACTCTGAATGGAAGACGGCTGCTGCAATGGAGATGGTGAGTCACTTGATAAAAGGGCAGCAGCAATGGTACTGAGGTCTGCAATTCACCATCAAAAGTCACGCCACTGTCTCTGTTGTGAGATTAGTAGGAAAGGGATATTACATTATATTGGCTAGATCTAATATTTTTCCAGGTTAATCCCCATTAATATCACTTTTAGATCCATCCAGCAAGGACAAGATAAAGAGTTCAACTCAACAACTGCCTGAATATGACATGTTATTCAAAAATCACAATTTATAGAATAAAACTCACATAAATCACATAACATTTAATATGATTTTCACAAAGTCCGAATTCCAGGCAAACTGTAGAAGTCGTAAAAAATCCGATTTAATCAATAATCTACCCTGCAAGTGTGTAATTTAATGCAGCCGGTAAGTGCGCATGCGGTGATGAGGTAAGGCTACATTTCCCGCGATTCAGTGCAGCCGGACGATAAGTGCACATGCCTCAACGGGACGGGTAAGGATGTCATTCCCCACGATTTGGTACAAGAAAAGGCCTTTTGGCCCATTGATCTCACTCCATTAGGGTTGAGGTTATGTCCTCTTGTGACCAACTGACCAGGGGAGATTTTCATTTGCCCTGTTAGCTGACCTGTGTTAGCTGACCTGTGTTAGTTGACCTGTGTACAAATCTAATCTTCAATCCTCACCTCGTCGTCCAGCCCTTCGGTGTTGCGGCAAATGTCATCATCGTCATCATCGTCGTCATCCTCATCATAGCTATCATCTTCTAAAAGACAGAAATTATTTCTTACATCTGATTCAGCAAACTGCACTGAAGGTTTAGCTGTAAAAGTACATACCTGCTACTTGTAACTTACCTGTTTTGAGCCCTGCTATGAAACATTTTGGAGATTCTATTCAAATGAACAAACAGACGCAAAACAATTAATAAATGATTAATAAGTAATTTTACATTTAGTATTGTACTAAAATTTAATTGTAAGGATACCCACCTGTCTCAGGTGTGCAAGGTTGCGAGGAATAATCTCTAGAAAGTAAGAATAAAAAGTGTCATTTTTAAAAAAAATCCTGTTTAACGTTTGCTTGAATTCAAACAAATTCAATCTTAATCACCGATGGGGAGAAATTATAGTAATAATCCTTGTATTTGGTATAGTGCCTTATCATGTCATTGAGAACAAATATAATAATAATAATCCTTGCATTTGATATGAAACCTTATCACGTCTTCAAGACGTCTCAAAGCGCATCACAGAATATATTGTAAAACTGTACATTTTGTGGGCGAAATGTGGCAGCCAATTGTGCACAGCAGCGTCCCACAAACAGTCGTGGATCGAGTGACCAATATATTATTTTATTTTTATTTTTTGAAGGAATTATTAGCCCCGGGAAAATGATTTGCCAATCAACTAACAGCCGGGTTCTTACTTACTGCTAGGTAAACAGAGGCATGTGGAGTAAGGAAACTAGCCCAACATTTCTGCCAGGAATCTAACCCAGGTCTCTCGTGCATGCAAAGCACAGGAAATGACATCAAGGGGCAACTTGGAAGTTAGACTTTTTTTGTGCTCGGTTTCAGCGTGGATTCTGAGATAGATGGACCCAGATGCCTATGTAACAGAGTTACCCACTGTGCGATCATGAGACAAGGTCCTCCTTAAGTGAGATGGAGGAATATTGTGTTCAAGGAGAAATCACGTCGTTAAAGAAAAATAAATATTTTATGATTTCCACTGCTGCAAGCTATGTAGATGACAAAGTGAAAACAAAATAAGTAATGACATTGCTTATTTAAACTAGAATTAACTGAACGCAAACCATTTAAAAGCAACTGCATGAACACCTCGAGTAATGATAACTGATGGACTGCTCGTAAATACTGTACCTTGCTTTTTTTTCCACCTGACTCAGGAGGTTCTTGTAAGTCGCCATTTCTTGTTCAATCCGAGCCTTAACATTGTGCAATTCCTGATATTCATTGGTGTAATTCACAATTTTCTTCTCCAGGCATTTGCTGGCTTCCTTTTGCTTAGCGATTTCTCTATCCTTTTCATGCACCGTATTTATCTGTAGCTCATCCTTAATAAAACAGACAATTTCCACAGAGACAAGTTATATATGTGTTACATATAAGTATATATTTTGATATACTACGTAAAATATGATGAGACAGTGACATAATATGCAGCCATTATTTTTTTATTTTATGTTCTTGTGTCAGTCTGGCTCAGTTGGTAATACTCTTGCCTCTGACTCAGTGGGTTGAAGGCCCATGTCAGGAGTTTAAACTCTGTCTAGGTTGATATTACGCTGCAATACTGGGAGGGGGAGCTGCATTGTTAAACAGATTAGATGTTAAACCGAGGTCCCATGTTTGTGACATTGCTTTGCACAAATTAGCTGCCATGTTCACCTACAAAACACAGTCACTCCACTTTACAGTGTATCATGTGAAGCGCTTTGAGACATCCTGCTGACATAAGAGGCACTATACCAAATATAAGGATTATTATTCATTTGGGTAGAGTCCCAGGATTCTGACCCAGCGAAAATGAAGGAATAGTAATACTATAGTAATATTGTATATGCCTGAATCAGGGTGTTGTACGTCTTGGCAGTGACCTGAAAAGTATTGCCGCTCAGTATGATATACAAGCATGGTATTTTACCACAAAATATACAGTCAATCCACTTTATAGTATATCCTCTGAAGTGCTTTGAGATTTCTCAATGACGTGAAAAGGCACCGGCTATATCAAATGCAAGAATTATTATGATTATTATTATTATTAGCATCGCTTTACTAAAATGTAGTTCAAAGATTTTATTTGAGAATGGCTTCAACCTCAATAGGTAATTATTTTGTCACAATGAATAAGATACAACAGATAATCATACACTTACTTTCAGTTTCAGCTCATTCATTTCTTTGCGGTAACACTCGTTTTCCTTCTTGACCTTTTGCAGGGTTGAAGAATTTTGTTCTTCAAACTGAGAACAAAAACATGTTTTAAAATTGAGGTGATTTTTCCTCAAAAAGGGACTGATGTACTGTAGCTAAAGAGTATTGTATATGTGATGTAACTTTGTTTGAACGCCACTTGCAGTGGAACAAAATTATGGTAACAGGTATGGACTCTCAGCAAAGACTAAAATAAAGAACTTTTGACAATTTTGCATGATCTTACATTTTAGGATAAACTGGTCTAGCAGGATGGAATTTCCAGCTTCAGGTCTCCATGAACCTTCTGTTCCATCTGCAAAGCTAATTCTATATAATCAGGTACAGGAAATAGGGAGTTCTTTGAAGAGATTTTCTATCCCCTTGGTATTTTTAAGTAGTTTGCCAGGCACCTAACTATTCCCATTGTGCAGTGAGATCTAGTGTTGGAGCCTTGAATGTGTTTTTCATTGACAATCTTGGAAGATCAGGTTGTAGGGCAGAACACTGAGGAAAATTGGGATCTTACTATATTTAAAAATGCATTAAACAAGGTTCTGGAAAATACTTGATTTTAAACCCATAGATTCCTACCTTATGGGGGAAAAACAGAACCAGAGTCTTTTGTGAGTCATGAGTGTCATGACTACACAAAGAGTAAGATGATACAAAGCCAATTGATTTCAAGGCATGTAATTGTTTTAGATATGTTTAGTATGTGTGACAATCTATTGGTATCAACAACAATTAGTACTTATGCAATATCTTTCCTGTAGGACAAACATCTCAAAACACATTACAAAGACTATGGGAAAGGAAGAGAAGTGTGATGGTTTTGACTAGAGCAGATTCAAAGGTATTTTTAAAGAGGATTTTGAAGGCAGGGCGAGAGGATTTGAGGTGAAGGGATTTGGGGAGAGAATTTTAGAGAGCAGGGGCATGCACGGTGGTTGAAATTTTCATCATTGATTGGAGATGGAGGGAGGAAAGAATCAGTACAGTATTAGACCAGGAAGGGAAGAGCAGGAGAATAAGACTGGAGGAGATTACAAAGATAGGAACATGGGGCTTTGTAATATCTAGCCTTGGTTGCTCCTTTCCGAACAAACCTTTTGTTTATATCTTTCTATTTGCTCTTTATTCTTTTTAGCAATTTCTTCATATTCATTACGAATTTCTCTCAAAGACTGCTCAAGGTCGGCTTTGAAAGTATCAATCGATTCCAGATTTTGGATATGGTCCACTTTATGCTTCCAATAATTACGCTCCTGCAAAATAACAACACAAAGCTTGTAATTGGGGTTTTGCTTCTATTAAGTATTTTAAAAACACTCTGCAACATTTTTAATCTTAGTTGCATTATCTCAGTAACTTGCTGGTGAAAGCTATTTCTTCACAAATCTCCCCTCTAAGTCACCTCCATCGACCACTTTACTCTGTTCTCATCTTGTAAGGAGGTCTGTGGAGCGGTGTGTCAGCTCATCACTGAATGATGTCAGACTCACTAAGTGCTGTACTGTTTATTCTCTCAGCTAGTGAGATTAAAACCAGCTTCTAGAGTGCACTAAAAACTCATAATTGACCGGGATAGCCAAGCGTGGTTTGCGCAGAGTTAACTGGTCTCATTAGTAGTGGTGCAATTGGTCTCAATGTGTAGGTGTGGAGGAGAGAAAAATCAGAAAAATACTGAAACATAATACAAATGTAGCTATCTATTGGTATATTTATCTTTGGGATGTCCTCCCGAAGTGAAAGGCACTACACAAATGTAATTTTGTATTGTATTATCTCTGAACTACAAACTGTTGATGCTTCGCTGTACAAGACAGCAGAAACAACAGGGTACTTGGCTGTACTTACTCGCTCCCGGACATCTTGAAGTTGGGTGAGATTTGCTTCCATAAGTTTAATCTTACGTTGAAGTTTATCTAAGGTAGAACTGGTTTCATCGTATTTCTGTAAAATTAACATGACTGAATTAATTCACTCTAGCTGCAATAATAGGGAAATCTGGGGAGAAACTCAGCTACATAGAGTAAAATTTATAGTATATCCTGTGAAGTGTTTTGAGGCATCTCGAGAATGTGATAAGGCAATATATCAAATACAAGGATTATGTATTATTATATCAAGTGCAACTATTATTATTTGTATTTCTGCAAGCACCAAATAATATACTACTTTACTAGTTTGTTAATAATTAACCTATGATTTTCTTACAGTATTGTACTAATTTTGAATTCTGAACTGAAGGCATTTTGTTGTTATTAATCTGCTCATTGTACATTACGATGGCTCAATCGGTAATTTTCAGCAGTTCAACTACACAATGGTCATACAGTTCCCCTCAAAGCTGCTTCTCCCTCTGTCTAATTTTCCCCTTTAAGGTAGTTCCTTTTATCTCCATCTATTGCCCATAAAATACACAGTCAATCCACTTTACAATATATTCTTTGAGATGTCTCAATGACTTGATAAGGCTCTGTATCAAATGCAAGGATTATTAATGTTGTGACTGGATTTTTATTTCCACAAAAATAGGTTTTAAAAAGACATTTGAATACACCTGCCTTTCTCAATTCCTCTAAATCTTTCTCACACTCCTTTCTCTGATGGCACTCCTTCTCAAAGCTGCAAATAAAGCACAAAATAAGAACTCTTTCTACTTGATAGCATCCTTCATGGGGTGGGCGGAGGGTATCGTGTTGGATCGCTTAACAGTGGCAGAGCCTGACACTGAGCCGGTGGGAGGTGACTGTAAACACGGTCGAAGAGGAAGGTCTTCAGTCGTGATCTAAAAGAGGGAAAGAGGGGGCAAGATGGGGGGGGGGGGGAATTGGGGGAGAGAGCTACAAAAGTTGGGGGTGTAGCGGATGAAAGCTTGGTTTTATCATCTGTAAGCACTGTATTTTTGTTCACCATTTTTTAAACTTCTCCTTCTCGGCTTTGAAGGCGTTGACCTCTTTCTGGTGGTCATCCAGCCTCAGCTTGAAGTCGCACTGAACCCGCTTGTAGATGGCGCTGGATTTGTTGTACTCCTCTTTCTCAGCCAGCTGCAGCTCCTCCTGCAGCTCCCTGTTCTTGCGCTGCAGCGGGAAGATGGCGTTGTCGATGTACTTGGCGAAGCGGTCGTTGAGGTCCTTCATGCGGTCTATCCCCTCTGACAGGGTGTCGTGGACCTCCCGCTGCCCGCTCTCTCCGGGGAAGCATTTCTCCATGGCGCTGCCCTTGGTATGGCTCCCGTGCATCTTCCGCTCCTCTGGTCGAGTGTGTTTGTGTGTAAGTGTGTGGATAAAATTGTTTGACAGGGAAGGGGAGGATATGGGAAGCTCTCCACCTAAATTATTGGCTGGCCAGCTCCAAACAATATCATGGATGGAATAAATAAAAGATCTCAGAGCTGTGGCTTCTCCGACTCGGTGATGCCTCCCCACAGCTCGGAGCAACCGTCGACGCTTGTTTCTGTTGCTTCAACCGCCAGGAACCGACGACAAAATGGCGCCCAACGGCTGAGGCGAGGCACGCGGCACGGGGAAGAAAAGCGCGGGCCGCGCCTGCGCACTGCCAGCCCACCTTCCGCGGCGCCTGCGCACTCGCTCTCTCTCGCCCGCCTCCCCCGCCCCGCCCCGCCCGGCGCCTGCGCGCTGACGACCTCCTCTGCCCCGCCCCCTCCAACCGTCGTTTGGTGGCGCGCGCGGTGGCGCAACGTGGGCTCAGTCCGACGGTCCGACTGCTTTCCACGTGGCGATTCTCTCGCCCTCCCGTCGTGGTCGTCTCCCCCCAGTGGTGGCCGAGTACCGTTCAGTGGCAGACTGGAGGTAGGCGGGGGCCAAGCTCTTGAGGAGGAGCCGCCGCGCTGACAGTCGGTTGCGCCATTGCCAATGCGGGACACGGGGCGCGAGGCAAACAAGGCCGGCGGCCATCTTTGTAAAGGAGACACCGACTGGAGCCCGCCCTGCATTCATTCTGGAAGGTGTTCGGTTCTCGCTCACTCGTTATAAACATTGAAGTCATGTTTCTGATTGCATTTCCCCCTTTACGCGCAGATAGCGTCGTGCACGGCATTGTAGATGAATGTTGGATGAGTAAACCCGAACACCAAACCGTCTCCTTTACGAAGATGGCCGCCCCGTGGCATTGGCAGTGAATGTGGGGTGGTTTAAAGTTCGCCGCCTTTCATTCCAGAAATTGTGAGGCCGAAACCCTTGCGAGACAAGGTGCTCGAAGGTGGGGAGAGACACCTCGAGTTTGCGAGCGCTCCCATTTCTCTCTGTCTGAAAATGGATGTTCAGGCTTACTGAAGAAGATATTTCATAAACGGAATGTGCAGTGGAACATAATTGAAATAAAACTACTAAAAAAAAAGAGACCACCCTTGTTGAAAGGAACCGTCTCAGGGTCGACTAGTACAAGAGTGGTGGGTACATTAATCAATAATGTCCAATACATTCAATTTCACAAATCCAACACGAAATTACGGATACCCACAGCTTTACTATGCAGCGCATATAAGCATTATTCTGTTGTATTTGAACTACCTATAACCATGATTAATCTGAATTAATAAACATTTTTTAAGATAGGATTTGTGTCAGTCTTTGCTTCAAAGCAGCGTTAAAATGGGCATTTTCAACGATGAGGACTTTTGATAAGGTAAAAGGGATACACTATTTCCACTGGTCACTAGTGAGTCCGTAACTAGAGGTCTTCAGTTTAGGATTATTTAGAACTCATGCATTATTTAGAAGCACTCTAGCTTCCGAGTCAGAAGGTTCTGGGTACAAGCCCTACGTCCCCCTTTTCTCATCTACTGGCTGGTTTGGTCTCATATCCTTGAAGCACATAGAGCATAGAGGCCACAATCTGATAAAACTGCAGAATTGTTTATAGAACAATATCTTCAAGCCTTTAGCCACAACAAACAAGGTTCAGTAGTGCTCTCCCTTTTTGGAGTTGACACCACATGCCCATTTAACTTATATATCCCAACAAGAGTGACCATGCGTTTCATGGTTTGTTTAATTGGCATTAGCATACATTGCTTCCCAAGTCAGCTTGACATTTGTCTTTAATTAGTGGGTGCTACAGCACGTGGTGCAGAACTGGCTGATTTCCATCAGTTTGACTCAGTTGATTGTACTTTTTTCCTGGTTAGAAGGTCAGGGTTCAAGTGGGAATGTTAAGATCAGAATGTAAGATGACACTGCAGTCCAATACCGGGGGAGTGTCGCACTGTCAGAGACGCTGTCCTGTAACTCAAGTGATGTTTTTGTAGGTAAATGCAGTGATGTCCCCAAACATTGAAAACAATTATCTGATGTGCTTCGAGAAGTTTTGACATGATAAGGTGCTATAAAAATGTGAGTTCTTATTGTTATTTGTTTCCGACGTACAGGAGAAACAAGAGCCGCTGTGGTCAATCTAACCAAGAGCTTAGCCGTTGAATTGTGCTCACAGTGGCGTGCGGGACAGTGCTGTTGCTCCTGTGCACTGACAGTCTCCTTTCCGAACATGGCCTCCCTGCGGCATTGTTAATGTGGGGGTTCACCGACGCGGTCTCCTTTACAAAGATGGCCGCCCAGCGCCTCGTTCCTGAGACCCGCATGTCAATCACGCAGCCGAGTACCAGCGCATGCGCGCGGGCGCCCCTGCAGCTCCGCTAACAGACTGGCAATTAGCTGCATTGGAGGCTTGCAGCTGGAATGTAACCTCTGCACACACACACACACACAGCACCGGGGGGGGAGGAGATGCAGCACCAGCTGGACCAGCGCACCTTGCCTAACCCTGTGCAACAAGGAGAGTTGGTGATTGCAATGAGGGTTTCAAGCCGGATTTCACCGCAGGTTAGTGGTGGATGGCAATGATTTGTGTGCTGCTTTACTGGGGAGGATCTGAGGAATTCCATGGCTGTGGGCTGTGGACGGAGCTTTGCATTAGGACCCCACCCTGTGCAGAGGGCTGCTTTGAACCCCCACAACATCCCTGGCTAATCCGAAGATCCCTTTAAACCTCAACCCATCCCTTTTTATCAGAGTCTGATTTGCTGCCCCCCCCACCCATCTCTCTTGTACGGACTGGTTTAAAGATCAACTCCAGCTTTATGCAGGGTATCTTTAACTATTACCCCCCCCCCCCCCCCCCCCCCCCCCATGTGTAGTCATCTTTACACACCACCCTTCCCTTGTTTGGACCACTTTAAACCCCACCTTCCGCCCTCCCTAAGTATGGTATCTTTAACCCTTACTACCCTTGCATGGTCAGTTTTAACCCTCACCAATCTTGAATGGCCCCTGTGCATGGACAGACTCACTCCTCTCCTCGCGACCCCTCAGATGTTTTAAACATCAATCTCTTCTCCCATGCAATGACTCCTTTAACCCTTCACCTGACCATTAACGCAGGAAAGGTGTTAATCCAAAACCCACAGAGGGAACAAATAAATGACCCAGAAGTACTGTGTGTCATTTCTTGTGTGATAAGCAAAAGCTGTGCTGATTCATTTTCTTTCCTGTTCCTCAATAAATAAACACAATGCCCATTTGTTTCCTCCCAGCCTGACGATTTTCTCCCCTCCTTTTTTGAAGGTGTTTGACTACTTTTTCTACCCATCGTGGGTCGGTTACATGGGTGTAGTCTGGTTCCTCGCCCACGTGCTTGCTATTCACGGCTCGTGTTGTCCAGGCAGTTCAACAACATGGAGGGGGCATCACAGCCAAGCCAGATGCTGTCCTTGTTGGCATCTAACCCTTCTGGGGTGTAGGCGTGTCTATAATAATAAGCCTATAATAATCCTTGCATTTCATATAGTGCCTCAGTACATCGTTGAGATATCTCAAAGTGCTTTACAGAATATACTGTAAAGTGGATTGACCTTGAGACGAGAGCTCAAGTGGGGGAACACAGGGAATGGGATTAGAGTAGAGAGCTCCAGTGGGGGAAGGAGCACCAGCACAGACACGATGGGAGGAGAGAGAGAGCAGGGAACGGGGTTAGAGTAGAGAGCTCCAGGGGGGGGCGAGCATCAGCGCAGGCATGATCAGGAGGGAAAAGCACACAATATTTTTTCTTTCATGTCTTCCAGTTCCCAGTGGTGAGTGTGTGTTGGTAGTTTCAGCGGCTCAAGGGCATATGCAGAGTGAAGGTTGGCCTCTCCGTCAAAGTAACGTCTCTGGTTGTGTGACGAGCGGCAGGTGGGGATGCCCCAAAGCAGTGCCAGCCCGGAACCAGCCTCCCACCGCAGAGCTGGCCAACCGGCAGTCAACCTGGACCAGCCGGGGGAGGCCATTATGGAACGGAAGAAGAAGAGGAAAAAAGAGCCCAGACCTGAGTCCATTATAATCTACCGCTCGGAGAGTGAGAAGGTAGAGGAAGATCAGGGTGACCCGGACTCCACAGCCAAGAGCACAGAGGAAAGGACCAACTTTCTCACTCCTCCTGAAGGTACTTGGGGCTGACTTATTTGGAGTTGAGGTACAGATCAGCCATGAACTAATAGAATGAATAGTCTCCTCCCTGTTCCTATGTTCCAGTGTTTCTATATGGCTCTAGATGGACAGTGTGGAGGGCGCTGTATAAATGAAAGTTGTTGTTGTTATCTAGCCCTCCCCATCTGGTGATCCAGTGTAATTAACAATCTCTCCTTGCATGCAGGTGCCTGGAACATTCCCGCAGACAGTAGGTACGTGACCCTGACTGGGACCATCACTAGGGGGAAGAAGAAGGGGCAGATGGTGGACATCCATGTGACACTTACTGAGAAGGAACTGCAGGAGCTGGCCAAGTGCAAGGAGCCTCCGCGGAGCAAGGAGGAGAGCGAGAGGAAACCATGTGACGTGGGGCCCAGGCGAGGGCCACACGTGGTCCTGTGGAGCCTGCTTTGTGCCCCAGTGATCTTTGTCCTCTCCTTCGTCATGTCCTTCTACTACGGCACCATCGCCTGGTACAACATCTTCCTGGTGTACAACGAGGAGCGGACCTTCTGGCACAAGGTGACCGTGTGTCCGCTCCTGATCATCCTGTACCCGGTGCTGATCGTGGCCACCTCGGCTTCACTTGGGCTCTACACCATGGTGACCCAGGTCTCCTGGTCCCTGGGCGAGTGGTGGCAGGCCGTGCGGGACCTGGAGAAGGGCTTCTGCGGCTGGCTCTGCAGCAAGCTGGGCCTGGAGGACTGCTCACCCTACAGCATCGTGGAGCTGCTGGACTCCGACAATGTCTCGGGAAGCCTGTCGGGCAAGGGTGGTCCATCTTTGGATCAGACGTCTGCTGTCTAGAGAGAGCGAGAGAGGAAAGAAAGAAAGAGAAAAAGAAAGAAAAGTTTAGCTCAAAAACTCTTCCAGAACTTTGAGGGAGAAGAGAGCCTCAGTAAGTCTTGTGCTTGTCTCTCGGGGTCCGTTTTGTTACCTCGTTCAGATGCCCGGGGAGGGAGTAATTTGTAAGATCAGCAAATTGACGTGTAAATCGTAGGTTCCTAGCCGTGTCCTGGGCTTGGAACTCCCACCGGATGGTTGGGAGCTTCCTGCGGGCACAGTCCGGCTTCACAGAATCCAGGGATGAGCTGGGCGACAGAGCGGGTACTGGAAGGTCAGCCTGAGAGTTGCCGGGACCCACAGGAGTCTTTGTATTTCAAATGCCTCATTTGTAGGAAACCTCCCCAATGTCTCGCTTACATCAGTGTCCATGAGATGTGCAGACAGGCTTGAGGGGACATCTGAGTGAAAGCAACTCCCAGCTTAGTGTGTAACTGTGGTGACTCCCAGACCGATTGCCAGTCAGTCCTAGTTCCCGCAGCCTGTCCTACCCGCGTTCCTACCCTTTCCCTCTTGTCTTGTTGGAAGCTGGGCCTCCATACCAGGGTCTAGTGTACTGAAACGAGCAGTGGGTTCCCCCCCGAAGCCAATCACAAGCATTTGTTTTGAGGTCCAGATTTCGGGTCAGTTCAATGGTTCTTGATATCAACTTAATTTATTTTATCTTCCAACTTCTGAAAGTGCCGAGCTGTACAATTGAGCACTTTCCTACAAGCTTTCCTACAGTTTTTATTGGTTTAAAGAAATTGTTTTTTGTGTGTCTGAAATTTTAACAACTTTTATTACCAAGACACACGGCCTTAAGTAAGAGTGAGTGAGTGCGTGTGAGTGGTGTGTGCGTAGAGAGGGAATGAGGGGAGGCAGGCTAAACTGGGTTAATTTTGTAAATAAAGGGCTTTGAAATGTCTTGCTATGTTGCGTAACCCTTTCCCCCCCTCCTCCCTCACTCTCTTCCATTACTCCTCTTGCATTTGCCCTCTCTGGACAGTGCATCAATCTGGTCTCACTCTGGAGTAGGAGGAGAAACCCGGAGTCTCTCCTTCCCTCTTTCTCTGACTCTCTCGGCTTTGCTGTCTTCCACTTGCTCTCGTTGCTTTCGTTCTCTTCGGCTCGGACCATATCACCTGCCCAGGGTCAGTCAGGTTCTGCCTCACGTTCCCCCAATGCCTCAGCTTTGCATTGCTCTGTCTAGCAATCGGCAGGTGAGGACACAGAGCAGGTTTGGGGAGAGACAGGAACAGCTCAGGTTCCAGCTTGCTTTATTGAACTGGCCTTCCTGCCTTTCCTTGAATGTCCATCACCCCGGGGGCCCATCACCTGGCGACATTGATCAGCAAAGCATCTCAACTGAAGGAAAAGTACTTTGTTCTTCTCATCTATGCAGCTATCTCTCTACTGCTCGGGACACACTGGCTGTTGGCTTCTCACTGACTCACTCCTCACCAATTCACCGTTCCCCTCTCCCCATACCCCTTGCGTATTTGCCCCCTTATTCTCCCCATCCCCGTTTGCATTCACCTACAAATACTCAGTCACTTCACTGTACAGTAAATCATGTAAAGCAAGCACTTTGAGACACTTCAATTATGTGATACCAAATACAAGGAATATTATTATTATTGTTGTGTGGTTACTTATCTTGTTTAGCGGCTCCACTGTTGGCTTTGGAAGATTGAATCTCGATAGTCCTATAGGATCCCACCATAGCAGATAGACATGGCAAACTGTGAGCATCTCCCAGGACAGAGAAGAGTGTTTCAATGAGGCTGGTGGGTGGTTTAGGGTACGTGTTGGCAGTGCGGTGCCCTGGGACCATCTTCTTACATACGAATGTCCACCAGAATAAGCAGAGAAGACCACAGTTTAACGTCTCATCCAAAGGATGGCCTCTAAGGATGTAAGTGATTTCAGTGCAGCGAAAAGCAATGTGAGAGTGAGTGTATGTTTGGTGAGCGAGTTCCATTGGTGTACGAGGGTGCATTGTACTCTCAAAGTTATTTCAGACTCTGCACTAAACAGACATTTGCACAGCCTGTTAGGTTTCCATGTAAATGCTTACAAATAGTTGTCACATGCAATAGGTTGACTTGACTTGATGTCTCCTGCCTTTGCAGCGTTCAGCAGCCAAAGACCATGTCCTCACACCCAGAAACCTCTCTCGCTCTGTCTCCATCGCAGCAATGCAGCTTCTCATTGCTTTGCCACTGAAAGGGTTTCCGTTTTCGAATTCTGCTTAACCAAAAACAGTGGGGAATCTATGCATGGCCTGGCCAAACTTCTTGTCCCAAGAGTTGTCTTCCCTTTCTGTCATCCCCTTATCTCCCTCTCTCTCTCTCTCTCTCTCTCATGTCTTCACTGGCCTGGTTTAGACCATTCTTTGTACCTAGTTCCCCCGTGGAAACTTTGAGAACACCACATATCCCAGACCTTCACCAAATCGCACTCAAAACCTTTGGACTCTCATTAGGAAGTTGACTGTATAGGAATGGAATAATGATTCCCCCCTTTGTAACTGAAGGATTCTCTTATTTCCCCTCTCCCTCAGGACCTCATCTTTTGTAGTCCTGACTTCCTTTACCCCACCTGAATGTTTAGCTGATCCTGAATAAATACCCCCATTCTCCTACCTTGTCCCCCAACCAACCCTTCACTCAGTCAGTTTAAAGGTGGCCTGTTTTGGATGTGTTTTGTATGTTTCTCTCAATAAGGTGTGTTATTTTATCCAAAATGCATTTTGTAACCCTGTTTGCACATCAGTGAATGACTCTGATCACTAGTAATAAACAATTTTACTTCACTGTTCAACTTTCATCTCTATATCTGATCCCTGTGGTGTCTCCTAGTGCTTGCCTTCTCTTGGATTACCTCTTGGTTGTTGTATGAGAAGCTTACACTGTTGATGCCTTGAAGTCACTTCCTCACTGCCACAGCCTTAAGCTTGTGCACAATCAGAGCTCCTTATTACATCAGAACGTCTCACCGTGGTATACAGTGATTGTAGTCAAGTGTAGTGACTGGATAATTGCAGGCAAATAAGGCAGCCATGAGATGAGTGACCTTTAGATCTGGAAGAGCATCCTCCACTTCTCTCTTCGAACAGCATTGCAGGATCTTTAACGGCAGGACATTAATTTAATCTGGCAGTGCAGTGCTTGCCTCCTCCGCCTCACACTGAACTGGGAGCTGCCAATCTAGACTGTGAGATATTACCCAGATGTCTTGACCCAGAGATAAGAGCGCGATCGAACGAGCATTGACATACAACAGCTAGCATTTATATAGTGCTCTTCACGAGGGGTTAGCATCCCGGAGCGTAAAATGGTTCTAACAATGAAGGGGAAACCTGAGGGGTTGGAGATTGTGAATGCCATCCTTGTGTACTGTACCAGCTGCAACTGATTCCTATTCTGGTCTGATCTGTGTCTTATTTGCTCTGCTCAGTCCCATCGCTCCTGCGGACACAAGGTGGAAGATTGTGCTTTGTCTCTCTGTACATCTCCCTCTCCCCGCCCGCCCTACCCCCCACTCCGTAAACTGCGATCAAATTACTTAAAGCAGAAGAAATCCCCCTTAAAAGATGAGCACTGTCTGTGCGGAGGGAAGTAATTGGTTAACTGTTTAACATGGGGAGTGGGGGGGGGGGGGAGAGAAGAACAAGGATTCATTTTATCTTTAAGGGTGAAAGAGCTTTTGCATTCTGTGCTTGCAAATAAAGCACAGCTGAACGAACACTTGCTTCATGAAGTGAACACAAGTCCCCTTTAATACTGTTAATCATTGCATCTGATACAGGGCTTGTCACTGCAAAACGTCCTAAAGACTTCATGGGGTATTGCTATCAAGCTTAAATTTTATTCTTTTATGTATTTAGCGCCTGAAGACTTTCCTCTTTGACCATGCTTACGGTCACCCACCTCCATCCCGAATGGTCGGCGCTCTATAAATGCAAGTTGTAGTAGTGGTTCTATTTACAAGCAGTCGCGCCAGCTAACATTGCATGGCAGCAAGATCCTGCTCTCAGTCAGAAAGTGATCGACTAATCTGGAGGATTTTGGCAGATTGGGATCTTTGATTGTTGGCGTGGAAGCAAATCCATAGTCTAAAGAAGATGGGGAGAGAGGAAACTGTGCACTCACTCACTCTGGTGAGATTGATGATTTATTTTCTCTATTGTGAGGCCCCTGGCTTTTTGAGAGGACCTCGTTCAAGCCTCGTTACCCTCCCTGGAAAAGGGATAGCTTCCGCAAGACTGCCAAGTAATGGGATAATTCCCCTAAGGGTATTTGCAGCCGCTTAACTCCCAACTGAAAATGAAACAGCTTCACAACACAATCAAGTTTCAGTCAATAGAGATCAGTCTCTCAGGAATTAAAGATGACTCTCCTGGACACTGCTGCGAGTGACCCGGGAGAACAATCCTTGGGAATCCTCAGAATAAATATTGAATGGTGAATCAGATTTACAACAACAACAAAATTACATTCGTATAGCACCTTTCTCGTCGGGAGGACATCCCATTTATCCTGTAATCGGCTTCTCATTTGTTTCATACACACCTGGAGAGTATAATCTAGTTTGAAATGTCAAAGCAACACAGGCTTGCCCTCTCTCAACCATCTTATTGGTTTAATGATGGTGTACCTTATCTAACTTCCGTAAAGCGAATGCTGTCTCATTTTATGATAGTGACCAAACGTAACCCTGGCTCACAAGCAATCACAGTGTTTTGCACTTTCCAAAAGGAACAGAAGCATTTTTCGAAACGGATGATTTTTGTGTCGTTCCGTCGTGAGTTTTGTTTTGGAGCAACTCAGTTCTTGACAGGATCACGTCCTGGGATTAAAACCTCCCGGAATATTCCAAACAGAGTTGACGACCCCACCCCACACGCCTTTCACGCCTCTCAAGCCTTCATGTTCTGGTCTACTTCCCTCTTGAAACCCCCAAATGGACTCTGCCTCCAGCACTGTACTTTGCGTCCCAACAAACGCTCTGGGCGAACAAAATAGGTCAGGGTTTGGCAGAAATTAAAATAGGTTTGTAGCCCAGAGCCAACCAGGATACGAGCCCAAAGGTCGCCCAATATCAAGCAATGCCTCCAGTGGGTAGCAGACTGGCCAATTTAGGCTCAGTGCTTTCGAAACTACGGAAGAAAAGATCTTAAAGAAAATAATTGGGGCGTTAAATTCAAACGTTACCACTCCCAACGCAGCCCGTGGAACAAAAACCCGCCCAATGGGGCGTGAAGCCGCCCAGTCTGGCCACACCGCCTTGAATAGGGTGGGGTTGGACACTCTCCTTGACCAAGATGGCGACCGTAGGACGTTCTCCTTTAGAAAGATGGCGGCGGCGGCGGCTGGGCCGGGCGCTCCTTTACCAAGATGGCGGACGCCGGGCCTCAGTGGAACGGGAACCTTTGTTCGGCGGCGGCGGCGGAGCCCGGACACGGCCGCGGATGCACAGGATGTGTTGGTGGAAAATGGCGCGAGCGAGTAAGGTGGGGGACACCTCCAAACAGTCAAACTTTTAGTTGGTTTTTCTTTAAAAAAAAATGTACTTCAAAGATGTTTTTCGGTGATGGAGGCGCGCTCTGACGGTGGTGGGGGGGAGGGGAGTGAGGGGGAGGAGGGGGAGTGTGGGGGGGGAGTGAGGGGGGAGGGGGGGGAGTGAGAGGGGGAGTGGGGAGTGAGAGGGGGAGTGGGGGTGTGAGGGGGGAGTGAGTGGGGGGGAGTGAGGGGGAGTGAGTGGGGGGGGGGGGAGTGAGGGGGAGTGAGTGGGGGGGGAGTGAGGGGGAGTGAGTGGGGGAGGAGGAGGTGCAGCTGCTGCTAAGACTTTTATTCCCGGCGCCAACTTAGCATTTTGTTAATGCGTTTTAAAAAAATCCGTATTTATCTGTTATTTGTATATTGTGCGCCGTGTGCGCTGTGGCTGGCGGCGTATTGGAGGTGTCGCTCACAAAACGCACAGTCACTACACTTTACAGTGTGTCCCCGTGAAGCGCCCTGAGACGTCTCGGCGGCGCGATCAGGCGCCGGGTCGAACGCCGGGATTATCATTGTTGCTGTTGTCAATCTTGCGGTTGTGTTTCCTCAGTCCGCTGTGGTTCTGTGCCTGGATGTGGGTCACACAATGGGCCACGCGCCACCAGGGCACGAGTCTCCGTTTGAACAGGCCAAGAGAGTTCTGTTGATGTTCGTGCAACGACAGGTAACCAGTTATTCTCCCAATCCAGTCGCCGGCTATAAAACCCGTTAAGGTGATACAGCAGTGAATCAGCCAAAGCGAGAGGACTGTGATTGTTCCGGCGACGACGTGTCTTTATGGATAATGTGCGCTCGCTGCGTTTTGATGCAGGTGTTCGCTGAGAGCAAAGATGAGACTGCCTTAGTGCTGTACGGCAGCGACGCAACCTCCAACCCTCTGGCTGGGGCAGACCAATACCAGCACATCACCGTGCACAGGAACCTGATGATCCCCGACTTCAGTCTCCTGGAGGACGTGCAGAGCAGGATCGAGCCTGGACTGCAGCAGGCAGACTGTATCTTTTCAGCAAATAAGAATATAACAACAACAACAACGACTTGTACTTGTACAGCTTACTCCACGCAGGGTAGCGTCTCGGAGCACTTATGTATTTGCATAAGAATTTGCCGCACGAAAGAAGACCAAGGTCCATCCAGTTTGGCTTCCACTATCCTGGCAGTCGCTTGCACATGTCATGTCCCATTCTTTACACGGTCTCCCCAGATATGATTTCTTCACGCGAGATAGTGTATAGCAGGAAACAGTAATACTGGGTATCCTCTTCGACCGACTGCGTCTTCGATCACTCTCCTGCCCTCACCCTCCCTGCCCTCTACGCCTCCTGATTCCAACCCCCAGCTTGGTGCAAATCCCTGACTGTCCAGCGCCTTGGGATGTGGCCTGAGGAAGCAGCCGGGAGGAGATGGGGGTCAGAATGATGTGCTGGAGAGTCGGCCTAAGATAGGATACCCCGAGGACCTGCTATTTCTGAAGAAACATTACCAGGTCCTGAACATGAGGCACAGTTTAACAGCTACGCGTGTAGCACAGTATAAGAGCTTTCTTTCTGATTTTTTCCTTGACTCTGGCCTCAGTTCTGGATGCCCTGGTGGTCTGCATGGATGTGCTTCAGAAACAGACACTGTAAGTGTTAATGGGTCAGAACTTCAGCTTTCACCAGCAGTATGGAGGGAGGATGTCGCTGCAGGGATAACCATGTACACTTGATTACAAGAATTCCCCGATATTTTTGCCGAGGCCAGGCTACTGGATTTTGAGCAGTTCTGTGCGTGTGTGACGAGGCTAGTTTACAGGAGGGGTTCGGATGATGCTGGTGGGTTCGGGGACGGGGAATGCTTCTAGTTTGGGAAAGCGGGGCTGCCTACTTGGGGGTGGGGCTTTTGGCAGGGGGCTGGGTGGGTGGGGGGGGGGGTCTGCCAGCTCTGGGCTGGTTTTCTGTCCCGAGTGTCAGTAACTGTGGAGGCTAGAGTGAAGGGCAGGGGTAGTTGGAGACGGGCCTATGGGGGCTGATACACTGACTTGCTGTCTGCTCCTCTCAGGGGGAAGAAATACGAGAAGCTGCACATCGCGGTGTTCACAGACCTGAACAGCCCCTTCAGCTCCGACCAGTTGGACATCATCATCGCCAACCTGAGGCAGGCCGGCATCACTCTGCAGTTCTTGTAAGTGTTTCATTCAAAGGCTGTGGAGACGTCTCAAAAGCGGTTCACAGGATACACTGTAAAGTGGAGTGGCTGTGTGTATTGTAGGTGAAACACAGCAGCCAATTGCGCACAGCAGCGTCCCACAAACAGTCATGGATTGAGCGATTATATATTTTTTTGGAGGGATTATTACCCCCAGGAAAGCGATCCACCAATTGACGAACAACCGGATTCCTACTTATTGCTAGGTAAACTGAGCCGTGTGGAAACTTGCCTAAAGTTTTGCCCTGTCCAGGAATTGAACCCTGGTTGCGAGGGCTATAACCACCATGCTACGGGATTTGCCAAGGAATGAGGACCACAGGACTCTTGTCTAGTTTTCTGTCACTCGGGAGAACGCCTGTCTGTGGCTTGGAGTCTGCTCGCAGTGACTGGCTGAAATGTGTGACTGAGCAGCACGGTGGGAGTTGAGGTAGAGATCAGCCATGATCTGATAGAATGGTGGAACAGGCTTGATAGGGCTGAATGGCCTCTTCCTGTTCCTATGTTCCTATATGCGCTTGTGTAACTCAAGCCTTTACTAAAACGTGCATCAAAAGTTCCCTCCAGTGTGAGCACTACTGCAGATTCCTTGCTGCACTATCCAGTCTGCAGCCTTCAACACATCATTCCTCCCTGCAGCCTCCCATTCCCACTGGATTCGGACGGTGAAGGAGGCGGATGCGGGGACGCTGACTCGGGAGTACAGGCAGATAGAAGCCGGGGCCATCCCCCGGGGAAAGGGCTGACCACGCAACAGAGGAAGGAGTCAAGATGGTCAGGAAGGTGATGACAGCCTTTGATGAGGAGTTTGGTCTCGATGAGGTCTTCACCTTCAGGTAAGGTGTGGCTGAATACGGGAAACCAAAGAGAGAGGATACCAAATGCAAGGTTAATAATAGTGATACTGATTATCATATAATAGTGCTGCCATTGGATATAGTGAAAATCTTAGGAATGTAAGACGCCTGGGCCTGCCTGACTCTTTTTTCACCCGTTGCTCTATCTCTTCTTAATATCTCTCTTCCCTCTTCATTCCTGCTTTGACCCCTCTTTTGCTGTCTCTCTCCCCACGTCTTTCTTTCTACCTCCCCTCTCCATAAATCTATTCTGTTTGCTTACAAAACACATTATCACTGTTGTTGTATTATCACTACACTTTTCTCTCCCCTTTCTCGATGCCCCTGACTCTCCTTTCCACCTCGCTCTCCTATCTGTTGCTCTCTCAGTGTTCCTCCACTCACTCGCTAGCACGTTGTAGGATCTGCCGTTTCACTTGATCTGTTGCCCTCGGCTGGATTCACTGCTTGCTGTGTGGGAGGAGAGAGAGAGGTGCTAAGGGCTGACTCACTCGGGATGTGGTGTGGGATATACATGGATGAACCGGCTGAATCTGGTTCCTGTCTCCTCTCGCAGTGAGAGTGCTGAGCGCCTTGGCCTGTTCAAGAAGCTGGAGAGGAGACCGATGCCTTGGCCCTGTCAACTGACCATTGGGTCCAATATCTCCATCAGGATTGTGGGCTACAAGGCAGTAAGTGTCGGCTGCAGCTTCTCTGTGTGTGTGCCTGTTACTCTCAGCCCGTCAGTCAGGGCAACAATCATCCGCAGTTCCCCTTAGGTCAGGGAGGGAGGGAGGGGTATCAGACAGGGTTCTGAACCTATGCCTCCACCCCCCACCTCCACCAAATGGGAGACAGTACATGTGGGGAACTTGCAGCGTCGAACTCACAGAGGAGGATGGAAAACTATAGCCAGATATTGTGATGGGCAGAAGCTTCTGTTTACTAACCAGCTAGATGTCAGTGTGTAATATTGGAAAGCATTCCCCTTCCAGATCACCCCACCCACACGCACCGCCTCATACATGTTACATACAGGGTGTCCACAAAGTCCCGTTACCCCCTGTTACAAAACAGCCGTATGAAACTATGGAGGAGCTGAAACAAGCTGAGAGGCATTTCACCTCCTCACTCCATCCATCCATGTTATGGAAGGTGTGGCATTGAACATGGCGATACATCATTATCTGCCATGAAAATGATGGCGCTCACACACACACACGACACTCACTCACACACAGTCACACACACGCCACTCACACACCGATCCTCTGGACGTCTGAATACAGTTAAACACTTGTACTGAATGCAATTAAGTACTTTCTAAATACAATTATCATCATTCTTCCACATGTTTCAGTTGTTGGTCAGTATACTGTAGGGAAGAAAAAACATGGAGGTAATAGGGCTTTGTGGACACCCTGTACATGTCTTGTACACGCACACATGTGTCGTCTTTTACACCCCCAATGTAAACTCTTGAACCAGATGTGTGAGGAGAAAGTGAAGAAGGCGTGGATATCTGTCGATGCCAAGACACTACAGAAGGAGGACGTGAGAAAGGAGGTGGTTTACTGCTTAAACGACGATGATGAGACAGAGATTCTCAAGGATGAGACCATCCAAGGTACAGCCCAGCCCCCAGCCCCCACCCCCAGCCCAGCCTTCCTTAACCGAGGAAGTGGTTGTCATTCTCATTGTTGATCTAGTTGAGATCAACAACAACAACACATTACATTTACACGGCACCTTTCACATTGGGAGGATGTCCCAAGGTGCTGGACACTCAGGGATTTGCACCTGAGCTGGGGGTTGGGATCAGGAGGGGTGGAGGGCAGGGAGGGTGAGGGTAAGAGGGTGACCAAAGGTGTGGTCTTTGGTGACCAAAGAGTCTACTCTGCTCTAATCCCGTATCCACACCCTTTAATGATACGTTTCCTGGTAAAGCTAACCAATTCCGTGCCGTCTTTCCCACAGGATTCCGCTACGGCAGTGATATAATCCCGTTCTCCCGCATTGACCAGGATCAGATGAAATACAAGACGGACGGGAAGTGCTTCAGTGTGCTGGGATTCACCAAGTCCTCACAGGTAATAATCATAATCATCATAATAATCACCATCATTATGATCACTAGCAGTTATACAGTTTGTGGAGTTTGTGGAGTCCTGTAGCTCAGTGGTTAGAGCACTCGCTTTGCAAGCGTGAGACCTGAGTTCAATTCCAGGCAGAGGGCGAAACCTCGGGCAAGTTTCCTTACTCCACACAGAGCCTAATAATAATCCCTCCAAAACCAAAAACAATAATAAATTGGTCATTTCCAATCTACGACACTTTGTGGGACATTGCTGTGCGCAATTGGCTGCCGCGTTCGCCCTCAAATATACAGTCAATTCACTTTACAGTGTGTTCTGTGAAGCGCTTTGGGACGTCCTCCCGACGTGAAAAGCACTATATCAAATGCAAGGATTATTATTATTATTATACTGAGCCTTTCTGGGAAAAATAATCATTTCGAGGCACTTTACAAAATACAATTAATTAGAAATGTAATATAGTATAATAATGACTCACTCCGCTTTGTGAATGGAATAGAACTTGCCGAGGGGGAAGCTGGAAGAGATTAAAGGCTGCCACGGGGGCTCGTAGTGTAGTGGTTAGAGCACTCGCCTCGCAAGTGAGAAGACCCGGGTTCGATTCCCGGGCCGGGCAAAACCTAGCAGTAAGTGGGAATCGGGAATCGATTCCTCTGGTGGGTCCTCTCACTTGCTACACTAATTGCTTCGCTACAGGACTCCACAGTGTCTGCTCTACCTTGCAGGTATTGAGGCATTACAATATCGGGCGGCAGACGCTGAAGGTCCTCCCACCAAAAGATGATGAGGTGAGAGCTGGGTTCTGTCTAGGGTGGGACTATCCCATTTATTCTATTAGATCACAGTTGATCTGCACCTCAACTCCAATTACCTGCCTTTGCTCCATATTCCTTGATCCCCTGACTCAACAAACATCTATCACCTCGGTTTGGACAATGTGAATGGATCCACCTTGTTCTCTTTATCTCTTCCCCTCTTCCTGTCTTCCCTGACTGTCCAGCTCCTTAGAACGTGAAAGGAGCTAAACAAATGTAATTTGTTGTTATCCATCCCTCCACCACAGTCCTCTCTCTCACGTGTGTGTGTGTGTCTCCCTCTCTCTCCCTGTGTGTGTGTGTGTGTGTGTGTGTGCAGCACACTCAATGTCCTCTCTCTCTCTCCCTGTGTGTGTGTGCAGCACATTCAGTGTCCTCTTTCTCTCTTTCTCTCCCTGTGTGTGTGCATGTGTGTAGCATGCGGCGGTGGCACTCTCAGCACTGATCCAGGCTCTGGAAGAGATGGACATGGTGGCGATCGTGCGCTACGTGTACGACCGGAGATCAAACCCGCAGGTGGGCGTGGCCTTCCCTCTCATCAAGGAGGAATACCAGGTAACAGGACAACTGAAGGTCAGCGGGGGAGAAGGGGGTGAGGTGGGGTGGGAGCAGTCGGGTGAGCGAGGGATGACTCCGGAGGCCGTGAAGAAGGAATCACCAGGACGGCAACATAAAGGACAGATTGACAGCGGCTGTTGAGCGAGATGATGAAATGGCTGGGATTAAAAGATCTGCCGCGATCGAATAAACTGGCCGAGCGGGCTGGCTGGCCGGCTGATCGGCATTGTTGAACCCTCCTGTTTCCGAGGGGCATGTTTTTAGGGGGGGATTTTAATTTTTTTCTCTACCCCCCCCCACCCCCCCCAGTGCCTGGTGTATATCCAGCTACCCTTCATGGAGGATCTCAGGCAGTTCACGTTTGCCTCCCTCAGCCACAAGCGATGGGCAGCTTCCGGTGAGTGGCTTGGCGGGATCAGAAGGACTGGTGGGTGTGTGTGTGTTTGTGACTGGTACATGTGTGTTGTGCTGCCGTGTGCGACTGTGGGTGGGTGGGTGGGTGAGTTTGGGGTGGAGGTGGGGGGCGGGACCTGTGTGTGTGTGGCTGGGGCTGTGCCGTGTGCGAGTGTGTGGGCGAGAGCATGGATGTTTGTAGATGAGAGCGTGAGTGGCTGAGCCGGGTTGGCGTGGTGCCTGCTGATCGCTGCTGTTGGGGAAAGTTCAGCCACTCTCTGGGCTCTGTTACAGAGGAGCAGTTGGCTGCTGTGGATTCTCTGATCGACTCCATGGGGCTGGTGCAGGAGGACGGGGAGAAAACCCAGGATCTCTTCAAAGTCAGTAAAATCCCCAATCCACATTACCAGCGTTTGTTCCAGGTAAGATAGTGGCTGGTGTGGGCGCCTGTGTGTGTGTTTGTGACTGACTGACTGGCTTTAACATGCCAGCCAGCCTCTACTGTGTATACTCTAAACCCAGGGACCAGAGCCAATATACTGTGGAGTCCTGTAGTGTAGTGGTTAGAGCACTCGTCTCAGAAGCGAGAGGACCCAGGTCCGATTCCAGGGCAGGGCGAAACCTTAATTTTGTCACTCAATCCACGACTGTTTGTGGGGACGCTGCTGTGCGCAGTTGGCTGCTGCATTTCAGCCACAAAATACAGTCAATTCACTTTCCAGTATATTATTTGAAGCACTTTGAGACGTCTCAATAGCAATATAAGGCGCTGTATCAAATGTAAGGATTATTATTGTTGTGATTGCTGAACTTTGCTTTAAATCTGATGACCAGTACAGACATTTGCTCCCTGGTTGGGGAAGGGTAAGACTGAGAAACGTGACCTGTGTGTGTTTTTTCCTTCGCTCTGATTACTGCCAGTGTCTCCAGTACAAAGCCTTTCACCCGGACCAGCCACTGCCCCCCATTGAGGCACAGCTGACAGCCATGCTGGAGAGGCCCCAGGAGGTGTCTGTCTCCTGCCAGCCAGCCCTGCAACATCTCAAATCCCTCTTCACTCTGCAGGATGCTGGCAAGAAGAAAGAGCCAAAGATCGCACAGAAAATCTTCAAGTAAGATCTGGCTGGCTGGCTTTTTTAACACAAAGATACTTGAGCTAAGTGTGTATAAAATGTTCACAGTCCAGGCTGACACTCCAGCACAGTCCTAGAGGGAGCGCTGCATTGTTGGAAGCGCTGTCGTTAACCCCCGCTTAATCCCTCACTCCTCCGCTATCATTTTATAGTGGGGGAGTGGGATTCAGTTGGACAGCTCTTTCAAAGAGGCGGCACAGACACAATGGGTCGAATGGCCTCCTTCTGTGCTATATGATTCTATGAATAATCATATCTTAGGTCCTGTTGAGTCCTGTAGTGCAGTGGTTAGAGCACTAGCATCGCAAGCGATACAACCCGGGTTTCATTCCTGGGCATGGTGAGACCTCAGGCAAGTTTCCTTGCTCCACACGGCTCTGTTTACGCAGCAGCAAGTAGGAACCCGGTTGTTAGTCAATTGACGGATCGCTTTCTGGGCGGTAAAAATCCCTTCAAAAAAAATAATAATAATTTGGTCATTCAATCCACGACTGTTTGTAGGACACTGCTGTGCGCAATTGGCTGCCGTATTTCGCCCACAAAATATAGTCATTCCACTTTACAGTGTATCCTGTGAAGCGCTTTAAGACATCTTCTCAACAGGGTGATAAGGTGCTATATCAAATGCCAGGATTATTATTATTATTAAGGCCGGCACTGACTGACTGATGTGTCTGTGATTCTGCTCTCAGTAACGTGGAGGAGCCCGATGCAAAGCGAGCACGACTGGATGACGAGGAGTTCTGTATCACTCGACTGGCTGAAGGCAGAGTCACCTCAGTGAGTACAGCAATATCTCCCCAGAACCCTCACAGCCTGACCAGGGGTAAAATAGCCCAGCAATCCAGCGAGAATCCCAGGATGTCAGTAAAGTGTATGAGGGAGAGAGAGAAACAGCAGGCGACCGGGAATTTAGAAGCCTGTAGGAGGGAGGGGAAAGTGAGGGAGGAAGTAAGGGAGGGAAGTGCTGCGAGTAACTTTAGCCTTGAATAGGGTGAGGAAAGCTCTGAGGATCGTGACTCGACAATGGGGATAACGGCGTCCAGGCATTTTTGAAGCATTCTGGAGCACCCTGGAGGCAGGAGGTGATTACCACACCAAAGCTTTGATTTTATTCTGTGTTGGTCACTAAACATTAACAATTGAGGAATATCGGGGAGATTTTATTGAAGTATAAGATCCTGAAGGGTGAAGAGAAACCGAACCCCAATAATGTGTTTAACATGGGTGGGGGCTGGGGTAGGGCTCGAGATCAGACGAGAGGCAGTTCAGATTGAATGAATTTAGACAGAGCGTGGCTGGTGAGCGCGTGGAATGGATGAGCCAGGGAAGCGGATTGTGTCAGCGTTAGAGAGGGAACTTGAGAAGCATCTGCTGCAGTATTGGGCTCAGCTTCTCTGCCCCCACCCTCTGGAACTCCATCTCACAATCCCTCCGCCTCGCCTCCTTCAAGGCCCATCTCAATACCCTCTTCGACAGTGCCTTTGGCCAGCCTCCTACCCCCACCCACCCTGCTTGCCCTCCTCCCCTCCTGATCCCAACCACCATCTTAGGTCCAAATTGCTGACTGTCCAGCACCTTCCAGCGTTGAGCTGATCTGCTGTCTCCTCTCCCCAGGTCGGCAGTCTGCATCCAGCCAAAGATTTCCGATTCCTCATCAGCCAGAAGAGCGACTTCAGAGAAGGTGAGTGACAGATCCGTCAGGAACATGCGATAATCCTTACGCTCAGTCACTGGGGACAGGGAATCTCCCACTCAGCTCCTGCTAACCCTTCAGCCAAAGCCCAAACGGGTAATGTGATCGTAGCTGGACAAGCAACGGGAAAGTGTGCCAGACAACACTCAATGGCAAGCTATGTGTGGTTTTAGCTGGTTAGACTCCAGGAATTACCCCCAACGTACACTCTGGGATCCCCCCAAGTTTTGGCTCTTGCCAACCTGCGCCTAATTCTCTCTGGAATCGAGTAAGCAGGAGGCATCCCTCCAGGGAGAGAGGGAAAGTGCGCATTCTATTCCAACAATCTGTCTGAGGGATTCCCATGTGCAGTTGGGAGGTATGAAATTCTCAGTTTGGTTTGGAGACTCGTAAGCACAGTGATGGGTTTCCGTGTGTGTCAGACACCCACCCGGCTGACCAAAAAAAATCCTTACTTTCAATACCTTGCCTTATCATGTCGTGGAGGGGTCTCAAGTGCTTCACGGGACTTTTACTGTGAGTGTAGTAACTGTTTAGTGTGCCAGGCTGTGTGGGGAGTGCAGGTTTGCAGCCCGACTCTGAGCTCTGTGTCTGTGTGTGTCTCCCCGGCAGTGAGCTCACAACTGAAGGAGCGTGTGTGGCAATTCCTGGCTGTGAAGGGACGAGAGTATTACATAAAGAGCATGGACTGTATCTCGGCCTTCAGGGAGGAGGCAGTGAAGGTAAGCCTGAGACTCGTCTACGAGTGAAACAGCTAAAAGGGTGTGGGTTCCCTAAGTAGAGCCAGAGACCCCGCTTAAACACCCCCCACCGCCCCACCTGAGGAGAGATCTTTGTTGACTGTAACTTGGTATATGTGGGGGACCCTCATCTTCCTGTTTCATTCCAGGCCGGAAAAGCTCAACTCTTCAACACCTTCATTAAAACTCTGAAGGAGAGTGTGGAGGAAAAGGGTCTGTACGACTTCTGGGATCTGCTGGTACAAGGTGAGGGACACCCTGCAGTCAGTGTGTGTGTGTGTGGCACGTGTGTCTGTGTGTGTCTGTGTGTGGCACGTGTAGCTGAGTGTGTCTGTGGGGGAGTAGCAACTAACATTTACGCGGCATCTTTAACGTGACAGAAATGTCTCTAATCGCTTCACGGAGTGAGATTACTTTGAAATGAAGTGAATGTTGTTACGGAAGAAAACACGGTGACCAATTTGTGCCAGAGACGCCCACTCACATCTGCCAGATATACAGGGTGTCCACAAAGTCCTGTTACCCCCCTGTTACAAAACAGCGATATGAGACTATACAGAGGAGCTGAAACAAGCTTTCAGAGATGTATTTCACCTCCTTAATCCATCCATGTTACTGAAGATATCACACTGACCCCACCGACCGAACATGGCGATGGATCATCATCTGCCATGGTACTCAGACCAGGAACCAGGCAATAACCATCCACTGACATCCTGCCATATGGTAACAGACTCAGGCTGCTGGTGATCACAATGTTAGGAGCTGATCTGGTGCTCTCCTGTGTTCTAACCCTTCTCTCTCTCTACTGCAGACGGAGTTTCCCTCATCACACAGGATGAAGCTGGAGACAGCGCGGTGACAGAGGATGAGGCCAAGAGGGTCAGATTAACATGATAATAATCCTCACATTTAACACTCGCACCTGTTACAGGCCTGATCCACTTCCCCCCGCCTTGCCCGCCCCACCCTCTGATGGTCAGGCCTTTAGTCTCTCTGCCCCCACCCTTTGGAACTCCATCCTACAGTCCATTCGCCTCGCCCCCTCCCTCGCCTCCTTCAAGGCCTGTCTCAAGACCCTCGTCTTCGACCGCATCTTCGGTCGCCCTCCTACCCCCCACCCTCCCTATTCCTGCACCCCCTCCCTTTCCCAACCCCCAGTTCCAAAATCCTGACTGTCCGGCAGCTTGGGGCGTCCTCCCAACATGAAAGTTGATGTGTAAAATGTCATTGGTTGTTGTGGAAAGGGCTGAGTGGGCTTCTGGTCTACATTGCTGTGTAACTATGGCTGAGCTCTGTCTCTCTCTCTCTCTCTCTTTGTTCCAGTTCCTGGCGGCAGAGGAGAGAGCGGCGGAGCCGGAGGCTGTGGCCGAGGATGGGGGAGACGTGGATGATCTGGTGAGTGGTGCCTCTACACAGGGCAGGTTATTTGTGTGAGAGAGAATAATATTAAAGGGCAACGGACAGGGGAGTGGGATTAGAGTGGAGGGGTCCAATGGGGGTGCAGTTGAATGAGTACAGACATGATGGGTGTGGTTGGGGGGAGGGCGGGTGAGTGGAACAAGGGAATGAGATTGTGTGTGTGTGTGTGTGTGTGTGTGAGAGGATCATGGAGTGAAGTTGTTTTGGTTCCATGCGAGGCTAACCTACCCTGTTTGGCTTTATAGCTGGATATGATGTAGTCTGCTCCTGTGACACTCTATACGGACTGGGCACGGGGTCTGGCCAGGACGGCGAAGCAGGGGACTCGTGGTGGGAGCAGCCAGCTGTCGTATATCCCTCAAAACCAGAGCTTTTCTTACCATTTACAGGCTGAGTTGAAACGATGGTAAACTCTAATTCTGTTTTTTTCGGTGCGTGTTGTGTGCTCACTGGAGCTGGCTCTGCAAGAGCATTTTCTCTTTTTATTTAAGTAAATCCCGGGGGGTGGGGGGGTAGGCAATTTTCCACAATTTCTTAAAGGATCTCTTAATTAAATACGCACGTCTATGACGCTGGCTCGAGGGAGTGATGCTAATTATTACCAGAGTGGGTATACTCCACACGGCATGGTGTATGTCATGTTATTGCTGAGTCTTAATTATAAATCAATAAGGAATCAAGTCTCCCTCCCCCCCCCCCCCACACCCACACATTGTGAACATTGAGCTCACAGTCCAAGTCCAAGTCTGGTGCTGCAGTGCAGTGCTGGGGGGCTGGGAGGGAGAGGAGCAGGGCTGGTGTCCTGTGGATGAGCTCCCTTCTATTTGCCTGTTCACGTGCCCTGCAGATTTAAGTGCAGAGCAGAGTTCCAACATTTTTTTTTGAGGGTTTATTACCCTCTGGAAAGCGATCCGCCAATCGATTAAAGTTCTATTGTTTAATGATGGCAAATACAATTAAAAGTTCTCTCGAGTTATTTCTTTTCATTGATTGGGGTTGTGTGGAGAAGAACAAGCCTGAGCTCAGGCTCTGGATCACTTGCAGGGTGGTCTAACAGGTGGCCCATGGGCCAATTTCATCCGGCCCCGAGCCTCCCCTCTTTCCATTCCATCTGGCCTGCCCGCTCCTCCATTACCTGTAAATGTTATGTTTATAAATATAAATAAACCTTGCATTTGATACCGCGCCTTCACACGTCTTCGAGACGTCTCAAAGCTTCACAGAATATACTGTAAAGTGAATTGACTGTATATTTGTGGGCAAAACTCGGCAGCCAATTGCGCACAGCAGCGTCCCACAAACACTCGTGAATTGAAGTGACTATTATTGTTTTTTCACGAGGGTTTATTATCAGAAGTGTGGAGTAAGGAAACTTGCCCAAGGTTTTGCCCTGCCGGTGATTGAACCCAGGTCTCTCGCTTGCAAGGCGAGTGCTCTAACCACTGAGCTACAGGATTCCATGTTTCTGGAAGGGAAACACAAAATTGTTGTTTATGGGGCCCGTGGATGTTTCTCAAATAGGGCATATGGCCCTCAGCAGCCAACAGGTGGCCCCCACTCCCCCGGTTTAGTGAATCGTATGTGGTTCACTGTGGTTATTCTGGGTTGTGCCTCCCGATGTGAAAGGCGCTATGTAAAATATGATGTGTTGTGTGTGGCACAGGCAGGAAGTGTCTTTCAGGTCAGTAAGAGACTGGTGTATAACACAGAGTCAGTTTTAATGTAAGAACATTTCTACATATTTACAATTGTAAACAAGACCAGCATCTTTCCTCCGAGCTCTGGGAGCATGGACAGCAGCTGCCGTGAAACCCGATTTCCTTTCCATTCCGGACAAATGTTCCCAGAGGTTTTTCCAGGTTCCAGAGGAACAAATCCGATCAGCTTTTCCTTCTCTCCCAGTTTAAGGGGCTTGTGTTAACCGCTTCAATAATAATAATAACTCTTGCATTTGATATAGCGCCTTATCGGGTCGTTGAGACATCTCACTGTAAGTGAATTGACTGTATATTTTGTGGGCGAAATGCGGCAGGTAATTGTACACCGCAGTGTCCCACAAACAGTCATGGATTGAGTGACCACATTATTGAAATAAGAAGTAAAATAATCTTCAAAGCTAATGGAGGCTTTTGTTAATACTAAGGGGTGATAGATGCTCCATTTCTTAATGGATTCAAGGATAATTAGCACTTTGAAGCTGCAAGAAAATGTCATATATTTCAACTCCCAAATGGGCAACTAGATTTAAAACCAATTGTTAGTTGCACTTTTATTTCCCTCTTCTATCTTTGCTTTTTCCCAAATGACCACCTCGGTTGGGAAGCTGGGAGGATGGATCATTCTCCATTTCTGAGCCTATCGCTGAACATTTCTTGGTCAGACCACAGCAACACAAGAGGGCTGCTGTGTTGGGAGAACATCTGTCTTAACACTTATCAGTGGGTCATCAAAATGTTTGCCTGCCTTAGATTTTTTTAGCAGCATGTTAGAATCTTTTTGCAAATGGCTGTGAAGGTTAAGTTATACTTCAGCATTTAAAAGGGAATTTGTTAAATACTTGAAGAAAAATAATAAGGGTAAAGAGTGAGGAATAGGAGAGTTCCAATGGGGGAGCGAGCCCCAGCACAGACACGATGGGGAGAGAGAGCAGGGAATGGGGTTAGAGTAGAGAGCTCCAGTGGGGGAGCGAGCCCCAGCACAGACACGATGGGCATAAATACATTGATGTTAATTTTCAATTGAAATAAGTATGACACCAGTAAAATGGCCTAATTGGTTTATCCAAGTCCTACTCTTGAAGTGATTAACAAACAGCTTCTCCCCCAACCCACTCCTTTGTTCTTTCGTGATCACATCTTTAAGCGCTCTGGGACGCCCCCCCTGCGTGAGGGGCACTATATAAATGCAACTTGTTATTGTTTAGAAGAGATGGTGGAAGTGCACTTGTGAGGAGATGGATGGTGTCCCATTCGGTGTCTCGCTGTGTGAGGTTTGAGTGGAATGCTGAGGGTGCAGTCACTGACAGCCACTGGACAGTGAGACTTGTTGCAAACAGGGCTTTTGCTGGGAGGCTCTGATCCCTCATGGCTGATGTTGGGGGTAAGGTACAAGCTGAATGCAGCGGTGGGTCAGGAGGAGAGGTGGCACAGCAGCTCTTGCCATTAACGTAGACATGCAACTTGGACTACAGCTCCATGAGAACGGACAGTTTAGTGACTTATACTGAGGAATATGGAGCACATCTCCAGCACTCCCAGGTCAGATATAGCACAGGTTATAAACACAGTAAAGCTCCCTCTACACTGTCCATTACACTCCCAGGTTAGGGTTAGAGAGACAGTAAAGCTCCCTCTACACTGCGTCCACACTCCCAGGTCAACAAATGCACAGTTTAGATAGAGAGTAAAACTTTGTATATAACACCCAGCAGTGTGGCTGATGAAGAGATTGTCAGTGCCAGCTATTATACCTTCTCTGAGTGTCATTACCATCAGATTGCAAAAGTCAGGACCGTGTACATTGACTGAGCCCAGTAGGAGTTGGGGTTGAGGTTGCCCCTATTCCACATTAAACTTGTATAAGGGTCTAAAATGTGGGACTAGCAACCTGGATTCACACAGGATTAATCCATTGTGAATCCTGTTGATATCATTGTCACACAGACCTGGGACACTCCACATCCCACACAGTCAGAGAGGAGGTCTTATGGGTCTGTGGGACGTACATCTGGTTACAGATGTGAATCCTGGCTATGACTGGCCTGAGCTCCAGCACCTCTCCTGTGCTGTCATGTTGATGATTCTATGAATAAGGCCTGAAGGTGATTCCTTGCTGTGGTTCAGGCTTGTAGGGTTAGGAGCGAGGCCAGGTATTGGGACTCCAGCTCTGAGCAGCGACCAGCCCTCTGGGAAAGTACAGAGTGAGCGACACAATAAGGGGAAGGTCTTTGGTCCATCCGGCCAGCTCCAAAGTGTATAAACCAGTCATTAATAATAATAATAATAATCCTTGCATTTGATATAGCGCTTTTCACGTCGGGAGGACGTCCCAAAGCGCTTCACAGAACACACTGTAAAGTGAATTGACTGTATATTTGTGGGCGAACGCGGCAGCCAATTGTGCACAGCAATGTCCCACAAACCGTCGTAGATTGAAAATGACCAATTTATTATTGTTTTTGTTTTGGAGGATTATTATTAGGCTCTGTGTGGAGTAAGGAAACTTGCCCAAGGTTTCGCCCTCTGCCTGGAATTGAACTCAGGTCTCTCACTTGCAAAGCGAGTGCTCTAACCACTGAGCTACAGGACTCCACGATGTATTAACAAAATACACAGTCACCAATCTACAGTAAAGATGTTTCCTTAGATCAGAAATGCAAAGGCGGAATTTTTACGCCATCTAGAATAATCCTTATAAGCCTTTCACTTGAGGAGGACATATGTCAAAACTCCTCGAAGGATTTACAGTACAGTGGAGTGACTGTGTGTTTGTGTGGGTGAGAATCTACTGCTATCTCAGCTGAGATCAGTCCACTCACCACAGATGGAGAATGGAACATGGGACTTCACTAATCTGTATAGGCCAGAGGAAGGCAATGAGTGATTAACTACCAAGCCTTGGGGGGAGCTGATTTCTGGACTTTGTTATATATTCATCCAAAATATTGAGCTAAGAATTGAAGACTTTTTTAAAGAAGAGGTAATTTTAACATTCTTTTATGGCAGTTCATTCAACATACAGTGTGTGTGTGTGGGGAGCGCTGAATATTCTTATCTCTAGTCACACTTCAGTGTTGCAATTCTGCACTCATTCAATACTTTGAGCACAGAATAATCTATGTGACCTGTCTACATCTGAATTATCCATGCAGTTTAGCATCCTGAATCATGTCCCCCTTTCATAACATTAACATGAGGGCAAACCAGGATAGCACTGAGAGACGTTCATTCTCCCAGAATGTGGAAAGCTCGTCCCCAGAAAGCCACAGATGAGAAATCAATCGAGGGATTTGACAGCAAGATCGTTATTTGGAGAATAAAAATATTAAAGGATGTGTTGAGAGGGAGGTTGTTGAGTGTGCACTATGGAATGGTTTGTGGTGGGTGGAGTAGATTTGAATGTCTTTTAGTCATTTCTTATGTTCAACCTTGATCCACCGATCTGGATTATGTCTCCCTTTAATCTTTCTTTCCAAAAGTAGAAATAAGATTTCTATCAGATTCTGCATGTGATTTGACAGTGGTTTCTACCTTGCTTCTTCTATCTGATTCTCCCTCTGTGTGTCACTGTACATCTCTAGAGCTTTCTGTGTGAAACAGGAAATCAATGATTCCCATTACATCGTGGATAAGGATATCTGGGAAATAATGGGTATCTTATTCTTGGATAAGGGATATCAAGGGAATGTTGTGCTTCAATATCAGGGATATAATGGGAATGTTGTGCTCTGTACAGATATCAGATATAATGGGAAAGAATGAGATTACTTTGCTAATGATAGTTTAACTGCAAAGTTGTGCTGGTTAAATATTAGTACCATAGTTCCAATGAGGATAACTATGAGGTTGGAATGCTTGGCAGGATAAGGATCTCGGTATCAGAGTAACGTTAGGCTGGATCAGGACATGTGTACTGCGATGGAAGATTGGGAATTTTGTACACTGATGCTGGAACATTTAGACTGTTGTTTTTCAGGTATTGGAGAACTGGGAATATTGGGATATCAAAGTATTGAGAATTCTGTTGGGAATGTCGTGTATATGTATTAGAGCTTGGGGAAGACTGTGTACGGATATTGACTGAGAATACTGAAATGTATTGTTTATTGGTATCAGAACAGAGTGTATGGACATCTATGTTCAGGGGGTGGACCAGGGGACTGCACACCGGGTGCAGAGGAAATAAATCAATCAACAGGAGAAAAATAAGAAAATAATGGAAACATTTCTTTTGAAAAGAAATCTCCAACGCACACTCTGGTGTCCCCAAGCCTTGGCTCTTGCCAACCTGCACCTCATATTCTCCGGAATTAGACAAGCAGAATGCGTCTCTCTGGCAGAGAGTACACATTCCAATGTAGGCACAGGGAAATTTCCGTGTGTAGTTGGAATACGTAAGTGGGACTCGGTTTGTATACTGTTCAGCAAAGTGATAGGTTTCTGCCTGTGTCAGACAGCCGGCTGAATAAACATGACATCAATTGGGAATATTGGTGTATGGATATGAATTGGGAATGTTGTGCGTGGATGTGCATTGGCAATGCCGTGTGCAGATGTCAGTTGGGAGTGTTATGTGTAGATTCTGGAGAGCTGGGAATGCTGGCTATGGATGTCAGTGGAGTGGGAATTTGTGCTTTGGTCCTGGTGGTGCAGACTCACCCAGCGTGAATTATAAATAAATCAATGGTTAGATCACTGGCCGTCTCCACACCAGAATGGGAATAAACGAGCACACTCCCACAACGTAGTTTGTAACAGTTCTGCCCATTTTTCTTTTATCTAAACTCGAGTATTGAGCCCGCAGCTATTGCGAACCATTGCTCATTTTAACCCACCGTCCAACCCCTCCCTTCTAGCCGCTGGTTTTGGGTGGGGGAGGGGGGGGGGGAGGTCTGATCCCCACACCTCCTGCAGGTCAGTCGAAGCCAAGCTCCAACTGCCTTGTCTGAGTGTCAGTGTCAAACCCCCATGCCTCCCCCTCCTCCTCCCCCCCCCCCCCCCCCCACCCACCCCCCGGCTTTCCAACCTCACGTCCTTGGAGTGAAATGACGACGTCTTCAGACCGTGGTCACTCTCATCACCAGTTCCCTGCTCGTGCCAGTCTGGCTCCTCGGTTCACTTGGCCTCAGGTGGCTGAGGATGTGGAGGATGGTGTACGCACAGTGATGGTCAGACATGTTCCTGCTGGGGTGCTGGCCATGGGAGCCATTGTTCGTGGCGGGCGGGTGCTCGGCCCGTGAGTTCCTTTGGCAAAAGCGGCTGCTGCGTCCTGTCCCGCTCTTTTCGTCCTCAGTGTCCTTGGACTTCTCGTAGTTCAGCACCTTCCACTGCTGGTTGACCGCCTGCCATCGCTTGAAAATCCGGAAAACTGAAGGTCCCTCGTGAATGATCAGGCCTGGAAAACCAAGGAGAGATAGAGAGAGTGTGAAGGGTTTCCATGCTCCAACCCACAGTGGACATGGGATTGGTTAGATAATAATAATATTAATAATCCTCGCATTTGATACAGCGCCTCATCACGTCTTCAAAGCGTTTCAAAACGCTTCACAGAATATACTGTAATGTGTAGTGACTGTATTTTTGGGTGAAATGCGGCTGCCAATTAAGCAAAGCAGCGTCCCACAAACAGTTGTGGGTTGAGTGATCATTTTTTTGTTATTTTTTTTGGAGGGAATATTACCCTTGGAAAGCGATCCCGCCAATCAACCAACAACTGGGTTCCTACTTACAGAGGCGTGTGTGTGGGTGTGTGTGTGTGTGGAGTAAGGAAACTTGCCTAAGGTTTCGCCCTGACCCGCCGGGAATTGAACCGGGTCCTCTCTGTTGTGAGGCGAGCGCTCTAACCACTGCACTGCAGGCTTGTGCCTGTACAGGGCCGAATGGTCTGTTGCTTTGCTGTAAATGCTCAGTGACTGTGAAGTGAACAAAACGGACACTCACCGATGCAGACAATGTCCATGAAGCCGTACATGCCGTAGCAGATCTGGAAGAGAAGGTCCTGTCTCTGCCACTTGGCCGACGGGCTGATGATCGACCAGATTAACCAGGAGATGCTTGCGATGAGGAAGAGGGATCCCAGAATGGCGGCTGCTATCTGGACCCTCTCGATCACCGTCAGGGAGATGGCCTGCCACTGCACGGAGCGAACAGAGAGGGAGGTGTCACAATGGCTACATTAAATGGTTCAACTGGTTTCTAGGCTTTGTTACATGGAACATAATAATAATAATCTTTGCATTTGATATCTTGCCTAATCACCGTATGACCATAAGTCATAGGAGCAGGAGTAGGCCATTCGGCCCCTCGAGCCTGCCCCGCCATTTACCCGCCCTATCCCCAAATCCCCTAATCCCTCTATCCTTTAAAAAATGAAAACATTGTGGAGATGTCTCAAACGCTTCACAGGATATACTGTAAAGTGAATTGATTGTGTATTTTGTGGGCGAAATGCAGCAGCCAATTGTGCACAGCAGCGTCCCACAAACAGTCGTGGATTGAGTGACCAAATTATTTTTTTTGAAGAGATTACCCCTGGAAAGCAATCCGCCAATTGACTAACAGACAGGTTCCTACGTAAACAGGCGTGTGGAGTAAGGACACTTGCTTGAGGTTTTGCCCCGCGCAGGAATTGAACCTACGTCCTCGAGCTTGTGAGGCGATTGCTCTAATAACAGCTACAGGATACACTACAGAATACCCTACTGTAGTATTTCCATGTCTCTAGTGGGCTTCACCAGAAGTGGCTGAAGTAGATCGGTGAGGTTCCTTCACTGGCTAAGAGGGTCGATTGGCCCCAGCACTGACCTGAAGTGGGTTCTTGGCACTGACGGCGAGGACGTGATACTTGTAGTAACAGAGCTCGCAGCTCCAGGACCCCCTCTCGCTGATCCACTTAATCAGGCAGGGCTGGTGGGTACAGCGTACAGACCCGTCACAGCGACATGGGCTCAGCAACTCCCCCTGAAAGCACAAGATCAGAACATCAGAGGCTGGTGCTTCCCTTCCTCAGTCAAAGCAATTGTTCATCACAACAACAAGTTACATTCACACATATCTTTCACTTCGGGAGGACGTCCAAGCCACTGGACAGTTAAGGATTTGCACCCAGGGAGGCAATGGAGGCAGATTATGTCAGCAAATTCAAGAGAGGATTAAACAGCTACTTAGTGAAGAGATCAATTGAGGTGTAAACGAGATGGAGGAATTGTTTGGATTTGGAGCCTATCAGATAGAGAACAATAGTGCTTTCCCAGTCTGTGCAATCCTGCACTCCTAAACCCAGGCTCAGCCACACAAGTAAATTGCGGGTAAGTCCTAGGTAGCTCATCATCACTCTCAGAGCACCACACGACTCTGCTTCTATTCAGTGAGCTAACCATCTAAGGCTGGGTTTGTTCCAATCTAGAATCTCATTCTGAATGAATGGAACATGACAGCTCTGAATTATACATCAGGCTGAAACTCCTGATCACCAGACTGCCACAGGGCCACTCCAGTGAGACTCAAAGAGGTCCATCACTCGATTAGAATAGGCCCGAAGGGCACAGTGAGAGGCTCAGTAGCTAGCTCTCCCATGCCAGCCTGGCTGAGTGGGTAAAAGCACTGTCACTGGCTCAGAGCCTTGTGTGTTGTTATTGGACCGGGTTATTATTATTAATGCAGCTCTTCCCCCAGCAATGCACTGAAAATATCAGCCTAGATGCTGAGCTGAAAGTATGATATATGGGTTTGAACACACAACATTCTGACCCAGAGAAGAGCGTGACCAGATGAGTCAGGCTGAGATTTCTCCTGTGGTGTTTCTTAAAACAGTAGATTTGTTAATAGAAAACAAATTAGCTTACAAATTATTCTAAAGCATCACGCTCTGACGAAAGCTTGTCAGTTTGCTAGAAATTTGGTATCAGCACTTTTCACATTAGCAAATACCGCAAATTAGATCATGTTGGGAGGAAAGCAGACATAAAGCAAAGCTTTGGTGTGCGGGTTGAAGCCAGCACATTGCTTCTGTTGCTTGCTGTGTGATGTGCTGCCAGTTTGTTTGGAAGCTACATATTTAATCCCATTAAATTTTCATTTGTGCTGAAGCTAGGTTGTTGCTCTTGTGAGCTGGACGCACTACGTATCAGTTAACAAGTAATCAAACCAATTTTCCTTGGGTGTAAATGGCCATTTGAGTGGTCCCGTAGTCTGGCTGAGCCGAGATGTAACAAGTGTTCAGGAGTCACTCTGCACTGCCAAGCAGCTTAGCCCCTACCATCCTCGCTCCTGGTGGGGAGGGGGGTCTATAAACCTAGTGTGCTGTCTGCAGCTCGCGCAGTTCTGTGTGTGTGTGAGGGGTGGGGTGGCTTTCCTTTTCCTAGTTATAGGTGCAGCCCAGGCTCCAGTTACATTTGCAGAAACACAAAGCTATATCTGATATACACACAGGTACAGAGGTACCAAATACAGAGAGTGCACAGATATGGAGAAATGAGTGAAGTGGTCCTGGAAGAACGGACACAAGATTTAAAAAAACACAATAGAAAAAGGTTTCTATTTTTAGCGATGCTCACGTGATAGGCCCCAGAGACAGACAAACACAAACAGCAAGACAAGAGACAGGGACACTATAGGATCTATCTTACGCTGATCATGAGAAACAGCGCTCGTTTTCACAACAGAGTTATCTGGGATTTCCCTTTAGGTGTGTTTAAACAGAAAATCCCGATGAGAAAGATTGCTATTCTCAACAATGAACATTATAGAAATTCCAGAGAGAGACACACACAGAGACAGACACTCACAGACTCACAATGAGACAGACATCCAGACAGACAAACATACATTTACTGCCGAACACCCAGAAACAGAATTCACTATTCTGTGAAGATCTTTGGGAAGTCTCAACGACTTAATCAGGCGCTGCATCCAATGCAAGAATTATTATTATTATTACTCATTGACATAGTGAAACACCCAGACACTCGCAAGCTCACAGTGAGTCACCTAGAGTGAGACACTCAGAGCTAGACAGAAACAAAGGCTTACACTCTCAATGAGTCACAGAGAGACACAGTGAGAGAGGCATGCAGTCAGAGCAAAACAGACCAGAGGCACACAAGTGCACGATTAGAAACTGACAGCGAGGGACACACACACACACACACACTCAGAAAGCCATGCACAGAAAAACATAGATATATCAAAAAATCTGAAGCTTTTCACAGGTAATTGCTGTCAAATGTAATAACTAATTTGAGGCTTGAACCCACGAGTTTGAAGATTTGAAAAGCAGAAACCACGAGAAGCTGTTTTTAATCTTGTACTGAACAGTAGAACCAGAGGACACGGCCTGCGATTGAAGGGAATAATTTCGGAAATACTACTTCAGTGAGTGAATTGTAAATGTATAGAACAGGCTCCCCCGGGAGACAGCTGGTGGAAGCAGAAAGTATTGATTCTTTCAAGAACAAATTTGATAGATTTCTTTAGAAAATAATATCTCAGAACACAGAATATAGTTTGGGACACGACATGTCAAGGATGGTGGAAGATGAACTGGATGTACATTGTGCCTCTTTCGCCAGCAAATTCTTATGTAGAACAAGGAAGTAAAGCTTGACCTGAGCAGAATTTCTAATATACATCCTGACTGGAGCGTGTGAGGAGAGGCTGGGAACGGGATGCTTTACATCACAGACACCAGCAAACGGCATTGGTCAAACAAGACTCTCGTCTGCTGCAAATCATTCAGAATAACACACAAGTGAAATGTTCCCGGGTCCTGCAGCTATAACAAAATATATAAATAATTCTCGCATTTGATACAGCGTCTAATATAATCCCTCCGAAAAAAGAAAATTGGTCACTCAATCCATGTGGGGGACACTGCTGTGCGCAATTGGCTGCTGCGTTTCGCCCACAAAACACACAATCCATCCACTTTACAGTGTATCGTGTGAAGCACTTTAAGACGTAGACAACCACAATATAAGGTGCTGTATCAGATGCAAGGATTATTATTATCTATAATGTTGAACCATCTCAAAACACTTCACAGGGAAACTTGTAGGCAAATACAGTAGCCAATGCAGTAAGGTTCCCCACAGAGCCGTGAAGTAAATCAGCAATTCATCAGGAAGATTGTCGGCCAGGACACCCAGGAACCTCTGGCTTTAACATCTCACCTGAAGAACAGAGTCTCCAACAATGCAGCGCTCCCCCAAGTACTGCTCTGAAGCCTCAGTCACACTGAGCTCAAAGTCTCTGATGTGGAGACTTTGATCCACAACCCGATCCAGAAACCAGAGGGCGAGTGACTAAGATAGTATCACAATTCTTGCTCCAACCTTTAGCCACGGGAGATTTGGGGGTTGAATTAAAACATTGTTCTCTGACGAGGTGTGGATAAAAAATTGTGACGTGATGTGCTAATTAACATATTGCTCAAGAAAGCAACTAATTGGTGTATTAATTGTCTCCTCGGTCAGGAGTCCGCTGGAGGCTGGCATTCACCCTGCCCGCAAACACCATTCACAGTGACGGAGCCCAGAAACCAGTCGGCCATGCAACTGACTCACAGCATCGGAGCCGGTTACTGGGACACTGACTTAGCTCTGATTTTTGTTTAATTAAGACTTTAGCCAACTGATGAAGTGAACCGTTGTGAACAGTATTAGGTGTGGGAGGAGTGTGAGGAGGGGGCTGCCACCAGCACTCTTGGCAATAGTCATCACAACAACTGGTGGCTTGTATCAACATCTTAATTATTATACAGTTATACTCTGTCAGCGTCTAGCATTTGATAATAGCGCCTTATCACGTCTTTGAGATGTTGCAAAGCCCTTCACAGAATATACTGTATAAAGTATATTGACTGTATTTTATGGGCGACACGAGCAGCCTTTCTAACATTGCGCACAGCAGTGTCCCACAAACTGTCATGGATTGAGTGACCAAATGCTTTTTTTGAGGGACTATTACTCCCGGAAAGCGATCTGCCAATCGACTTAACAACCAGGTTCCTACGTACTGCTGGGGAAGCAGCGGTGTGTGGAATAAAGAATCTTGCCTAAGGTTTTACCCCGTCCAGGAATCGAACCTGGGTCCTCTCACTTGTGAGGTGAGTGCTCTAATCACTGCACTACAGATTTCTACGGTACCACAACCGACAAAGACCGATAAATGTAGAATTTGAGGCCTGAGACATAGCAATTGTCCAAAGGACAGCAAATTCTGGGATGTCTGTTGTCCTGGTGACAGCCTGACACCAACCGCACAGCTTCAGGCATGTGCAGGCTCTGATGGGGTTAGACCCTGCGAGGGTCGGGGTGTGTGCCTGCAGACTGTGGAGGTGTGAAGTGGTGAATATTTTATTGTGAAACCACTTGATACCGAAATGAAAACATTAATAGTGGAATATTTATTTACGCTGTAAAAATAAAAAAAGGCAGTGTAGGAAGAGGTAAATTACACACTCTAAGTAGCGGAGTAAAAATAAACAGAAACTCTTCACTCCCTAGAATTCCGCAGTGGCTCAGTTGGTCTAGTGTGGAACTGAGCCAAACCAGGTTCCACCTTTTAGCATGTCTTTAAAAAAAGTTAATTAATAATAATAATAATCCTTGCATTTGATATAGCACCTTATCACGTCTTCCAGAGTCTCAAAGCGCTTCACAGAATTTACTGTGAAGTGAATTGACTGCATATTATATGGGCGAAACGTGCCAACCAGTTGTGTACAGCAGTGTTCAACAAACAGTCGTGGATTGAGTGACCAAATTTCGTTTTAAGGGATTACATTTTGGTGACTGTCCTGAAATTACCCTTGATAACCCTGAACCTGTGACCTCTTGCTCCACAGCCTTGGTGTATAGGAAAGTTCTGGGTTACGTTTATAAAATTCTCTCTGAGACAATATCTTTCAAGGTTCTCACAGCTCATCCCTCCGGGCAGTAGCCTTGTTGTTCCCTGTACTACATCTAGCAGCTGAGTGGCTATTATACTGTGCAAACCAAGTGCATGCTGACCAGAGCACAGCCCACAGTACCCCAGGTATGGCCTGGCCAGACCTGCACACATCGCACTCAGGGGAAGGAGGTAGGGACAATCAGTTGGTTGCCTGCCAGCCTCAGATGGAAATATGGAACTGTACACTCGTCCAGAACAGTATACCATAGTCCATAGACCAGAGCTTCACATAAACCCCAAAGACAATCGAACACCAGAGCACAGTCTCACATCATCACCAGACATCCAAGGCCTGCGCCAGCCACAGTGAACATCCTCCATCTGCCAGTCCCAGACACAAAGACAATTATCTCATGATAATAATGATAATCCTTGCATTTTAATAAAAATGATGCACAGTATTTAGGAAGCGAGAACGAGAGCACCTTATCACATCTAAACACTTCAGTTAATTACTGTGAGGTGTAGTGACTGTTTTTGTAAACAACCGCATCAGCTAATTGTCCCAGGTATGAGGTGAAAGACTTTATCTGGAGGATTGTTAACCAGGCCAGAAACTCCCTTCACTTTCCTTATAGAATCGAGGAATCTTTAACATCCACTTTCACAGAAACAAAGGGGAAAGAGCAGGGAATGGCTTAGAGAGCTCCAGTGGGAGCGAGCAGCTGGATAGGAAAGTGTAGTGGGAGCTTTATGCTCTATCCCAATACTCTTAGCTACATATGAACAGTTGGGACGTCCTCCTGACGTGAAAGGCGCTTTATAAATGGAATCTTGTTGTTGTTGTTGATGGGCTGAATGGCCTCTTTCTGTGCTGTAACTAACACAGAACCATTCTTTCTCTCTCAAAAGGTGGTTGCACTAGTCTTTACTACCAAGCCAGTAGGTAGACTATTAAGAACCACCTATAAGGAATTAGATAGAGAGCACCAGACCAACAACAACTGCCCCTCACACAGGGTACCATCCCAGAACACTTGACAGTGGAGGAGCATTTCACCGAGCGGTGGGGGGGGGGGGGGGCGGAGGTGACCGTAGGCACAGTCGAAGAGGAAGGTCTTCAGGTGTGATCTGAAGATGAGGAAGGAAGGGGGTAAGGCAGAGGGATAGAGGAGAAGTGTTCCAAAGTTTCAGAATGTAGCGCATCCACCGATGGTGGAACTGAGGGCACGAGGGATGACCAGACCTGGGACCAACCTGGAATCAATCACCCACCTGCTCAGGGCCTTGGAAGCAGATGCGACACTGGGGAGACCTGCAGCCACTGTCCAGGCTACTGGTGAGAGAGAGTCTGTCTTCTCCTTTTCTGTGGTAGTAGTCTTCTGAGGAGGTGCTCACCAGAGTCAGGGGCTGCTCCTGGACACTGGGCTCCTGCTCGGGGGCCTGACTGGGTGGCTGTTGCTTGTTCCCTTTGCCATTGGTTGGCAGAGTGTTGTTGTTGGTGGTGTTGGTGGTTGGGAACCCATTCCTGATCGGTAGAGCGATTTGGTCGTAATTCATTCCACGGGGAGGAGGGGGAGGAGGTGTCGGAGGAGGTGATGGAGGGGGAGGTGGTCTCGGGAATAGCAACAGCTTCAAGTCATTGTACAGCCTATGGCAGCGGCACTTAACCAGACGTTGATGGCGCAACATCTGTGTGTGTGACTGAACAATTGCACACACTCACACACTAACTAACACATAGAAAAGCTGACACAGAGAGACGGGTAAAAAAAAAACCCAGAGTCTTGTTTTTTTTTCCAGGGATCCTTCAGAAATTCAGGACCAAATTCAGCATAAAAAGGAGAGGAGGGGGTCAACTGGGACTGAGATTTGGGATGAAAATCCAGTTTTTTTGTCTCTCCCTTCCCAGGAATGAGACCCAAACACACACACAAGTGGCCGTGATGATAGACTGATTCCCTTCACTCACAATTTCTTCCGCAGATGGTGATCGGTGTGGGTTATTGATCTGCCAGGTTTGCAAAGATCTTGACTGAGAACTCTTCAGTTGTGTTGTTGTGTTCCCATTTTCTTCTCGTTTCCCCCTTTCTCTCTCTCTCTCTCTCTCCACCAATCTCCCAATCCGAGGCCACAAACAGATGGAAATCAACGGCAGTACCAAATCGGGAGAGTGTGTGGTGTATGTGTTGAGGGAGAGGGGTGAGAGGGAGAGTCAATCTGGGGCTTCTAATCACTCGATTCCCGATTACATCTCATCGATAATCGATCCTGGGAAATATCGATCTCCTCTGGTGGCTTTCACCATTGCTGGTCAACCTCAGTGTCCAGAGCGGAGGCTGTTTTTTCCTCTAACGTTGCAGATGGAGCTCGAAATAACAGACCCACAGACACACACACACACACACACAGAGAGATGTGAATCGATGGTCAGGAGAATAACGATGGGATCGTTCTCAAACCGCTTCTCCTGTGCCGATGGATTGGGTGTCAGACGAGCAGTTGTGTTTGGATTCCTGGTTTGGAGCCTCTCATTCCTTCCCTTCCCATCCGTGTCGTTCTCTCGCCCCTCTGCCCCGATTGCATAGTGAAATAAAAAATACAGAGAAAAAAACACACACTGAAGGGGAAAAAAAACACGCTCTCGCTTTCAGCTTCTGTCTGTCTGTCTGTCTGTCTGTCTGTCTGTGTGTGTGTGTGTGTCTGTGTGTGTGTCTCTGTGTGTGTGTCTGTCTGTGTGTGTCTGTGTGTCTGTCTGTGTGTCTGTCTGTGTGTCTGTCTGTGTGTGTCTGTCTGTGTGTGTCTGTCTGTGTGTGTCTGTCTGTCTGTGTGTGTGTCTGTGTGTGTGTCTGTCTGTGTGTGTGTCTGTGTGTGTGTGTGTGTGTCTGTCAAAGAGAGAGACACACACACACTCACATCACTTGCTATCCAGTCAATTTCCCCACCCTCTCATCTCTCCTCCCCATCCTAGCCTTTGGCAGTGCCTTTTCCCAGAGCTGCCTTTGCTTTCTTTCCCCTCTTAAAATAAAAATAATAATAATAATTATCAATATAATAAGAGTAAATCTATTTTTTTTCCTCCTCTCTCGCTCCCTCTCCCTCCAAGCTCAGCAGATCAGATAACAACCCCCCCCCCCCACCACCCCTCCCCTTCAATATAGTTCAACCTGGGGACTTGTATATTCTCCTTCCGGGGTCTACATGTTAAATAAAACATACAGTATGTACTGCAATCGCCAGCAGTTCCTGCAGAGGTTATATTCAGCACCAGAGCCGGGACAGCTCCCCTGCCCCCTCCTCACTGCCCTGCCAGTGTGTGCCAACCAGCAAACCCACCTCACACCCACCTCCCCCACGCTTGCTTCCTTGCTTCCTTGGTTCCTTCCTTCCTTCCGTCCTTCCTTCCTTCCAGCCTCCACCGTTACAATACATGTCATCCTCTGCTCTCTCTCCTCGTCAAAAATAGAGATTTTTTTCCCCATCCCCTACAGCAGTTATCTCTCTGGATCCACGCGCCCCGCATGGAAGCAATGCCACCCCACCCCACCCTCCCCACCTTGCCTTTAAGCTGTTTGTTCCATTAACATTATCAGTCTTCAAATGGATTATTACCCCCACACTCTATCTATCTTCTTACAACCCTGTCCTGCCGTTGTTTCCCTGCAATGTTTCCCTTCCCTTTGTCCTGCCTCGGAGCCAGTAAAGACACCATGCTGAATGGAACTCGTGTGCACATTTTCTGTGGGTCTACGGATAATAATAATAATAATAATAATCCTTGCATTTGATATAGCGCCTTATCATGAGATCTCAAAGTGCTTCACGGAATATTCTGTAAAGTGAATTGACTGTATTATTTGTGGGCGAAACCCGGCAGCCAATTGCACACAGTAGTGTCCCACAAATAGTCATGGATTGAATGACAACATTTTTTATTACTTGAAAAAATATTTGTTTCCATATCACTGGTTGCTCACAGGAACATAGCAATGTAAAGAACAGGAGGAGGCCAATCAGCCGTTTGAGACTTTTCCTTCAGTTTATTACATCATGTCAGATCTTATCATCCCATTTCCTCTGGCACTGCCTTCGGCCATCTGCTCCCACCTCAACACCCTCTTCACCTCCACCCTCCCAATATGCAAGGGGCTATACTGTATACATGTAAATTGTAATGCATTGTATTATCCATATCTCTTAAACGCCTTACTTCCAAGTATCTATTCATCTCATGTGTCAGCCCCACCAACACTACTGGTGTTGTTTTTTTCCACCTCAGCCAATCTATTCCCTCTCTGTGCTTCCCATAACCTTTAATATTCCTCCTCTTCAAGTTTCCGCAGTATCTAATTGCCTATAGTTTGTGGCAGAGAATTCCTCATTCCTACCGTGCTCTGTGTAAATACAGAGAAACAGATATTTTATCACCAGAGTGCTTCACAGTACTGTCCAGAGTAGTGACTCTTCTGGACAAATATGGCAGGCATTTTGTATACGGAGATATGTAGAATGAGAACAATAACAATTTGGATTTATTTCATACAGGGAAAATTAATTAATCTGGAGGATTGTTGGCCAGCACACCAGAAGAAGCACCTTTATCTTTTCCAGCAGTGTTGGGAGCTTTAACGTCCATCCGAAGAACTGGCAGGTTGGACCTTAGTTTAACGACTCATCTGAAAAATGACACCTCCTACAATGCAGCGCTCCTTCCATTATTGTGTGTGTTGGAGTCTCAACCAGGACTGTGAGATCAAAGACCCTGATTTAGGGGCTCAAACCTGCAACCTTTTATAATAATAATAAAATAATCCTTGCATTTTATTAGTGCCTTATCAGGTCGATGAGTCGCCTAAAAGTGCTTCAAGAATATACTATAAAATGTACTGGCTGTATATTTTTTGGCTGAAACTTGGCAGTCAATTGCGCACAGCAGTGAACCACAAACAGTCATGGAGTGAGTCAACAATTTTTATCTTGAGGGGCTTATTACCCTTGGAAAGCGAACCGCCAATCGACTAACAAGCGGGTTCCTACTTACTGTTTCACCCTGCCCAGGAATCGAACCTGGGTCTGCTCGCTTGTGAGGCAAGTGCTCTAACCACTATACTACCGGACTCCACTTTTGACTAAGAGGAGAGAGTGTGACTGACTGGGATAAGATGACGATGGGCTTGAGGCTAAGAACTTATATGAAATTCAAGCCACGAATCAGACCGACACAGCTTCAATGTCAGTTTGTTTCTCATGGTGACTCACTGGGCAAAGAGCTTGGAGGCATTTCAGCGAGATAAGGCAGCACCGAATGGAAACATGATTACTTTTATTATTATTGGCTTGTGGGCGTTGTGCGAGAGGCAGAGGTTGATTTCCCCCCTCCTCCGTGATAATCATCTCATTACAACAGGGAGAGAGATGGGGATGAGCGGCTGATGAGATGTCAGTCCAGGCACAGAAACCATGTTGACACAAAGCAGTGTCATAACAACCACAACAAAATTACATTAGTAAAGCACTTTTCATGTCGGGAGGTCCCAAAGCACTGAACAGTCGGGGATCAGGACCCGAGTGTGTGGGGGGGGAGGGCAGGATTGGGATGAAGAAAGACAGAGAAGTAGGAGAGTGGCTGAAGGCACCGTCAAAAAGGAGGGCCTTGAGTAGTGCTATGAAGTCACCTCTGAACACCTCATAAACCACATGGTTGCAATTGATCTGATACACTGCCTATCAGATATCAGGCCCCAGTATGAATATTAACGTTCTCCCAATTTACGGTCAACAACACCGAGGCTGGCCTCTTCCCGAACCGGTTGGAGACGATGTAAAGCTCCCTCTACACTGTGCGTCCACACTCCCAGGACAGTGACAGCTTGGGTTATAGACAGAATAAAGCTCCCCTGGCATTCCTAGTTTAGATACCGATTCTGACCAAGTCAGTAGGGGAGGGTTCAAGCCCCAAATTTAGATTTTAGGCTCTCAGTTGAAGGTAATTACCTGAGAAGAATTTGTTTTTGCTCCCACAGGAGGAATTTTTTAAAAAAAATCAATATTGAACTTAATTTGCGTACCTGTCTGACTCTGTCTTTCCTAAAATCTTTGGCTCCACAGAACCCCAATAACTCTGCGTTACTCACAAATGTCTCTCTCCCGACGCAATGACTCGGAGCAAGGTGCCTTTCAGCGAGAAATCGCCTTACCGAGGTGACTGAAGCCTTCCTTTTTGAGTATATTGTTGTCGACGCGTTTCGCCCGCCAAGCAGCAGTCACCGCACTTGACGGCGATTCCCCTGTGAAGTTACTTGAGATGTTAATGTCAGGTTTAAGCAGTGCTGTTGTCCAAGTGCTCTGGGACGCTACCCTGGGTGAGGGGCGCGATATAAATGCAAGTTGAGGTGGTGGTGGTGGTTGTTGTTGTTGTGGTGGTTGTTGTTGTGGTGGTTGTTGTTGTTGTGGTTGTTGTGGTAGTGGTTATTGTTGCGGTGGTTGTGGTGGTGGTGGTTGTTGTTGTTGTGGTGGTGGTTGTTGTTGTGGTTGTTGTTGTTGTGGTAGTGGTTGTTGTTGCGGTGGTTGTTGTGGTGGTGGTTGTTGTTGTTGTGGTGGTTGTTGTTGTTGTTGTGGTTGTTGTTGCTGTGGTAGTGGTTGTTGTTGCGGTGGTTGTGGTGGTTGTTGTTGTTGTTGTGTTGTGGTGATGGTGGTTGTGGTGGTGGTTGTTGTTGTTGTGGTGGTGGTGGTTGTTGTTGTTGCTGTGGTGGTGGTTGTTGTGGTGGTTGTGGTGGTGGTTGTTGTTGTTGTGGTGGTTGTTGTAGTGGTTGTTGTTGTTGTGGTAGTGGCAGTGGTGATGGTGGCTGTGGTGGTTGTTGTTGTGGTAGTGGTGATGGTGGCTGTGGTGGTGGTTGTTGTTGTTGTTGTGGTGATGGTGGTGGTGGTTGTTGTGGTGATGGTGGTGGTGGTGGTTGTTGTTGTGGTGGTGGTGATGGTGGTGGTTGTTGTTGTGGTGGTGATGGTGGTGGTGGTTGTTGTGGTGATGGTGGTGGTGGTGGTTGTTGTTGTTGTGGTGGTGGTGGTGATGGTGGTGGTTGTTGTTGTGGTGGTGATGGTGGTTGTGGTGGTGGTTGTTGTTGTGGTGGTGGTCCCTTTAATTAACGGCTCAGGGCTTTCTCCCGTCACGTGACCAGAGATCGGCGGCTGCGAAGGAGCGCTCTGGGGCCGGCGATTGGCTGAAGTCGGTTGTCAGTCAGCGCGGGGAAAGGGCGGGACTTCCGGAAGCTGGAGGAAGTGGGCGCTTAGAGCGCACGGCGGTTAGACAGCAGGTGAGGGAGTGCGCGCGGGGAGTGCCCCAGTCCTGAGGGGAGGGGGGGTCAGGGTATTGCCCCTTCACTGAGGGGAGGGGGTCAGGCAATTACCCCATTTCTCAGGGGAGGGGGTCAAGGTATTGCCCCATTTCTCAGGGTAGGGGGTCAGGGTATTGCCCCATTTGCTCAGGGGAGGGGTCAGGGTATTGCCCCATTTCTCAGGGGAGGGGATCAGGGTATTGCCCCATTTGCTCAGGGGAGGGGGTCAGGGTATTGCCCATTTCTCAGGGGAGGGGGTCAGGGTATTGCCCCATTTCTCAGGGGAGGGGGGGGTCAGGGTATTGAGGGAGTGTGGGAGCGGTCACTTAAAAAGACATTTGAAAGGGATTTGGATGAATGTTTCGAAGAGTTGATTATAAAGCGGTCGGGGGGTCGGGGGGTGGGGGGGTCGGGGGGTCGGGGGTGGGGGGGGTCGGGGGGTGGGGGGGGGAGTGCAGGGGAACGGGAGAGAGTAGCGTAGAGGGGGGGGAGGGGGAGGGGGACCGTGAGTGCGGTCACCGAGGATGGTCTTGAGGCCTAATCTGAAAATGGGGATTGAGGGGAGAACGTTCCAAAGGTTCGGGGCTTAGGGGGAAAAACAGAGACTCGTCTTTCTATAACTCATCCCGGAGCGCTTCACAGTAATTACTGTTAACTTGTTGACAGGGATTTTTTTTACCCCCCACCCCAAAAAAATTTTCAGCCTCGGCGGCAGTTTATCCCACAAATGGCCGGAAGCTGAAATGGTCGATTAACCTGAAGGATTGATCGCCAGCCGGGACCGCCGGAGAAACCACCGTCTCTTTTTCCATTCGTGTGGTGGGATCTTCGAACGATCAGCCATCAACCATCTCACCTGAAGGGTGACATCTCCCCCGACACGGCACGGGACGGCACGGGACGGCACGGGACGGCACGGGACGGCACGGGACTGCACGGGACGGCACGGGACGGCACGGGACGGCTCGGGACGGCACGGGACGGCACGGGACTATTCGATTGAATCTAGATGTGAGATCTTCACCCACAGCTTCTCACCCTGAGGTGAGAGCAATGACCGATAGCCAGATTAACGCCCGTTATTATTTTTAAGTTGACTGGCGCATCGCTTTTCCTGGAATAATCCTTTGAAAAAAAATTTGGGCGCCCGGTCCACGAGTGTTTGCGGGTGACGCTGCTGTGCACCATTGGCTGCTGTGTTTCGCCCACAAAATATAGTCACTTCACTTTACACAATATCCTGTGAAGCGCTTTGAGACGTCTCAAAGACGCGAGAAAGCGCTGTATCAAATGCCAGGATTAGTTTTTTTTATTATTCTAGCTTGCAGGGAATATAAATGGGGTTTCACAGAGGTATTCTGGATGGAATCATGGTTACGGGATCTAATGTTTCGAAGGTTTTCTGTTGTGTTTGTTAATGGTGAGGTTTTGTCCTCATTCCCAGCAGCTGGCTTGTAAATGTGACCCATTAACTTTCTGTCTGTCACAAAGCTAGACTCAACCTCCTAGCTCTGTGAGTCTTGCTCGGCTGAATAATTACATTTTAATATATATATTAAAATGTAATTAAAAATTCGGATGTCTGAAAGGCCCTTTGGGTAATGAAGCATAATGGTGCGGAGGATGAGCACTGGGTCGTGAAGTCTTGTGGAAATCCGTGAAAGTGGAGTCCTGTAGCTCAGTGGTTGGAGCGGACCTGGGTTTGATTCCCGGCAGGGAGAAACGTTGGGCAAGTTCCCTACTCCACACGCCTCTGCTCACCCAGCACTAAGTAGGTTGTTAGTCGATTGGCAGATCGCTTTTCCGGGGGTAATAATCCGTTCAAAGATGATAATAATTTGGTCAGTCAATCCATGACTTTGTGGGATACTGCTGTGTGCAATTGGTTGCCACGTTTCGCCCACAAAATACACTTTACAGTAGATCCTGTGAAGCGCTTTGAGACATCTTGAAGCCATGATAAGGCGCTTTCTCAAATGCAAGGATTATTATTATTAAACATTGTGTGCGATCTTGCATACTCCGAAAACTTTACTCAGTGGCAAAGAATTTCACAAATCTAGATCCGAGCTGTCTCTTTGCAAAATGGTTGTGATGTCGAGAGCTACCTGGGAGTCATCACTCGGCAAATTAATTTCATTTCACAAGTAATTTGCTCCAAGGATTCGCACGACCCAAGGCTGATGCCAAGGCTCAAGTGGTTTCTAATTCCGGTCAGAGAAACCGAGATTAGATTTTAGCCTTCAAATCACATCAGTATCTCTCGTGTGTTTCTTAAATTGCATGCTGAACTTTAAGGGGGTCTTTACTCTGTTCCTTTTGGTTATAGCAAGCACGTAGTACGTTGGTTCTGTAGTTGCTGATTGTAAGGGAGGATTAACAGCAGGTTTTTAAACATTTACAATTAGTTGCTGCTACTACTAATAATATATTGATCCTTACATTCGATACACCTTCACATTGTTGAGATGTCTCACAACACTTCACAGAATATATGGTGAAATGGATTGACTGCGTATTTTGTAAGTGAAACATGGCAGCCAATTGCTCACAGCAGTGTCCGACTAACAATCATGGATTGAGTGACCACATTTTTCTTTGAGGGATTATTATCCCCGGAAAGTGATCCGCTAATCGACTAACCACTGGGTTCCTACTAACTGTTCGGTTAAGCAGAAGCATAAGGAGTAAGGAAACTTGCCTAAGGTTTCACCCCGCCTGGGAATCAAATACCGGATCCTCTCACTTGCGAGGAGAGGGCTCTAACCGCTCCAATATGGAAGTTCCATTGGCGTGAAGTGAATGACCAATTTATCTGGAGGGTTGTGGGGCGCAACGCTGCGAGAAACTCCCTTCTGCAGTTCACACTAACCTGCGTGAAGGACGCAAGTTGTTGCTTACAAAAGGTTGCTTTCTGGAAAGCAATCCTAAGGAAATTATGAGCGGGAGGAGGGGGGGGATGAAAGACAGAGAGCGGTAACGTGATTGATGAAGAGGGACATACTAGCTTGTGTTAGCAATGGGGTGAGATTCAGCACCATCTGGCAGCGCTGTCCTGCTGTGCTGCTTTTCCACAGCTATTGCAGGCCGCCTACAACCCTGCATAAAGGGGAGGCCAAGCTTGCGGGAGAGGTTTGCTAGTGATTTAAGGCGTTTATTATAATAATAATAATCCTTGCATTTGATACAGCGCCTTATCACTTCTTCGAGACGTCTCAGAGGGCTTCACAGAATAGACTGCAAAGTGAATCAACTGTGTATTTTGTACGTGAAATACGGCAGCCAATTGCACACAGCAGTGTGTCCCACAAACAATCGTGGATTGAGTGACCAAATTATTATGTTTTTAAGGGATTTTAATAACCGGGTTCCTGCTTACTGCGAGGTAAACAGTGGCGTGTGGAGTAAAGAAACCTGCCAAAGATTTCGCCCTGCCCGGCAATCAAACGCGGGTCCTCTCACTTGCGAGGCGAGTGCTCTAACCACAACGCAACAGGACTCCCCCCTTTTGCCAGGTAGAGTCTCCGGGGAAAGAGAGTAGTCAATTGCACAGTGCACTGATTCTGTGAGAGATTGTCCCTGTTGAGCCATCGCGGCAGCCAAAGTACCTTGGCTGGGATTTTAAACCGCAGTGCCTTCTGCCTGCTCAGGTGGTTGGGGAAGATCCCACGACATGATTTGAAGAGGACGAGGTTTCCCCTGGGTGTTCTGGTCAACAATCTTCCAGATTATCCGTGCTTTGCCTTACGGCAGTTTGCGGGATCTTGCTGTTTTGCAAGGAGACTGCTACCAAAAAAAAAAAAGCCTACATTGCCAATAATTGCTGTGAAGCACTTTGAGACAATCTGACGTGATGAGGTCCTATGAAGATGGAAGTTCTTTGTTTCGTTGTTGGGTTTTCTCTCTTTTCGCACAGCCTGCTTCACTCCCCCGCAACCTTCACAACAGACTGAACACTGACTCTCTTATCCCATCCCGTGGTTAGCGATTCCAACTCTCCTCTGTTGTGTGGGAGGGAAGCTTCAGAAGATGCGTTCAGAACATTAGTCTGCTCAACGCCGGCGGGTTAATCTTACAAAACGGTATGGACCATGAGGCAAAAAATGAATAATAGATAATGTGCTCTCTGCTCGGAGAGGATTTGATACACGGCTCATGAATTAGAGTGTCGGGGGGGGGGGGAGGGGGTCGCATCCCCGGGGGGCTCTTTAGGAATAGATAGGAAAATGCTACGTTTCATAACTGTTTCGATTTCATAACGTTGGCTTTTCCACTGGAACGGAGGAGGTTGAGAGGAGATACGATCAAGGTCTTTAAGACTCTGGAGGGGGGGGTGGGAGGGGGGGGATCAAGGTAAAGTGGCCATTGAGGCTGGATCAATACAATCGTTTAAAAAGGGGAAGATACGGGAAGCTGTCCAGACAGCGCTCTCAATGGCAAGCTGTGTGGTTTTAGCTAGTTAGACTCCAGCATTACCCCAACGCACACTCTGGCCTCTCCCAAGCTTTGGCCCTCGCCAACTTGCGCCTAATGCTCTGCAGAATTAGGTAGCAGAAGCAGGGCGGGTGTTGCGTTGTCGGAGCTACTGCCCTTCGGATGAGATGTTAAACCGAGCTCCTGTCCCCCCGTCGGCCTGTTCAAGCGGATGTTAAAGGTCTCGTGACTACTCAAAGCAAAGGGAAAGTTTCTTCCAGTGTCCTGGCCGCCAATTGCCCAGACAAAAATGGTCATTCATTTCATGGCTGTTTGTGGAATGTTGCTGTGCAGATATGGACTGCCATGCTTGCCTACAAAACAAGACACGACAGCATATCCTGTGAAGTGCTATATGAAGTTGAGATAGACTTCTGCTTTGAGGTGCTATACCAAATGTGAGTGTTGTTATTAATTAATTATCCTCGCGTTCGATATAGCGCTTTATCATGACATTGAGACGTCACAAACCGCTTCACAGGATATACTGTAAAATGGATTGACTGTATACTTTGTTCACACTTTATGTTACATTTATATTTTCTTGTTATTGTTGTGCTAACTGGGTGTTATTTTTTAAAACCTATTTTCCAGCCGGACTTGTGAAAGGCTGCTCGCACTGAGAAGCGGCTGGTGTGTGTGTGTGTGTGTGTTCAGGAGGAAAAACCCCGCGAGGTCCGGTGAAGATGCCGCCCATTCTGACCGAGGAACAGAAACGTAAGATCGAGGAGAACCGTCAGATGGCGCTGGCCAGGCGAGCAGAGCGACAACAACAACAGCAAAACTGCGCTGCTTCCTCAGGCTCTGGGAGCCTCGTTCAGGGGTTTCCCTGCCAGCCCCAGGCCGCCACCACCAACCCAACCCAACAGAGAGCTGTCGTATCTCCCCCCTCAGCGGGTGGGGAAATCCACCACAGAGACTCGCCAAAGCCTGCCCTTGCGAGCACGGGCAATGGTGGGCGTTTCCAACTGACTACCGGCTCTACAAGCGAGCTTAGCCGTGGCAGCCCAGGCCGCACGCAGACAGTGTTTACCAAATCGGAGGTAACCGGCGTGGCAAAATTTTATTCCACCGGTCAGACTTTTATTCCACTGGGCAGACCTGGCCAGGCCAGAGCAGCCAGGGCCCACGCTTCTAACTCAGCTGCAACGTCAGGCTCCAGAACTCCGAGCTTCACTCAGGGCCGCTGTGTGTCTCAGAGTAACAGTCGCTTCCGAGTGGAGGTGGGCTACAACCCAGAGCTCATTCTGCTCTTCAAAACTATCCCCAGCAGGAGTTATGGTATGTATTAATTCCATTTAACCTGTACAGCACTTCAGGAGTCAATCAGCGAGTTTCTGTTCCTGTTCACTATCCCGAGGGATAGTACCTGGTGGGAGGTACATGTGTGCAGTTGCCTGTTCTTGGCTGTGGTTTCGTTTTCCCCCTCTTGCCCCCTTTTCTCATGGTTAAATACCCCTCACTTTTGCTCAACATCTTCCCTTCGTTTCCTCAGTGATTCCCATTGTCTTTGTGAAGCGCTTTGCGATGTCCATTCTACTTGAGAGGAGCTGCAGAAGAAATAGTGCAAGTTTTTTTTATTATTGTTTCTCTATTTCTCATAGATCCAGCCTCCAAAATGTGGAACTTCAGCCTGGATGATTACAACGCTCTGAGTAAGTGGTGCAGGGAACTTTGATCGTTCCTGGGGCAGCAGGGGAATGAAATGTGTGTGGTGTATAATAATAATAATCCTTGCATTTGATACAGCGCCTTATCAAGTCGTTGAGACGGTTCAAAGAATACACTGTAAAGTGTAGTGAATGTATTTTATGGGCGAATTAAATAACATGAAGTTAGATGTTTCCCCCCACCCCAACCACTGTAACTGACTGTTTCCCACCGCAATTACATCCAGATGGAAATGACTGTCAGTATGGTTTCAATAGTTAAATATTCTGCTTCCTTTAACTTCCTCCGAATAATAATGATATAACATTATTATTTCTCACATGGCCCATGTTGATGTTTTTCTATTTGCTCTTCTTTCTAACATAATAATAATCCTTACATTTGATACAGTTCCTTATCACGACAATGAGACGTCTCAAAGCTCTTCACAGAATATACTGTAAAGCGTGTCGGCTGTGTGTTGACTGTGGGCGAAGCACTGCCGTGCGCACAGCAGTGTCCCACAAACAGTCGTGGATTGAGTGACCACATTTTGGAGTGTGGGGGGGGTGTTCATTATAGGAATGTGCAAGAATCCAAAAGACCCACAAAATTACAATTTATTCTGGAAGCGCTTTGTGGTGTCTTATTAATAATAATATTATAATCATTCCCTCTCAATCTTTCCTCACATCACTGGTACCCAATCCCATGGACTAATCCAATTGATTTAATATATAATTATATTAAATAGGGTGAACATCAGTGGCTGAGTGATGTTTTCTCATCCCTGACTAATGTTACAAGTGCCTGTGAAGCGATGGTGGAATGAGAGGAACAAAGATACTTTCATTTAGCACAGAATCATGCCGCTCCACCCATCGCACTAACGACTGTATGGGACTCATCCTCAGGGGTCAGACTCTGGGATGCTTCCCGGCATGAAGGGCGATATATGAATGCAAGCTTTTGCTGCTGCTGCTGCTTTATGTCAGGAGGACATCTCAAAGGGCTTCACGGAATTGACAGTAAAGTGTAGTGACTGTTTTGTGGGCGAGTCTGGAGGAATGAACACTGCTGCCTATTGCTGTGTTTCAGTGACGATGGTGAGGAAGCTGCCGAGTGCTGGGTTGGAGCCTCTGGACGGGGCAGAAGCTGGGACATCTCGAGCCACAGCCGATGGTTCGTACTCCTCCGACACTGGGGGGAGGGTCACTCCCGGAACTGCCTTAAGCACCATCACGGAGATGGGGAACGTCTGGAAGAAATCGGAGGCTGTGGTGCGAGGACGTTGTCAGCTCCTGTCTCGCGCTCGCTTCGAGGTGGAGATTGGTTATCACGAAGGCGTGATCACAGCCTTCAAACAGATGGAGTCCAGGAATTACAGTGAGTGAGCGAGCGAGCCCTGGGATATTCATCAGTACTTCTTTCTAGTGCCCATAACGGCAACCCACTTCACAGTGCTTCACGGGTAATTGGTGTCAAGCGAAGTGACTGCATTTGTTGGCAATTAGGGCAGATAATTTGCGCACAGCTCTTTCCCACACATAGCCGTATAAAATGAACCAGCGATTTATCTTGCAGATTGTTAGTCAGGACACTGGGAGACTATTATTTAAATATATATATCACACACATACAAATTTGTTTCCCTCTGTTTCACACCAGTTATGGATCATCTAAAAGTTCTGGCTGATGTTTATAATAAAATAATAATTCTTGTATTTGATATAGCGTATTATAGAATCGTGTGCCTGGAAGGAGAGATGTGATCTCTCACTGTGTTCGGTGTCCCTGTGGGATCTCTGTTCACTGGAAGGTTTGATAGTGTTTCACTAGTGGTGTGAAAGCCATTGGTTTCCCTGCAGCCTTTGAGCTAAGATACAGCTGGTAGTGGATGGTGACAATTCTCTTCTCTACCAGATGCCAAGACGAGGAGATGGAGCTTTCTACTGGAGGATTACAAAATGCTGTGTGAGTATAGAGACTGATTTACCTGTATTACATCTTTATCCTCTCTATCTGATTCTCTCTCTCTTTTCTCTCTCTCTCTATTCTCTCTCTCTTTCTCTCTCTCTCTCTCTCTATTCTCTCTCTCTTTCTCTCTCTCTGAAAGTAAAATTGTAAAATGTTTCAGAGGTAGCTCGGCTAACTCAGGCTGCTATACATCCCCAGCCCCTAACCCAGCCACCATTTTATTTTAAACAGAGAGAATCTTAGGACTCTGAATCCCCCCCAAAATCAATTAAGAATATATTGTAAAGTGTAGTGACTGTGTATTTTGTGAGCGAAACGCAGCAGCCAATTGGGCACAGTAGCGTCCCCACAAACAGTCGTGGATTGAGTGACCACATTATTATTTGGAGGAGCATTATTACTCCCGTAAGGAAAACAGAAGTGTGTGGAGCAAGGAAACTTGACTAAGGTTTTGCCCTGCTCTGGAAATGGCCGGCCAGAATCTGATTGCCTCTGATTCCTTTGCAGTTAAAAGGCTGGGTGCGATCCCCGGGGTGGAAGTGGAGCCGTTTCCCCGTGGAGTGGTGCAGGTGTTCCTGCCGCAGTTTGAGAAGTCCCAGGCGGGGCAGCTGGACATTCCCGAGGCAGACTTGTCCCAGGTCGATCCCCTGCTGGTCCAGAGCCTCATGCCGTTCCAGAGAGATGGAGTCGAGTAGGTTTCCTCACCAGCGTGGCTTTTACATGTTTATACTGGCAGCATTTTCATCCTGTGATAATAATAATCCTTACATGTGATTTGAGACGTCTCGAAAGGCTTCACAGAATATAATGTAAATTGTAGTGCCTGTGATTTGTGGACAAGATGTGGCAGCAAATTGAGCACAGCAGTGTCCTGCACACTGTCATGGATTTATTTTTTTTAAAAAGGGATTATTACCCCCGGAAAGCGATCTGCTAACCGACTAACAAGCGGGTTCCTACTTACTGCTAGGTAAACAGGCGCGCGGGCGCGTGTGTGTGAGGAGTAAGGAAACTTGCCTAACATTTTGCCCTGCCCGGGAATCAAACCCAGGTTCTCTCGCTTGTGAGGCGAGTGCCCTAACCACTAAGTTACGGGATTCCCCAAATTAAATCCTGTCCGTTTCACAGGTGACGTGCGTTAGTCCTCCAGAATCCTGCAAATCTGCGGAAAGAACGTGCTGTTGCTACTGCTGTTGTGACGTTCGGCTTTACTTCAGTTCTCCTCTCTGCAGCTTCGCTGTGTTCCAGGGTGGCCGCTTGCTGCTGGCTGATGACATGGGTCTGGGGAAGACCATCCAGGCGATCTGCATCGCTGCCTATTACCACAAGGAATGGCCTCTGCTTGTGGTGGCGCCCTCATCCGTCAGGTTCACCTGGGCTGAGGTACAGTTCACCTCGTGTCAGCCATGTCTGTGTTTGTCCTGTTTTGGGAAAGAGCTGGAGAGAGGGATTGTTAAAGCGGGTCCTAAAGGAATAGAATCAAATTGTCAGTAACTCTTGTGGATAAAATGGCCAACATCTGAGTTGTTGGGTCACTGCTAACATCATTTCCTGTGTGCTGTGCATCTGCAGGAAGAGCAGCTAGAATAATAATACTTGCATTTGATGTAGCACCTTATCATGTCGTTGAGATGTCTCAAAGCGCTTCATGGGATGCATTGTAAAACGAATTGACTGTATTTTGTAGGCAAAATTGCGCCTGAAGACCTTCCTCTTTGACTGTGCCTACGGTCACCCCCTAACCCCCCCACACCCCCGGCTTGGTGTTGTGCTCCACCTCTGGCGTGCACTCCGGGATGCTACCCTGCGTGAGGGACACTATATAAATGCAAGTTGTTGTTGTTGTTTGTAATGTTGGCAGTCAGGAAAAGTCCTAGAGAGAATTTCTTAAATTAGTGATAAGCAAAGTTACTGCATGAGCGATGCAGTGACAAGGTCTCGCTGTCTGTCTGTCTCAGGCTTTCCACCGGTGGCTGCCTTCAGTTGATCCTCAGAGCATCAATGTCATCGTCAAAGGGAAGGACAATCTCTCCTCAGCTCAGATCCACATCATCAGCTATGACCTGCTCAGCAAAATTGCCAAACAGCTGGCGGAGAGAGCATTCAAGGTCATCATCATGGTAGGCAGGTGGGATCCTCCCATTAATATAACAGGTCTCTCCCGAAGACCTTCCTCTTCGATCGTGCCTATGGTCGCCTCCTCCCTCCCCCCGGCTTCAAATCCCTTCACGCACTAGCACCTCTCTTACATCTCTGTCCTGCTTACTCTGGTCTCCTGTCCCTTGTGCCCTCTGTTCCACAATCGGTGGCTGCGCCTTCAACCACTACACTCCGAAACTCTGGAACACTCTTCACTCTTCCCCAATCCCGTCTGCCTTGCCCCCTCCTTCCCCATCTTGAAATCGTGCCTGAAGATCATCCTCTTCGACCGTGCTTATGGTCATCTCCCACCTGCCTCCCCCCTATCGGCTCGGCATCACTCTCTGCCACTGTCGAGTTGTTGTTGATGTTATTATTTCTGTGTGTGCTCGTGACTGGGATGTCTGTGTTTCTATGTTAAGTGGCCTCTATCTCCAATGTGGTTTCCAGGATGAGTCTCATTTTCTGAAGAACGTGAAGACAGCGCGGTGCAGAGTTGCCACTCCTCTACTGAAGGTATGTCCACTGCCTCCTGACCCTAACCTAGGCCGCTCGCTCATTTGCGTTACCCCCTGGAGTGCTCATCCCTCCCTCAAAAAATAATTCTCCCATTGTTTCAGTCCACGATTGACATTCCTGGAGGACTGAAATGGATCTTTGCACCTTTGCATTGACCTGGGAATAATAATAATAATAATCCTTGCATTTGACGTAAACGCTTTATCACGTCATTGAGTCATCTCAAAGTGCTTCGCTGAGTGTAGTGACTACATTTTGTGGGCGAAATGTGGCAGCCAATTGCGCACAGCAGTGCCACACAAACTGTTGTGGATTGAGTGACCAATCGACTAACAACCGGGTTCCTACTTGCTGCTAGGTAAACAGGTGTGTGTGGAGTAAGAAAACTTACCTAAGGTTTCGCCCCGCACGGGCAATCAAACCCAGGTCCTCTGGCTTGTGAGGCGAGCGCTCTAACCACTACACTACTGGACTCCAAATGCCAAAAACCTCAGAGAGGACTGGTTTAGGAGAGAACATCCAGATCTTGAAGTGCTTTCCAGCTCTCCATCTGTCAGCCGGAGGAGCAGACGGTAGGGGGGACACTAGGACTGGAGTAGTGGCAGTGGGGGGGTGAGGGGAAGCCGGCTGTTTTTCTTGATGTTAGTAAATGGTAAGTGTTTGGTTTGAATCGTGTTTTCAGGCTGCTAAGAGAGTGATCCTTCTGTCTGGCACCCCAGCGATGTCCAGGCCGGCAGAGCTCTACACACAGGTGTCTGTCATTAGACCCAAGATCTTCCCGCAGTTCCATCAGTTTGGAGAGCGCTATTGTGATGCCAAACGGGTGAGTTCAAAATCTTTGTAATTTAGAAAGAAAGAGCGTCTCATCACATTGAAACATCTCAGAGCACTTGCTGTCAAATAGTGTCGGAATCTTTAAGCTGCCGGATAGAACCTCGGTTTAATGTCTCTTTTGAACCGCTGTGAGCTCTAGCGTGCATTGAGATTGGAGACTCAGTTACTGATCCTCATCTTTACTGTAAGGACCTCATTCCATGATTTAGCTGGATGTTAAAGATCCCAAAAAGAGAAGGGAGTTTCTCTCTCTCCCGATGTCCTGGCCAACAATCCCCCAGAAAATACTGATCTTCTATTTCATGGATGTTTGTAGGACATCGCTGTACACGAATAGGCTCCGGGTTAACCCACAGATACAGTCGCATTACAGTAAATCCTATGAAGGGAAACCTTAGTTTCCTTATTCCGTTTGCGTCTGTTTAGCAGTAAGTAGGAAACCACTGGTTAGTCAATTGATGGATCGCTTTCCGGGACTAATAACTCCTTCAAAAAATAATAATAATAAAAATTTGGTTGCTCAATGTGGGACACTTCTGTGAGCAATTGGCTGCCGCGTTTCGCCCACAGAATACACAGTCACTCCACTTTACAGTATATTTTGTGAAGCGCTTTGAGACGTTTCAATGATGTGATAAGGCGCTGTATAAAAAATGCAAGGATTATTATCGATGCAGTTACTCCTCACTTCTTTGTGGAAAAATTATAATTCAGTGATTTGCTATTAAGTCCCTCAGCCGGGCTGAACGTCCCCAGCCTGCGCTCAGCTTCCAAGTACTCCCTCCATCTTATATGCCTACCTTTCCTGCGGTGTTTGCCAGCTTCCCTGGGGCTGGGACTATTCGGGATCCTCCAATCTGCTGGAGCTGAAGCTGCTGCTGGAAGAGTCCATCATGATCCGGCGGCTGAAGTCTGACGTGCTCTCCCAGCTGCCCTCCAAACAGCGCAAGATGGTGGTGGTGGAGCCTGAGGGCATCGGGGTGAAAGCCAAAGCCGCGCTGGAGATGGCAGCCAGAGAGGTGGCAAAGGTCCATAAAACAGTGAGTGTTCCATTCACGCAGCTGGCCCGAGCCTCAAGTGGGACTCGAACCCACAATGTTCTAACTAGAGCACTCGCCTCGCAAGCGAGAGGATCGGGGTTGATTCCCGGGCAGGGCAACATTTTGGGTAAGTTTCCTTACTCCCCACAGCCTCTGTTTACCCAGCAGTAAGCAGGAACCCGGTTATTAGTCGATTGGCGGATTGCTTTTCCGGTGGTAGTAACCCTTTTTAAAAAGTCACTCAATCCACGACTCTTTGTGGGATGCTGCTGTGCGCGATTGGCTGCCGCGTTTCGCTCACAAAATATAAAGTCACTACACTTTGCAATATATTCTGTGAAGCGCTTTGAGACGTCTCGAAAATGTAATAAGGCGCTGTAACGAATGTAAGAATTATTATTAAGATCCTAATTTATTTTTTTCACAGAAATCTCAGGAGAGGGAGGCACTAATGCTCTTCTATAACTCAACTGCTGTGGCCAAACTCCAAGCCGTCATGTGAGTAAGACAGGACTTTTCTCTCTCTAATGAAATAAACCTTGAATTTGATATGCAACCTATAATCTCAGTGTCTCGAAGCACTTCATAGATCATTGCTGTCGAGTGACTGTATTGGCAAATGCCACAGGTAATGTGAGCACAGCAAGTTCCCATGATCAGTGAATGACCAATTTATCTACTGGCCAGAACACTGGGGAGAAGCTTCCTTCTCTTTTCCAATAGCGCTGTAGGATCTTTGACATACACATGACCAGTCAGTCACAGACGGAATCCTGGTCTAACGTCTCACACGAAGCATGTGTCTCCGACAAACAGAACTCCCCAGGCTCAGAGTCTGCACTGGGATATCAGCCTGGACTGTGAGCTCAGGCTCTTGTCATTGGGGCTTGAACCCGCCACCTCCAGCCCCAGAGGCGAGAGAGAGAGCGAGAGCCGAGAATCTCTTGCCCATAGAGGCAGCATTCAGTATGGGCTGTGTGGCGATATTGTGGGAGGATGGGTGGAGAGCGGGAGGAGGAGGAGAAATATAAACACAAAATGGCTCCAATAATAGGGCAGAAGGTTCTTTGTGCTGTGAAGCAGTTGTAATGAGCTGAACCTTCTAATTACAATCAGTCGCGATTGAATATCCACATTTTGGCTGAACCAATCTGTATTCCTACACCAGCTGCTGAACACATACATCCTGGCTGTTTGGATGTTGGATCTGGGTGCAGTCCTGAGGCCCCAAATTCCATCTAGTCTTAGACTTAAGACCAGTTTGCCTTACGATACAGTCAATTCACTTTACAGTATATTTGAGATTTACAGTGTATTTGAGATGTCTCAATGACATGATAGGGCACTATATCAAATACAAGGATTATTATTAAATATTGAAATGGAGCAGAAAATTCTGCATTGAATTTTAATTAGTGTTATTCTCCAGTCAATAATAATGCTTGCATTTGATTCAGCGCTTCATCATGCCTCATCGTGTCTCAAAGCACCTCAAAGCCAATCACTGTAATGTCTAGTGACGTGTGTTTGTAGGTGATCTTGGCAGCCAATTTGTGCACAGCAACATCCTGCAACAGCCATCAAATGAATGAAAATCAACATATTAAAAGATCCTTGCATCTGATATAGCACCTTATCAGGTTGTTAAGACGTCTCAAAGCGCTTTGCAGGATATACTTTAAAGTGCAGTGACTGTATTTTGTGGGCAAAACACGGCAGCCAATTTTGCACAGCAGTGTCCCATAAACAGTAGCAGATTGAATGACCAAATTATTATAATTTTTTAAAACTCCCTTCTCTTTTTAAGCACTATATCAAATTGCAAGGGTTAAGATTCACGGGGTCTTTAACATCTATAAATTCATCGTCAATATAAAGGGAAGTGAACGCTACGAGCTGCAGTTAGTGTGTTTGCTGAGTGGCTGGGACTCTGACCTGATTGGCACTGCTTTGTTTCCAGCGAGTATGTCATGGATTTGCTGGAGAGTGGCCGAGAGAAGTTCCTGGTCTTCGCTCATCACAAACTGATCCTCAACGCCATCTGTGAGGCTCTGGAGAAGAAGGTAACACTGGCCTCTGACTAGGTGTCTACGTGGTCACTAGGAAACCAATGGCCTGCACCATCCATCACAGGATCTTCTCCTGCTTGATTATGTCCTGTGTCTAAACTCATGTTGTACAGAGAGGATTGCAAATATCCTAAAGCAGCCAGATAATCTCATTGTTTAAGTACATAATTGTGGAGTCGTGTAATTTAGTGGTTAGAGCACTCGCCTCGCATTTTGCCCACAAAATATACAGTCAATTCTCTTTACAGAATATCCTTTAAAGTGTTTTGGGACGTCTCAATGACGTGATAAGGTGTTATATCAAATGCAAGGATTATTATTATATTCCCTCTCTGCTTTGAAATCCCGCCTGAACATCTACCTCTTCGACCGCCCCTACAGTCATCTCTCCCGCTCCCGTGCTCCTATATCAGCTTCTGTCAACCCACTGTAAAACCCCTGAGATATTATTCTGCATGAAGGGAGCTATATAAATGCAAGTTGTTTTTGTTGTTGGTTTTGCTGTACCATATAGAGCAAGGTTGCAGTGCAGGCTCGGTGTGTTATTAAGTCCTCTCCCCTTGTGCACAGGGAGTTGGGTTTATCCGTATTGATGGGAAAACGGCCTCCGCTGACCGCCAGTCGCTGTGCCAGAGGTTCCAGCTGTCTGACAAGTGCTGCGTGGCTGTGCTCTCCATCACCGCAGCCAACATGGGCATCACCCTGTCCTCGGCCGACCTCGTGGTCTTTGGCGAGCTCTTCTGGAACCCTGGTGTAAGTGAGAGGACCCACCATGCATCAAAGCGTTGCACAGGATATACTGTAAAGTGGATTGACCCTATGATTTTTGGGTGAAACGTGGCAGCCTATTGCGCACAAATAGTCGTGGCGTGAGTCGTGGGTGGAACTCCAACCTTCGCTTTATAAAAAGCGCTTTTTTTAATCTTTGCTTTTGTTAATTTAAAAGGCCTCATTGGCAGGAAACGCTTTCTGGGGGAAATAATCCCCTCAAAAAATAATAATAATAATGCGGTCACTCAATCCGCGAGTGTGTGTGGGACGCTGCTGTGCGCAATTGGCTGCCGCGTTTTGCCCACGAAATACACAGTCACTGCAGTTACAGTATATTCTGGGAAGAGCTTGGAGACGTCTGAACGATGTGATAAGGCGCTGTATCAAATGCAAAGATTATTTTCATTGTGGCAACCTGTTGTTGTCAGCCTGGCTCATTGGCTGTCATGGTACCTCTAGATCAGAGATGGTTGGCGAGTTTATTATAATAATAATTAGACACAAAGTGAATGACTAATCTTTTAAATTTGGCCAGGACATTGGGAGAGAGAAACTCCCTTCTCTTTCCTAATAGTGTTCCGGGATTTTTAACCTCCGCCTGAACAGGCATAGGCGGGACCTCATCTAACAGTCTTATCTGAGGGATAGCACCTCTGACAATGCCCCCTCCCCCCCAGCACTGCATTGAAGTGTCAGCTTAGACTATATGAGTTTCAAGTCTGGATGTGGGGGCTCGAACCCACAAACCTTCTGACTCGGAGGCGAGTGTGTGCTGACTCCCAGGCTGACCATTGCTGATCTAGAGTTAGACGTTGGGATTGTAGCTTGCGGTTGGACTGTGTAATGGTTAACTGTTTTTCTGGTTTAGATCCTGCTCCAGGCTGAGGACCGGGTTCACAGAATAGGACAGACCAACTCCGTCAACATTCACTACCTGGTTGCCAGGGGAACGGCTGATGACTACCTGTGGTAAGGGCTATAATGGTCTTTTTAATCCAATGTGCTGGAACCTGATCAAAATAACTAAAGAAATGTACTAACCGGTTAACATTAGAATTCACCAATCAACCTTTACACCTACACTGTCCTCCATAGCCCAGCAGGTAACTGAGCCAAACAAAGAATCAATTTTGATCTCTGGTCGGTGTTAGCTGGTCTCAATTCGAGACTCAATTAGCTTTGACCCTAGGAATTGAGGGTTGGGGGGAGAATCAGCCATGTTCCCCTTGCTCCCTCTCTTTTTCCTCTGTGAGAGTTTGTGAGAGTGATGTGGAACTCTCTTCCCCCAATCCCTCTGCCTTGTCCCCTCCTTCCCCTCTTTTGGATCACGACTGAAGACCTTCCTTTTTGACCATGCTTGCTGTCACCTCCTCCTTCTCCCCAGCTTGACGTCGTGCTCTGTCACTGTCAAGCGCTCTGGGACGTTACCCTGTGTGAGGTGTGCTGTGTAAATGCAAGTTGTTGTTGATGTCAACTCTCCAATTTGGACTGTGCAGGCCCATCATTCAGGAGAAGGTGAAGATTCTGGGACAGGTCGGGATATCTGAGGGCAACTTTTCCGAGACGGAGTCCAAAGATTACTTTTTCAAGGTAAGGTCTAAACTCACCAAGGCCTACACTGGGTGAATAATACAGTATAATAATAATAATATCCTCATTCGATACTGCGCCTTATCACGTCGTTGAGACATCTCAAAGTGCTTCACAGAATATACTGTAAAGTGAATTAACTGTGTTTTGGGAGTGAATCCGTGACTGTTTGAGCAGCAGCCAATTTTGCACTGCAATGTCCCACAAACAGTCATGGATTGAGTGACCAAATTATTATTTACTTATTTATTTATTGAGAGATTATTACGCTGGAAAGCGAGCCGCCAATCAACTGACAAGCGGGTTCCGACTTACTGCTATGTAAACAGAGGTGTGTGGAGTAAGGAAACTAACCTAAGGTTTCGTCCCGCCTGGGAATCAAACCCAGTGCATGTTAACCACTGAGCTACAGGACTTGATTATGTAACAAACTAATCCATTCCTTGGTAGGGGCCCAAACAGAAGAAGATCGCAGACTTTTTCCAGACAGCGATGGCAGAGGATGACTGGATGGATGAGGCCCTGGTGGAGGCTGTCGACACCTGTCAGGACATGGAGGCTGGTCTGGAACCTGCCCCGGTCCCAGACACAGACCCTGAGGAGAGTCCCGCCAAAAAGAGACTGATGGAGGATTATTTTCTGAAATGAAATGACGAACTGCTTGTATCGTGGCTGTGTTGCAGAGTGAGGTGTAGTTGTGTGGATACAGTGGGACATTTTACATCACATACAGGTTGAAGTGGAAAAAAGCACCAAGGACAGTCGGTAACTGTGTCGCCTATCCTTCGCTGTACCTCACTCCAAATCAGGTACTGGCCCAGCCTCGTGTAAACCTTAACACCATCTTGATTGAACACTTGGCTCCGAATTTTTAAAAAAATGTTCCTTGGAATTCAACGGCTACGTATCGCACGTACTGCAGGTGAACCAGAATTTTCTGAGGGTCAGCCGGGTGTCTGATACACACGGAAACCCATCACAGTGATCAGCCGGGTATCTGTTACACATGGAAACCCGTCACCATGCTAATGAATCTCCAAACCATGAGTACCATGTGTCTATGCCAACTACACACATAAATTCTCCCCGTGTCTGGAATGCGCACACTCCTTCCCCTGGAGGGACGCAACCGGCTTATCTAATTATGGAAAGTGTTGGACACAGGCTGGCGAGAGCCAAGACTTGGGGTTGGGGCGCAGGTAACTACTGGAGTTTAGAGTGAACTGGAATTCAACGTTTATTTTCTTGAATAAGAGTAAAATGAAGCGGTTTGGTTAACAGCCATCTAATCAGACGCTTTTCTTGTTTTAATGCTGAGATACATTATTACGCTTTTCTTTCGTGGATCCTACTGGAAGATTGCTCAAGATTTCACCTTCAAATGATTTCATGCGCAAAACATAAGACGTTACATTTTAATTGTGCCTTATCATGTCATACTGTCGGCATTTCACATTATTTTGTATGTTTTGTAGGCAAACAAGACAGCCATTGTCCGCATAGCAAGGTTTGCCGCAGGCATGAGGTGAATGGCTGGTTAGTATTGAGGATTGTCGACCAGGACACCAGGAGAAACTTCGTTCCCTATTGCAAGAGTGTTGTAGGAAGTTGAAGTCTACCTGCTTAGACAGACAGGAGCTATTTAATGTCTATTGTTTAATGTCTTTTGTGAAAGTCGATGACACTGTAACGCTCCCCCTAGTGCTTCGCTCAAAGACCCCGATGTGGGTTTAAATAAGTGTTTATAAATTAGGATGTTTGAATTTATTTTTATGAATGGATTGTTATTCACTAAAAGTGTCTGTTCAAATAAAACTTATGTAATACTGGAGCAATGGTTCAGTGTTCTTCAGTGCATTTCATCTCATACTTACAGAATACCCAGTTGACCGTTCTCCCATTACAGCACAACGTTGTGTCTGTCTTAAATGAGTTTGGACGGTGCCTCTCCCAGCATTGCATTAGAGCATCAGCCTGGACTTCGAGCTCAGAGCCTTCTACACAGAGCTGAAAGTCAACACTTTGCCCTCCATCCCTCATGATACCAACCCCTCGTTCGGGTGCAAATATTCGACTGTCCAACACCTTGTGATGCCTTCCCGTTGTGAAACGCGCTGTGCAATAATAATAATAATAATCCTTACATTTGATATAGCGCTTTTCACATCTTCTACCGTCCCAAAGCGCTTCACAGAATAGACTGTAAAGTGAATCGACTGTATATTTGACTATAACCACTGAGCTACAGAACTCGACGTAAAACCTGGCCGTTAGTCGATTGGCTGATCGCTTTTCCGTGGATAATAATCCTTTAAAAAAAAATTGGTCACTCAATCCATGACGGTTTGTGGGACGCTGCTCAATCGGCTGCCGCGTTTCGCCCGCAAATATACAGTCAATTCACTTTACAGTATATTCTATGCGGCGCTTTGAGACGTCTCGAAGATGTGCAAAGCGCGATGTCAAATGCCGGGATTATTGTTATTAATGCAATTCCCCCCAAATTGTTCTTAAAAAAAAATACCGTACACTGCGTGGAGCGTTTTGAGTTGCCTCAGCGGTGCGATAAGGCGCTGTGTCAAAACAACAGCTTGCATTTAAATAGCGCCCTTCACGCGGGGCAGCGTCCTGAGGCGCTTAATGTACACAGAGCTTGTTATTAACTTATTATAATTTGTGGGGGGGGGGGGTTGACATTACTGCATGATGAATAAAAAGGGTGTGTGTGTGTGTGGGGGGGAGGTCCCTTTAAGAGGGCGTGGTCGGTGCCGCTTCGAGTCCTCCAGTATCCCGGCGGCCGGTGCGGGGCGCTATGATACTGCGCATGCGCCGTCGCTCCCGCCCTCTTTTCGCTGGACCCCGGGAAGGCGAGATGGTGAGTGCGGCCCTGAGCTCCGGAGCCGCGGGGCCCCGCCATCCGCCGCCATCCCGCACCCGGGGCCCCCCGCCCGGGCCACCGGAGGCGCCGGCCGCGCGGCGCGGTCCCCCCGGTTACGGCTCCCGCCGGGAATTGACAGCTCCGCGGCGATCTGTCCGGCGGATTGGTCGGGGCTGCGAGGCCCGAAGCCTACAGGGGAGCAGGGGACCGGGGGTCACCGGCCTCCCCCGCCCGGGGCTCGCAGGCTGTGAGCAGCAGCGGGCCGGGCCGGGGCCGGGGCGGGGGAGTCTCCGAGTGTAGGCCCAAGCACCGGCCTTTCCTGACCAGGCCTCCCGGAGGTGGCGGCTCTGGCTCTGGCTCTGCAGAGGTTGCAGTCCAGGCTGACCCTCCAGCCCAGAGGGCGACGGGGGGGGGGGGGAGGGCACTGTCACCAGAGACGCCGTCCTTCGACCTCCCTCACACTTTCCCCGTCTGTGCTCTGCTCAGGTGGCCGTTGAAGGGGGGGGAAGAAGGATACACTGCGAAGTGTAGTGACTGTATTTTGTGGGCGAACGTTCTCCCGGTCGGTGCCCCCCCCCCCCCCCCCCCGGCAGACAGTCCCAGTGACTTGTTTATCTCCTGGGCTGTGGGAGGGGAGTGGGGGACACACACACACACACACCGCAGCGCGAGAGAAACCGTCCGTCCGCCGATGCACACTTCACGCCGGTTACTTTGCGGAGCGCTTTTGAGGTGATTCGGGGCGACTTATAATAATAATAATCCTCGCATTTGATATAGCGCTTTTCACGTCGGGAGGACGTCCCAAAGCGCTTCACAGAACACACTGTAAAGTGAATTGACTGTATATTTGTGGGCAAACGCGGCAGCCAATGGCGCACAGTAATGTCCCACAAACAGTCGTGGATTGAAAATGACCAATTTATTATTGTTTTTGGCTTTGGAGGGATTATTATTCGGCTCTGTGTGGAGTAAGGAAACTTGCCCAGGTTTCGCCCTCTGCCTGGAATTGAACTCAGGTCTCTCACTTGCAAAGCGAGTGCTCTAACCACTGAGCTACAGGACTCCACTTAACAGTGGCGGAGCTTTACACTGAGCCTGGGGTGGAGGCGACCGTATTCCCGTTAACTATTTCAGGACAATAAAATCGCAACACATAATATTCTTGATAAAAACGATCCCCCTTCCCCTAAACAAATGGATATTTTCTGACTACTCTGCAATTTGTAGCACTGTCATTCCACACAGCGTCCAAGCACATTTGGTACATTGTTCCGGCGCTTCAGAAACAATGTCTGCATTGGAAATCACATTTCACCAAACAAGCGCTCAGTTCATTAACAAACGAAGACGCTATCACCAATAAACAGAGAACATTCAAATGCATTCTCTTTATTGAATAATAATAATCCCATAAAACAATAATAATTTGGTCACTCGATCCACGACTTTGTGGGACGCTGTTGGGTGCAATTGGCTGCCACGTCTCACCCACAAAATCTGCAGTCATTCCACTTTACAGTATATCCTGTGAAGTGCTTTGAGACGTCTACAACGACGTGACAAGGGGCTATATCAAATGCCAGGATTATTATTATTATATAATGAGTGTAGTCACTGTATGTGCCGGCAGCTCAATACAATGCTGCGCACAGCCTTCAGGAATGACCAGGTATGCGCGGATTCCTGGCTTCAATCGTCAGTCAGTCACTGGTCTAACAAGTCTGACCGTTTGAATCACCCGTTCCTTTCCCTCCAGGCCAAACGCACCAAGAAGGTCGGGATTGTCGGTAAATACGGCACTCGGTATGGTGCCTCGCTGAGGAAGATGGTAAAGAAGATTGAGATCAGCCAACACTCAAAATACACATGTTCCTTCTGTGGCAAGGTACGGCTCCTTACCTCCACCCCTCCTGATCCCAATCCCCAGCTCGGGTCCAAATCCCTGACTGTCCAGCGCTTTGGGACGTCCTCCCGACATGGATGGCACTGTGTAAATGTAAATTGTTGTTGTTCACTGACCTGAGCGGTAAAAATATTGAGGGTTTGAGGGGAAACTGGAACATGGGATTGGTAATGAAACAGACCTTTGACGGAGAATGACTTGGCACATGGTCGATGGGCCAAACGGCCACTTGTTCTGTGAATGTCTGATTTGTATTGTTTGTCCAGTGACTGACGTTTTTTTCTGCTCACTTTTCGCAGACTAAGATGAAGAGGAGGGCAGTGGGTATCTGGCACTGCGGATCCTGTATGAAGACAGTGGCTGGCGGGGCCTGGTCATGCCAGTAAGTGTTACATCTCCATCTCCTGTCGCTATGCGTGTTGTGTGGCTGAGTTGGCCGCAGCCTGTGTTTCTGTTACATGAGGTGGAAATCCCTCCACCTTGCTCCCTCCTTGACTTTTCAGATCACACGAAAGACCTTCCTCTTCGACCGTGCCCTCAGTCACCTCCCCTTGGCTCGGCATCAGGCTCCGCCGCCTTGTGTGAAGGGCCCTGTGAAATTCAAGTTGTTGTTGTTGAGAGACCTGATGGCTGTGGGACTGTATCTCTGGGAGAAATTCTCAGAAACAGCTACTGAAGCCAGAGATTAGATCCCATTTTACCAATTTACAGAACGTGGTGTATAGTCTGAACTGGGATTGGTGGCTGTTGTATCAAAGATGAATGCACTTTGTTGAGTGTTGTGTTATGTTGGATTCTGTCAGTTTGGCTTCTTACATCGAGTACTAACAACAGTTGTTATCTATGCTTTACAACCAATGCCCCTTTAGTGCTTGAGCTTCTTGCCTGTGACATTGTGCCTTTCCTGCTTGGTGATTCGGTGTGTAAGTGATTGGCCCAGAGGACATGGCCTGTGATTGAAGGGAGATAAATTCAGAATAAATGTGACGGAACACCACTTCAGTGAGTGAGTAGTAAACGTGTGGAACAGGGCTCCCGAGGGAGATGGTGGAAGCAGAAAGTGTCGACTCTTTCATGAACAAATGTGATAGGTTTCTATTGGGAATTAATATATCCGGAGACAGTATATAATTTGGGACACGACATGACAAGCGACTACCAGGAGGGTGGAAGGCGAACTGGATGGACCTTGGTCTTTCGTCTAGCAAATTCATGTGTTCTTACGTGTGGTCACAGCTATACATGTTAGGTTGGGGCCTTGGTATGTGCTGCATTAGCTGAGGGTTGTCATGGAGTATGGAGCTTTGGTTTGTGAACTGAGCCCCACGGCTGATGGTGGGGAAAGCATCCTGCTCCTGTTTGCTGTGCAGTAATGCCCTTTTGACCGTGTATGTGGAAGGCACGGGTTACCAGTACCTGTTGGCAGCTGTGTGTCAAAGGTGGCCACTTTACTGATGTGCCAGGGGCATCTGTGGGAACACTTGTCTAATATGTCACCTCCTTCAACAGAGGATTTTTGCAGTTGTTGGTTCTGAGCGCTGTTCTCCCATGTTATATCTGGCTCAGGATTGGCTCTGCACTGGGGTTGTGGATCAGGATCGGTTCTGGATCAATGTTGTGGCTCAGGGTTGGTTTTCCACTGGTGGCTGCGGTTCAGAGTTGCGTCTGGATTACTACGTTAGCTCTAGTGCCTTTACTCCAGTTACTTGGTCTGGTTCTGACACCCATGATCTTTCCTCTTCCAGCACCACCTCAGCACTCACCGTCAAATCTGCCATCCGCCGTCTTCGGGAGCTGAAAGACCAGTAAACCCTGTCCTGTAATGTCCTGTCACGTGGGAGAAGATAAGCCTATTGAACATCATTTTCTACATCTGTGCGCTTGTCAATAAAGGGTTAAGTTATGTACAGGTGCTTGTGGCCTCTTTTGACTCCGACGTGTGGGTTGATTTCCTTTCGGTGCAGTCGGTGAGTGTGTACCTGCACCAATCTACACTGACGTTACTTAAGAAAACCTGGAGCTTAGTGCGGAACTGTGGTGGTTTCATGGTGGTGTTTGTATGTGAGTTGTGTGTTTGTGAAGGCCTTCTGTATCCAGTTATGCTGCTGATCACTGAGCTGTGGAGTCTATTGCCCAACTCACACTGTCTACCTTATAGGGGAGCCAGACAAGCCTGAACGTGGAGGAGAACGAGTCTGTTTGTTTGTGACATAACATAACAAAACATAACATGTAAGAGCAGGCGTAGGCCATTCGGCCCTTCGAGCCTCCCCGCCATTCAATCATGGCTGATCTCCTAATCTAACTCCAGCTAATACCATAACCCTGCCTTATCCCCATATCCCTCAATACCTTTTGCAATAATCACCACCACCGTCACCACCTAACTTCCTGCCATAATTGAGATGACTTCAAGACCCTCCTCTTCGACCGCACATTCGGTCACCCTCCTACCCCTACCCTCCTGATCCCAATCTCCAAATCCTTGACTGTCCAGCGCCTTCGGATGTCCTCCCGACGTGAAAGGCGCTGTGTCAATGTAATTTGTTGTTGATGTTCTTCACTATTCCCTTTCCCCGAGGAAGATCTTCCTCGGTCATTCAATGCTTGGAGTCTATGTGCTGATAAGAGCACCACAGGCAAACCTTTCCACTTGTAGTTGGACGTATGTTTTAGCAGGAGACTGAAATCTCCATTGCTTCGCCAGTGTTGGCTTGGAAATTAAGTCTGTGTGTGAGCTATAAGATGTCTCACAGATTTACTTTGGATTGAGTTGTCCTTATACAATCAGTATCTGCTTCCACAAACTTACAGAAATAGTTTGTCAGGGCTTTAGGCCCCAGACCTGTCACCTCACTCACTCCGGGCTGTATATTGCTATTACTTTGATTACTTATTGTCTTGTGCTGTAGTTGGTAATGAAGCCATGGGTGGCTCCTGCACTCGATTGAGCAGAAGACGAGAGCAGTGGAGTGTGATGTTCTATACACAGTCTCTGGCAGGAGATGCATTAATGGCCCGTGTAACATAATTAATTGCTTAGTATTTTAAGTTAACGATTGTCCCAAAATGGCAGCAATCGGTGGCTAGTGACTGCTCACTGCAGGTTAGGACCATCCGGTCACTGACGAGACCTACTCTGTTCTTCTCTGTGGACATTACATGTCAAGTGGAGGGATTTTTAAATTGGGTAACTTTAAAGTCAATTCTTTCTAATAATCATTGCGTTTGATGTAGCGCCTCATCACGTCTACTAGACATCTCAAAGCGCTTCACAGGATATACTGCAGAGCTGCTGGACAGTGTATTTTGTGGGCGAAACACAAATGCAAATGGGATTTCTTTTAGGAAATAATATTTTGGGATTCAGTATATGAGTAGTTCAGGACATGGTGTGAATGGGTTTTTTCGTCTAGTAATTCTTCAGCAAGGCAGCCTGATGCGCACACTGACGGACTGACCTGCAGGTCCGTGTGAGCCACTGACATACTAATAGCAAGTGATTGCTGTTGAGTTGGGTATAGACGAGGCCACTCGTGTGGGGGAGTAAAACATCAGCTCAGACCTGATGGGCTTTTTTGTATGTGCTGCTATGAAATCGGATCCGGTTACAGTTGCCATCCACGCACACTCCCCCGAGCTCCAGCCTGATCAGGCCGTGCTGCGAGGGGATTCCTCCACGCCACAAGGGAGGCAGTTTAGCATTTGGTGACTGAAATTCCTTGCGGAAAATAATAATCCTCGCATTTGATATCGTGCCTTATCACGTCGTGGCGACGTCTCAAGGCGTTTCACAGGATATATTGTAAAATATAGTGACATATATAGAAATGTTTGAATGCTTAATTTGGAAGCCAGTTGGACCTTCATTTTAATAATTATTATTTTTGAAGGGAATATTACCCCCAGAAAAGCAATCTGCCAATTGTCTTTTAACAACCAGGTTCCTACGTAGAGTGAGGAAACTTGCCCAACGTTTCGCGCTGCCCAGGAATCAAACCCAGATCCGAAATAATGAGACCTGTTACCTATCATAGCAAACGGCTAAACTGCCTCACCCAGAAAATCTGAGTGTCCGCATTGCAGCCTGAATAAAGGACATCCAACACACTGAGGCCATTCTCACTGTTTACTATGGTTAAGTAGAAAATGTTCCATGGGTACGTTCACACAGCAAAACACTGCAATGTTATGTTCCATAATCACCACTCCCTCATGGGACCCACCAAGAACCAGCTGTACAGTTTAAAAGGGTAAAGTGTTGGCAAGGACTTCCTTTGGTTGCACGGGCCAGTTGGATCCTCTTGTGACTGACGGGTGTAAATGTGGTAACTGTCAGCTCTGTGTGGGCCCCACAGTCAAATCTGTGAGGCAGCAGTTTGTTAACCAGCTGTCTGACTCAGTCTTCACATCCGTCTCTTCCCGAATGCCCTCGCTCTCTGAAGATTAACTTTAGTTGGGCTGGGGGGGGGGGGGGGGGGGGGAGGTAGGAAGAGAGAGAAGCCATGCTACATCTGTGCAAGTGCTCTGGGACGCTATCCTGAGTGAGGGGCGCTATAATAATAAACCTTATATTTGATATAGCACCTTATCACGTCGTTGAAAAAATATAAATGCAAGTTGTTGTTGTTGTGCATTGTGTGCACAGGCTCAACCAGCCTGAAAAGATGACTGTTCCTCCTCCACACCCTCTCCAGGCACTGAGCCAGTCAGTCGAGTCAGGATCCCAGCTGTTCTGTGCTAATTATATAAAGGTTTGAGTTTATCCAAGTTGAGGCTGTGAACCATTGAGGGAGCAGGTCGGAGCCTGCTGAGCAGAGGGAGTGGACAAGGTGAACGCCAAGAGATCGGTCCCTGTGTTCTGAACTCAGTCCAAGGAAAGCCACATGGTTTGCCAACAGCAGCACAAGGATTAATGTTCTCTGTCCATTTTATTTTGATTACTGACCTGTTCTCCCCCCCCACCCCTACAGCTCAGGTGCCCAGCCAACAGTGTCGAGCCCTGTATAAAAATCGTATTAACCTTTTGACTAAGAGGGCCACAGTGAAGGAGATTAGAGGAAAGGTTTAAACGTTCACACCGGAGAGGGCTTAGGGAAGGTTGCAAGAGGTGTAGATAAACCTTAAACCTTAATGTGTTTAACACGGTCACTGTAACTGCACAATGGGGAATACGCAGACTGAAGCTCACGAGGGACAGTGGGCAGACAGTCAGATTGAATGACTTCACACAGCGAGCAGAAACTGTACAGTGAACAGCCAGTGGAGGATTGTGTCAGCAAATTCAGGAGGGATTAGATACACATTGCATAAAGCGATTTAAGAGTATGAGACAGATTAGTGTCAGATTTTACTTCACAACTGGCCAGGTGGACATGATGGGCTTCTCTGTTCCTCACCTTCCTGTGATACCTTCAACCTCCTTCCCCACCCCCCCTCTCACAAATCAAGAGAACAGCTTACAGTGCATCCCCCCCACTACCACCTGAAGGAGCAATTTTGAAGGAAACAGTCCCAGAAGGAAATGTGGAATGGAGGTGGGGACAGCGAGTGATGTCAGTGGTCCACACACATTGATGACAATACTGTACAGACACAGATAAACAAGTACAAACAGCGGTGACCAGCTTATAACAGAACAGCACTGAACTAAACCCGGAAAACATCTTATACATGGAGGACCTTAGCGAGAGACTGCACAATGGAGGGGCTTAGCGCTTGGTAATATGGGGTGGGGGGGGAAGAGAGGGTTAAAGTTGCTAAGCATATAACCGTTTGAGCCCAGCATTCCACTATAGCTTTAAATCCAATGTTACTAAGCTTTGGCTCTCTTTTTAATATGTATATATAATAATCCTGGCATTTGATATAGCGCCTCATCACGTCTTTGAGACATTTCAAAGCGCTTCACAGAATAAACTGTAAAGTGGATTGAATGACTGTATATTTTGTGGGTGAATCACTGCAGCCAATTATGCACAGCAGCATCCCACAAACAATCGTGGATTGAGTGACCAAATTTCTTTTTTAAAAAAAGGAATTATTATCCCTGGAAAAAGCAAACCGCCAATCGACTAACAACCGAGTTCCTACTTATAGCTAGGTAAATATATTAAATTATATATATAATATATATCTCCATCCAAGTTGAAACTTTCAGTTTCCAGGCTGGAAAACGATCAGGTGTGGGGGAACCCTGACTGATTTCCTCTCCCCCCCCACCCCCCCCCACCCATTTTCCAGAGCAGACAGAAACCACTGCCCTGGGTGAAATCAACTGAAATCTCTTGAGAAGTACACAAAGCTTAACATAGCATAGGGGTGGGGGGGGGGAAGAGGAGAGATGTAAACATCGTTCCCTCCTGTTCTGCGTGGCTCAGTAACACACCCCCGCGCACCATGCATTTACTCACTGAGCCACGTTTAATTGAGTCGGACATTAAAGACAATCTGTATTCAACATAGAAGCCACGTGCCACCAACCACACCACGAGACACGGGGGAACTGGGGGGTGGGGAGGAGACTTATCCGTGCAAGATCTTTGGAATGTGTCCACTGTTGAAAGGTTTAAAAGAAAGCATTGGCAAATCTTCAGTCGCTGATGGGTGAAGTGGAGGGATGGGGGGAAAATAAATCAATCAAACTGCTTCACTGAGAAACCTGTGTTATACCTTCCAGCCTCTGAATGGGAAGCCATTCAGTGCATGAGACAAAGGTATCAGGTCTCTGTGGAAACGTCGAGAGTCAGTGACAGAGGGTCTGGTCAGAACACAAGCCGAGAGATGAAACGCTGTATCTCTGCACCACCCCCCCGCCCACACACACACACGCGCACACACAATCGCCGCCGACTGAGCGAGTGGAACAAATGCAGGGCGGGGTGTGGGCTAGCACTGGCTCTCTCTGGGTGGCGTTGCTGGCACCTGCGGGGATTCCAGTCCGTCGCCCACCTGCCTCTCCTGCTGCTCGGTTAAGCCCAGCTCCGTGTCCATCTGGTCCAGCTCCCCCTGGTCCAGCAACTCAAAATCATCCACCTCCTCCTCGGTCTCCCGCAGTTCTGTCTCCAGCAGCGGACTCTGCTCGGTGGGCAGGAACTCGCTCTCCTCCACACCTCCCTCGCCATCGCCCGGAGTGGACAGCAGGGCAGACAGGGCGTTCTGCACCACCGAGGAAATGGCCGAGCTGACGATCTCCTCACTGAAGGCCTCTAGAGTCATGCCCGCTTGCCCGGGGCTCTTTGGCGCACCACTAGCTGCCTCGACACTCCCGTTGAAGTGCGTGTTCACAAAGTGCAGTGGAGAGGTGAGTGTCTGAATGAACGATAAAGGTTCCCGTGCCGCAGTTGCTGCGCTCCGGTCTGGGGTTTCCTCCTCGCCGGCCACCTCTGACTCTTTGACGGCAAAATCCTCGACTGAGGGAAACTCGGGCAGGTCTTTGGCGAAGGCCTCCTCAGGCTCACTGTGCACGCTCTGCTGGTCCAGGTCTGCAAAGGAAGGAGAGCAGTCACACAGGGAAGGGAAATCGGGCAGCGTTGATTCACTAGGATGTTACCAGGAGTTTGGTATGATGAGGGACATGAGAAGTTAGGCCATTCTTTCTCTTGGCCATGACCTTCCCCATCAAGTTCATGGCCAAGCCCTGTAGCTCAGTGGTTAGCGCCCTGGCCTCGCAAGTGAGAGGACCCGGATTTGATTTCTCGAGCAAGACGATTGGCGGATTGCTAACAATTCAAAAATAAACAGAATTTTGGTCACCACGACTGTTTGTGGGACGCTGCTGTGTGCAATTAGCTGTCGCGTTTCGCCCACAAAATATAGAATCATTCATTTTACAGTATATTCTGTGAAGTGCTTTGAGACGCTTCGAAGACGCGATAAGGCAAGTTATCAAATGCTCTCTCTCCCTGAGATGATGGACTCACCTTCTGACACGTCAGTTAACTGTGGGGTCGTTCCTCGGGAGACGGTGAAGCCTCCGCTCTCCAGGATGGAGGCCTCCTCGTCAGACAGTTCGGAGTCAGTGATCGCCAACGCTAAGGCTGTGGTCTTTGGATCCGCCTGACAAGATCAGCACACGCTGTGAGCAACGATACACACACAAACAAAGCCCTTCTATTCCACATTCTTACCAACCTAACTGGAAGTTCATCCTTCAAGGTAACAGCACAGGACAATTACACAGCGCCTTTCATGTCAGGAGGACGTCCCAAGGCACTGGACATTCAAAGAATTTGCACCCAAGCTGGGGGTTGGGATCAGGAAGGGTGGAGGGCAGGGTGAGTGACCAAAGGCGAGGTTGAAGAGGGTCTTGAGACTGGCAATGCAATCCAAGTCTAGATTGGGATTCCTGCAGTCAGCGCTGAGAATTGTGTTTACCAGAAGCATGGCTCAGATCCTCACTAAACACCGGTGAGGAATGGAAGCTATCGACTGCACTGGTAACTGTTGAATGACTAAGTACCTTGGAGTTGAAGCAGGACAGCTCGGCCTCGCTCTCACTCTCGGTCTCCGCTGTGGGTTCATCGCTGCTCTCAGACTTACGGTCTCGTTTCTCTGTATGGGTGAGAAACCGCACATTTCACAGAAAGTTACCAGAGACCGACCGACCGGGCTATTTCATTATTCAATGGCCGTGCGTGCATAGATGGGATGTACATGGGGAACTCTCGGCAATGGGTTTCCACTGTGTTGACATCTGACTAAAATGGGAAATTGCCGTGTTTGCGTGCAGAATACACAGTCACTGCATTTGACAGGAATTCTTTGTGAAGCGCTTTGAGATATAATAAATTTGCTTTTCCTTCAGTGTTGTGGTCCCCAACAGCAGATGGTGCTGCTGAGACACAGCAGGATGCTCTGGGCTCAAAATAACAGCAGCAATTTTTGCATTCAGGTTAAAATCCTCCCCTCACTGATCCCAGCCCAGACCCTCTGAACCAGGTTCTCCAACCCCGCGATCGTGATGGACCTCTTGGAACATCACAAAGTGGTCAACCAACTCTTTCCCCCCCCACACCTATCCAGGTAAGTCCGCGCCATGGCGTGGCCGTAAATGAAGAAAAATTCAACAAAGAAACGTATATAATAATAATCCTTACATTTGATATAGCACCTTATCACGTTGTTGAGATATTTCAAAGTGCTTTGCAGAATATACTGTAAAGTGTAGTGACTATGTATTTTGTGGGCAAAATCTGGCAGCCAATAGCACACAGCAGTGTCCCACAAGCTGTCGTGGATTGCATGACCATATTATTATTATTTTATTATTAACCTCAGAAAGCGATCCACCAATCGACTTATTAACCGGGTTGCTACTTTGCCTAAAAATGCACAATCACTCTCGTGACAGCAATTACCTGACGCACAGGCAGACATTGCAACACTATAAGCCCTGAGGCAAATGCAAGGATTATTATAGTCAGCCAGAGAGTGATTGTCGGGGCTGTCACACACAGTAGACATCACAGCGAACATCCATGTACCTTCCAGCAAGGACCCAAAGCAGCGATCAGGAACCCTTCACCGATTGCCCCCCAACCCAGGGGTGGTGGGGAGTGATCAGGAGCGGGAGGGAAGCTTGGCTGATTTTCCTTCCTCTTTTACATGGTGTGGAGGGGGTGCTATATAGTGATGAGGAGCAGGACCTCTGGATGATTTGATTTCTCTTACTCCTCTCCCCCCTCTCCAACCAGTACAGAGACCGTGTGACTTACTCTTTCTCTCCCGCTGGGGATGTTGGGTTCCTCCTTTCATGCTGTAGTCCAGCTTCATCAGGACGGGCTCGATGCCCGTATACATCTTCTGTATCAGCTCATGGTACACCACCAGTGGCCACAGCAGCACGCTCAGGACTGCAACACATATCACAGTCCCGCTGCTCACTCTCACAACAACAACTTAAATTTATAATGCGCTCTTCACAGGTAGTTTCCCAGAGAGCTTAACAGTGGCAGAGCCTAATCCAAGGGGAGGTGACCATAGATACGGTCAAAGAGGAAGGTCTTCAGGTGCGATCTGCAAATGGACGCAGGGATTCAGGGACAGAGTTTTTTGGGGTGCAGTGGCAGCCAATAATGGAGCGGAGGGCATGGGGGACAAGCAGGAGATCGGTAAAGAGATAAATGTTTTTAGGGAAAATAAGGGCTGCAGAGAATGGGAATTATCATAGAAACCTTCAGCACTGGAGGAGGCCATTTTCCTCAATGTGTCTGTGCTGCTGCTCTCCAAACTATCTTCCATTATTAATCCCATGTCCCAGGTTTTTTTTAATGTGTTCACTGCTCGTGTGCTTATCCAGATCCCTTTTGAATGATTCGATTGCTTGGTAATGAATTACTGCTGCTTGATTCTTCTACAAACAATCCAGTTTCATGCTACACAACAGCGACTGCTTCAAGTTAAATAGGTTATGTGATTGTGTCTGATATACAGCGCGTGGGTTTATAGGTATGTTGCATGTTGACAAGACTATCCTGGGTGTTGGTGGTTAGCCAGGAAATTTTTCATTGAATACTCACTGAAGATGTAGGAAATCATGATTCCCGGGATGTAGTGGCCAATCCCGGCCATCGCTGCGCTTCCAACACACATCTTCAGGCAGAACTGGAGACCAACAGAGAGATTCAGGTCAAAGCTAGCAGTATCAAGCTCTCTCCCCTGCCCACCTCTTCCCCTGTCCATTGGTCAGGCTGTCAGAGGAGCTCACACAACACAGAGGCCTATTGAAATATGGTGTGCGAGCTTTGCTGCCCACACTGCCACGGTCACATAGCGTTCTGTAGCAAACATAAGGCTATTATCTACTTAAAGAGCTTCATTTTTTTTGGTCAAGTCGTAATTGAGATTCTGTCTGCCTTGTGAACTCATGTCATCCTCTCCACCGAACCTGCTCTAAACTTGCCCTTCACACCCCGAAACCTGTGCTTCCTCTTTCCCTGCTAATCCGGTGTATGTGAAAGTATTGTTCTGGGTTTACCATGTTATTTAAGAATTTATTAGGTGAAAACAAGGTCCATCCAGTCTGCCTTCCACCATCCTAGCGGTCGCTTGACATGTCGTGTCCCAACTATATACTGTATCCCCAGATATTATTTTTAGCACCTTGTATACCTCCCCTCTGCCATCAATTTAGGGTTTAAACAGGAAGATTGAGCCAACACGGGGAGTGCAGCTGACAGTACTCACACACACACCACACACACCTGGCCAGGGTTCTGTCGCTTGTACTCTGCCACTTCCTGCAGGTAAAGTTTGAAGGCTACCCAGCTCTCAGCCAGACAGTGGCAAAGCTCGGGCAGCCTGAGCAGGCGTGGGTGCACCGAGCTGCCATCGCTGGAAGGAAACAAAACACACGTGTAAATACACAGAGCAGATGGCTTAATGGCTTCGCCAGCAAACCACTTGGAATTCCGTAGCGTAGTGGTTGCAGCACTCGCCTCGCAAGTGAGGGTACTTGGCTTTGATTCCCAGGCGGGGTGAAACCTTAGTTTCGCAAGTTTTCTTACTCCACACGCCTGTTTACCTACCAGGAAGTAGGAACCTGGTTGTTAGTTGATTGGCAGATTGCTTTCCGAGGGTAATAATCCCTTAAATAATACTAATTTGGTCACTTAATCCACAACTGTTTGTGGACACTGCTGTGTGCAATTCGCTGACGCGTTTTGCCCACAATATATATTCAATTCACTTTACAGTATATTATGTGAAGCACTTTGAGAAGTCTCAATGATGTGATAAGGCGATATATCATATGCAATGATTATTATTATTGTATAAATCCAAGTTGTATTTACATTGATGGCTAAAACCACCATCTTTTCACTATGTTTATGTTTCTAGCTGCCCAGAGGTCAGTGCCCATCAGACTCTCAAGGAGACTGTATACATTAAACACACAACGGCAACATGGAGACATCAGCAGGTGAATAATTTGAACAGATAAGTGGGAACGTACCTGTCACTCTCAGGATCCTCAGAATGCTGGACTGGAAGGAATAAAAGAAAAGGAGAAACAGAAGGGGTGGGGGGAGTGGGGGAATAGCAGGTTAATCTGGATGTTCGCTCTTTCAAATACGTTTAAAAACCACAAAGAGAAAGGCCACGCTTGTGCTGGCTAAAACTACTGGTAAAATTGAGCAATGCAGCTAAAGAGGCCATTTTGGAGACTGAATGGATTCTTCAGACACACAGAACGTTAAGGGAGTTGGATACGTGGCACAACTTGGGAAGTACTGATGTGACGAGAGGGACAAAGCTGTTCGGGGAGGTCCCGGGGGGTGGGGGGGGAACTGTAGCCAAAACCACAGTCCAAGAGATTGGTCTTCAGTTTAGTTTTCAAGGCTGGGAATAAGGCACTGAGACATCCAGGACAGAAGTCCAGAGAGCAATAACTGGATGGCTGGAGACATGAAGCGGGCAGTTGTGTTTTGGTCAGTCGGGTGTCTATGCGGAAACCCATCACCACGCTTAAGAGTCTCCAAAACCAGGCGGAGATTTTCATGCATCCCAACCACACGTGGAGATCCCAGCGACAGCTCCTCAAGTTTCTCCTTCTAACGAAGACCCCGTTTTTCTCTTAATAAAACTCTCGCGTTAACGATGGAGATGAGTTTACCTGTAACCTCAGGAAGTAACTGATTCTTCCATCGCTCCAGAAGCAATATCCCCAGCAGAGAACTGCTGATCAGAAAGATAGGGCGCAGTGAGGTGGACGAAAATAACCTGGTTTGGGGGGGGTGGTGGGGGGAGAAAGAGGACATTCAGGGCAAATGTGACTCATTCACACAGAACAAATACAGCAGATAATGAGAGGGGCAGCGGCGGGGGAGGGGAGTGCCCGAGGGAGTGCGGGAGGGGCTTTGACCCGGGGGGGGGGGGGGGTTCCACAAGGGAGATGCAGGGCCCTGGGGTGGGAGGGGCATTGCCAGGAAGTAGGGGTATTGCCCTGGGGGTGGTGGGGGGGTAATGAGGGGCATCAGCCTGGGAGGGAGGGAAGGAGGGAGGAGAGGGGCGTTGCCAGAGGAGCCTTGTCCAGGAGGGGGAGGGGGCGTTGCTCGGGGAGTGTGGCCCAGGAGGGGAGGGGGCGTTGCTCGGGGAGTGTGGCCCTGGGAGGGGGGAGGGGGCGTTGCTCGGGGAGTGTGGCCCAGGAGGGGGGAGGGGGCGTTGCTCGGGGAGTGTGGCCCTGGGTGGGGCGTTGCCCCGGCGGGATGGGAGTGGGGGGTGGGGGAGAGAGGGGCGTTGCCAGGTGAGCGTTGCCATGGGGAGCCTTGCCTCGCCCCGGGGGGGGGGGGGGAGGGGGGAGGGAGTGCGGCGCAGGCGCAGTGTCGGGCTGCGGCGCGCGGGGCGGTGACCGTTACCAGAAGAGGCCGCTGAGGGAGGCGAGCATCAGGCCGCTGTGCGCCGGCCTCTCCCACACCAGCAGCCGCTGCAGGTACATCAGCGCCGGCTCCGAGGCGCCCAGCAGCCGCCTGAGCCTCTCCTCGGCCCGCTGCAGCTCCAGGCTGTACTCGGCGCCGTCCCCCGGCTGCTCGGGGCCCGGCCGCTCGCTCCGCTCCTCCTCCGCGCTCGCCATCTTGCGCGAGCCGCCCCCACCGCCTGACTGACTGACTGGACTGGACTGGCGGCGGCGGCGGCGCCTCGCCGGAAGTTGCGTCATTGAAGCCGCACTGCGCAGCCCGCCCGCCCGCCACGTTCACCCCGGTCATGTGAGAGGGGGGGGGCGGTCCCCGCCAGCCAGTGCGCTCACCGGTCTCCTAGCAACTGTTACCATGGGCGCACAGCAGCAGCAGCAGCATCACCCCAGGGCGAGTGGTACCCAGGGGCTGGGATACCCTGGCAACAGTGGTGGATGGCAGCATCACTCCTCGCGTACGGAGGGCTCTTGCCGACAAAACACACTGGGACTAACTTCAGGGCAGGTTTCCTGGACTCCACACACACACACACACACACACACACGTAGGAGTTTGGTATGAAGAGGGACTTGAGAAGTTAGGACCATTCTTTCTCTCCGCCGTGAGCTTCAGTTTCCCGGCGGAGTCCCCCTGTAGGGCAGTGGTTAGAGATTCCCGGGCGAACCCTCGGTGTAAGTTTCCATTAAGTGGGAATGCAGCTGTTAGTCGATTGGCAGATCGCTTTGCGGTGGGCAATAATCCCTTCGAAAATGATAATAATTTGGTCACTCAATCCACGGCTGTTTGTGGGACACCGCTGTGCCGCAATTGCAGCAGTCGGATGAGAGGGTTATTAGTATCACTTGTCTTAAGCGGCAGCACAGCTCCGCATTATCGGAGATACCGATACCGCCCTTCGGATGAGACGTTAAACCGAGCTCCCCCTCCATACCCTGTTCAGATGAACACAGTCACTACAATTCACAGTAAATTCTATTTTGTACTTTCTGGTTTTTATCTCGTTGGGTCTTTTTTAATTGTCCTTTAATTCTTAAAGGAATATCCTACACACTTTTCCTCTTCAGCTGTTTCCCTTTTAAATGTTAGGGTTTGAGATTCAACAGCCACTTCAAGTACAGTTTATGACTAAATTAGTGTTTTCCTAAGATAATGAATGAGAGTTGGCTGTTAATAAAACTCCTGGCTATATAAGACAATGACATTTCCCTGGAATTTAACGTTGGGGTCCTTATGGCATTCAACACAGCAAGCCAAAGTGAACAAGTGCACTAGTCTGGCTCCAATTCCAGTCAGTGACTTATAGGATGGACTAAGGATATTTTGGTTTGGAGAGGGTACAGCGAAGGACAACGAGATTGATGGATGGAATTAGGTTTTTGAAGTACAAGGAGAGGCTACCAAAGCTGGGAATGTTCCCATTGAATAAGTGAAAACTCAATGTGAACATAAGAAATATTCAAAATCCTAAAGAGTAGAGATATTTTTTTTAAAAAATGATCACAAACTCCACAACTAGAAGGCATGAGTTTGACCACAGAAGAAAGGTGAACAGACAGTTCAGATTGAATTACTTTACGCAGAGAGAGAGCAGCGAGTGTGTGGAATGGATAAGGCAGGAAGTGATAGAGGCGGACTGTGTCAGCAGATTCAAAAGGAAACTAGATAGCGACTTGATGAAGAAGAAATTGATCAAGGGTATGAGAAGGAGAGAATAGTGCAGGATAATAGTTTTTCGTTTGAGACCAGTGAAGATAATAAGTCCTGTTGCGTAGTGGTTACTGGGCTCGCTTCGCAAGCGAGAGGACCCGGGTTCAAGTTTCCTTACTCCCCTCGTCTCTGTTTACCAGCAGTCAGTAGGAACCCGGTTGTTAGTCGATTAGCGGATCGCTTTCTGGGGATAATAATACCTTAAAAAAAAATTGGGTCAGTCAATCCACGACTGGGTGTGGGACGCTGCTGTGTGCAATTGGCTGCTACGTTACCCCCCCCCCCAAATACACGGTGGTCACCTTTACAGTATATGCTGCGAAGGGCTTTGAGGTGGCTCAACGGCGTGATGAGGCGCTGGGTCAAATGCGAGGAATGCCGTCGTTATCCTGTGACGTTAGCTCGACTTTGGTGTCATTGAAGGTGTGGTTCTACCATTCGTCACCAGAGAGCAGCATCTCATCTATTCTTCAATCAGTCTTTAGTTTGGGATTGTTTACGGAGCTCTTCGCACCCCTGAACCTCTGACCCCCCCTTGTCCCGCTCCCCGGGGTGCATCGTAACCTTTCGCCCACAAAATACACAGTCACTACACGTCATGGTATATTCCTCTCCGCCACTGTCGAGCGCTATGGGCCCCTACCGTGCGTGAAGGGTGCTATACAAATGCAAGTTGTTGCCGTTGTTCTGTGAAGCGCTTTGAGACGTCGCAACAACCTGATAAGGCGCTATATCAAATGCAAGGATTATTGTTATTATTATTATTATTATTATTATTGACGAAGTCATTGTTCCTGGTTTATTTGCTCAGTCGCGTTCAGCATTGTGTCCACCTCTACAACCGCTTTGGGATGTCCTCACGATGTGAAAGCTTAAGTGTAAACGCGAGTGTATGTTGTCGTGTCTAAGGACTCAATTCAGAGATGAAATGTTATTGTACAGACTCTGGGAGTAGATAGTGTGAAGCCTGGAGAATAAGAGGCCAGTATTGTCCGTGTTAATTATTTACGCTGCATCTTGAAGCACTTTGTTCACAAGACAGAGGTATCTTAGTTTGCCAATTCTTCCTTCCCTGAAGGTCAGATCACAAGCCTGAATGCAGTGCTATCAATCTGGGGCCACAGCTCCAGGTAATTACAGCCAGCGACTAAAACGAAGGTCACAAACATCGCAGTTACTTTCACTCAGTTTGGTGTCAGTCTCGCTCGGCCGCTTGCACTCTCGCGCCCTGGGGGTCAGGCGGTTGTGGGTTCGAGCCCCCTTCTCAAGGGCTTTGAGTTCATCAATCCAGCACAGTGTCGGGGTGGGGGCTGCATTGTCGGAGATGCTAAACTGAGTCCCGTTGGTGCCTCTTCAGGTGGATGTTAAAGATGGCGTATGGTACTAGTAAACTGGGAATCACTGCAATTGGCAAAATTCACTTACACCCCACTCTCGCCCGACTCCATTGGCTCCCTATCCTTCAGAGGATCCAGTTCAAGATCCTGGTTCTCACCTACAAAGCCCTGCATGGCCTCACCTCACCATACCTCTGCGACCTCGTAACCCCTTACCAACCTGCCCGCTCCCTCTGCTCAGCCGGCTCCACACCCCCGACCCACCCGCTTCACCATTGGCGAGAGAGCCTTCAGCCACTCTACCCCCAATCTCTGGAATTCCATCCCCCAATCACTCCGCCTCGCCCCCTCCTTAAGTCTCCTTCAAGTCCCACCTCAAGACCCTCCTCTTCGACCATACCATCGGCCACCCCCCTTTCTTAGTGATTTCTGATTTGTAGCCGGACGTTTGGGGCCTTTTCTCGGTGGAGACTGTCCGGCTGGTGGATTCTGACTATATAAGGGCAGACACACTGGACTCCCGACACCTTATTCACAGCAAGGGCTGAGGTGGGGAGAGGAGGGGGTAAGTTAAAGAGAGATGGGGTGAGAGCGGGAGTGGGGGAGATGAGGAGAGGAGGGGGTGGGATTGGGAGGGGGTGAGTTAAGGAGGGTTGTGTTATGTGATCAGCGTCGGACACTGTAATAGTATTTCCGGGCTTGCACATTCCTCGCCGCCTGTGTTATCAGCGCAATACGTTACAGTATCACAGCACAGCCCCTTACAAGGTGATCAGCCCAATTCTGCAGCTTTGTTCCCTTTGTCCTTTCCCTTCCTGTTTATTTACAGAGGGTTTACGGGCTGACATCACAACCGGGCCACACGGAGACACAAGCCAAGCACATTGTAGCCACGGGAGCGTCAGGGGCTGAGCAGCCAGCAGAGCATGCACCAAGACGTGAACACTGGTGGCGAGGACCAAGGGTGGGGGGGGGTAGGGGGGGCAGAGAGGGAGTCAGCCATCAGTACTGGGGCTCTCTTCAATCTCGTGCCCTGCTCGCTCCCCATCGTGTCTGTGCTGGGGCTCACTCCCCCACTGGCGCTCTCTACTCTAACCCCATTCCCTGCTCTCTCTCTCTCTCTCTCGCTCCCCATCGTGTCTGTGCTGGGGCTCGCTCCCCCACTGGAGCTCTCTACTCTAACCCCATTCCCTGCTCTCTCTCTCTCTCTCTCTCTCGCTCCCCATCGTGTCTGTCCTGGGGCTTTCTCCCCCACTGGAGCTCTCTACTCTAACCCCATTCCCTGCTGTCTCCTCATTGATGTCAGTTCTGGAGCAAATTGAATTCCAAAATTGACCCAGTTGGTGTTGCTAAGGCCCCTCTGCCTCCCATAAGGGATTCGGCGTGCACTTGTATGTGTGTGTGTGTGCGTGCGTGCACATTGGTGTGTTTGCGCACAGGGTGAATATCTGTGCATTGGTGTGTGAATGCATGGCACATTGGTGTGTGCGTGTGCGCGGATATAAATGCGTGTGCATTGGTGCGTGAATGAATGCGTGAGTCTGTGTGCCTTGCAGCGTGGCTTAACCGCTCCTGTCTGAACCAGCTACTGGCCGAACCATAGCTTTTCATTTTCTTCCAAAAAGTCTGGCCGCTGTGATGGGAGGGCGGGCATTGTCAGGACGATGTCAAATGGGCCGAATCCACCATGTTAATCGCTCTGTGGCTTCAGTGCTATAATTCTATTTACCGGCTGCCTGCACCTCTGGACGAGCAAACAAGATTACACGTCGATTCACATCTGTTCCCAAGACATCAACATCCCAAATCCTATTAGGAGATTAACTGCACCTCATCCCCTGACTCCATCCCAGCCCCTTCCCTTCCCTGCTCTCTGCCTTTCGTGACCACAGCAATGGGGAGGCTGGTGATAAACCAGTGTTTATGGCAGCTCTGATGTGGGTGGAGTGAGTCTCCCTAATCCAGCCTGACATTTAATTCACTCCCTGTAATTTACACACATGCCAGAAGAGATTCCGAGCACTGGGTTTGCAAACGATTTTACTGATCTTAACCCGCAAGTTTCTCAAACCAAGACACGGCAACAACGTGCACTCATAGCAACTTAGGAACAGGAGGTGGCCATTCAGCCCCT